ACCTACATAAGTAGCATCACCATTTTTGCATCTTAATTTTATAAACTACATTGGTTTTTTAAAAAATAATTTTCAATCATACTTCCTTATTAAACAAAAAGATAAAAATGATATTCCAATATTAAATCTCAATGTGAAATCAAAAAAATTTTACCAATTCTTTTATACTTTAATTTCTATATTATAAACTATCTTTTGCTATCTAAATGATACTTAATAAAACCAATAATTGAATTCAGTAAAAAATCGTCTACACTTAATGAAATTCACTTAATCTTACTGGCAAGCTTACTGGCTTCAGGAAATATTTCACAATAGTTTTTAAATTATTTTACACTTTTGTAAAAATATCAAACTTTGTATAGAAAAGACATTTTCTTAATTAACGTTGTTCGAAGTATTTTTAATGTTTCATAAGAATTTAAAAATGTTTTCAATTTTTGTATTTTATCAAACAATTTAAAAAAAAATTAATTCAAACAAATGCATTCAGTTTTTTTTTAAAAAAATTAAAAATTGAATGTCTGTTTAGGTACATAAATATTAAGTTTTAAAAATACGACATTTTTTTAGAAAAAAAAAGTAAAACGTACATTGTTCGCGCACACTGCTTTGATTTTTTAGAACAACATAAAATAATTACAAAGCTGTTACAAAATATTTCATGAAACTAATACTAAAGATTAAGAAAGTCAGGTGTAAGTGTAAAGAATTTTTTTATTGAGTAATATGTCCTTTCTAAATTTGAATAAATATGATTCATTATATTGATGGAAATTAAAAGAAACCTTCTCAAAAACGCATATAATAAATATTTATTTTTCACTATTGACATAATAAAATATAATTTGTGTCCTGACGCGGTGAAAGGGACCTTTACGCCTAAAAAAATTAATTTTGAGTCATTGATACCATTCTATTTACTATCTAGATTCTTTCAATCGATAGAATAGCATTAATAACATTAATAGCATTAATAATTAATTTTTTCAGACGTAATGTCCCTTTCACCGCGTCAGGACACAATTTTATAATGTCATTTAATTTAGGTACATAATATAATTTTAAGAATGAAGAATAGGAAAACTACAAATAATTCAATTTTACTTGCGATTTTGTTAACAAAATTTTTATTTCTAAACATTAGATACAATCAAAAATTTATTTTTAATAGCCTTTGTTGTGACTCATCAAAGATTTGATAAATTCCTGTTATGGGATTATTCGTTTATTTTCAGCAATCTTCCAGAGTTCTGTAAATTTTCTGTACTTTCGTAGCAATTTGTAAAATATTTATGGAAGACTTTTCCCCTTTTCAATTAGTAGAATATTACTAATTTTTAGTAATATTTTACTAATGTTTTAGTAGAATTTCACTAATTGAAAGTCACTTTTTTACTAAATGAATTAGTGAAACTGTTTTATCGACTATTAATAAAACAGTTCTACTAATTGTTATAGTAGAATTCTACTAAGCAATTAGTAAAATCTACTAATAATTAGTAAACTTTCACTATTTGTTAGTAAAATTATCACTAAATCATTTGGTGGGAGACTTTTCGTCATTTCATTAGTAACTTTCTACTAATTCAGATTTAGAGAGTGAAGGTGCGCGTCACAATTTGTCATTTAATGTTTTGATATTAAGAGTTCTAAGCATCGAAATGACTACATTGATTTTTGTTTACGAAAAACATTTTATACCTTATATTAATTTATGACATTCTTAAAAAGAGCAACAAAAACAATGAAGCTGCAACTGTCACCCACTTAATTTTGGAAATTAAATTTTAAAATTAAATATTTTGTATGAAGCTGTAACTTGCAACCAGTTCTCAGCACGCGCTTAATTTTTCAAAATTTGATATTGAGTTTAAACAAAAAAATATTTAACTGTAATATGATTATTATTGGGAATATATTTAATTTTTATTAAAACATTGCAAATTCCTCGGAAAATTTAACAATTTTCATATAAGTCTTAACTTAAAAATTCAACTAAATCTCTTTTCATTGGGGCTAATTTTTTACACAATTTTTAAAACTTATAGTGTCAGTTGAAATTTTAATTGATTGATCGAAATCGATTAAATATTACTTAACATGCTTTTTATGGTAGGAATAATAATTTTTTTCAAGTAGAGCAATAATGAGTTTCCTTTCTCTAGACTAACTTTTACTATTATGCTTATTAGCTATATTCTCATTGTCAGGCCTCGGATCGACTTTCAGGTGCAAAAAAGTAACGTATTCAGTCGCTATTAAAATACAAAAATCGAAGAAGTTCACTTTTTCAATGTTATCACAAAAATTTAATTTTGTATTTCCCTGAGCTTTTACTAATGTCGACATTTAATTATTTAAAAATTTTGTTAAACAAATATTTAAATAATTGTTAGGTATTTATATTTCTAAAAGAATTAAAATTTAAAAATTTTTAATTTCAAACCTTTTGAAATATAATTATTTCTAGAAAAATTAAAACTGTAATCCTTTCAAAAAGTAATTATTTTCTAGAATTTTTAAAGAACAATCCGAACAATCTACTGTGGAGCTGAAACAAAAGTCAGTTCATAAATTTTTAATTTGTTTTAGTGGAAGCTGGAAGATTAAAGAATTTAATTTCCAACAATTTAAAGTTGCATTAGATTAAAAATTAAAATCTTTGGCAATAAGAAATGTTTGGTAATTTTTAGGTTATGTTACCTTAAACGGAGACTTCGACTACATTTTTAATTATATCAAGAAAATAATTTAATCTTCCATAAAATTACTTTTATAGTAATTTTTAAAGAGGAAATTAATGGTCGGAAAATAAAATCGTCCAGAAAATATTCTGACTCTTTTTGGATTTTTATTTTTCTTCAAACATTTCTTTATTATTTTTTTGAAGCATTTTTTTGAAAAAAAAGAACACTGTTTTTAGGTTGAAAATGATAAAAAAAACCATTGTTATTCAATTTTTTTATATGAAAATTCACTTGTTTATGTTTCTAACTGATTTCAAATCATCATTTTTTAAAATAAAAGTATGAAATACAAAAGTATGATTTGAAATTAGTTAGAAAAATAAACAAGTGAATTTCCATATAAAAAAATTAAATAACTCTGCTCGGGTTTTATTTAGCATTTTCAACCTAAAAATAATGTTTTAAAAAAAAAAATGCTTCTAAAATAATAAAAATCCTTTTTTTTCATTCGGCAATTTTTTTCTGAATACATTAAACATTTTTACAGAAACTAGATTCTAAAATCTAGCAATTTCTAATTGTCAGAAATTTGTTATTATTATTTACATTCAATTGTTTAAATTTTAAAATGTTGAAAATTAAATTCTTTACACTTCTACTAAATCGAATTTAAAAGTTAATTTATCTTTTTCATATATAAAATATGAATTTACTTATTACATTGAACTAACTTTTGTTCCGATTCTTTCTCGGATTCTTCCTTAAAAAAATCAATTATTTTAAATAATTATTCAAAAATTATAGAAAAATTCAATTACTTCAATTATAAAATAATAATTATTATTTTTTATTATTATATTATTATTAATAATAATTATTATTTATTAGTTTTTTAAAAATATTTTTAAATAATTGAAATTTTGCAAATTTTTTGAAAATAATTGAATTTTTAAAAGAATTTTTGGGAAATAGAAAATAATTTTTAAGTTTTTAAAGAATTTTAATTACTACATTATCATTCCAAAGTTTTAATTAAATCTAAAAATATAGTTATCTTTAAAATTTTTAATTTATTTTTTAATAATTAATTGGATTTTAAAAAATAATGATAAAAATTCTATTAAGAATTATTTTTCAAGAATATTGTTATTTGTAAATTTTCAAAAATAATTAAAATTTTTAAAGGAATTTTTTTTTTGGTTAATTTTAAAAAACCTGATCAATATTTTTGAGAATTTTAATTAAAAATTTTAATAATATTATTGATTTATTGTAAAAAAATTTGATTCTTAAAAGATTTGAAAGGCATTTAAACCATTATGACGTCACAGTTCTAGAACATATATATGCTTTACACAAACTGTGACGTCACAATGGTTTAAATGCCTTTAATGTATATGTATAATTATTTTTTATAGATATTTGAATTTTCAGATATATCCAATTGAAAATATCGAAAGTAATTTAATTTTAAAAAAATTCTAAGAATTATTTTTTTTAATATTTTAAATTTTCAATAATTTTTATTTCAAGATTTTTCATTAAATTTTTTTAAAATTCAATTATTTTAACAAAATATGAAACTAAAGTTCTTCAAAATTTTATTTTTTTAAATTTTAATGAAAGACTAATTATTATGAATAAAATTTTCCAAAATTTCAAAAAATTATTCGAAAATAATTTAGAAACAATTGAATATAATTATTTTGCTGCATTTTATATCAAAAAAGTGTTATTTTGTTGCATTTTTGTTTTTCATTTGGAAGAAAAGTCAAAAATAGTCGCCATTTTGAAAATAATCTGAGAGTCCAAAAAAGTCATACTATCCGAGGCCTGAATTGTATTTTTTAAAATCTTGTTGGGGGAATCACCCACAGTTAAACCGTTACTGCAACAATTATTCTAACTTTCATTATTCCGAATTATTTTCTTTAATTGTCCCCTTTCAAATAATTACTTTTTCCATACAATATTTACATAACCTAACATTTATTCCTACGAATTGAATTTTGTAAAATTTTTATTTTTTTAAGTTTTATTATTATTTTTTATTATTTTTTATTACTTTTTCTAACCTAAAATTCACTGCGATTAAATACTATAACATTTGACCTAATTTACAATTTAAAAAAACTTTAATATTTGATGATAATTTTTACACTAAAAATTACGTCAGATTCGATAATAAAAATTTTCTCAATGTATAACGAAAATTATAAAATGTAAATTTGAAAAAATTTGAGGAATAATTAAGATTATTCGGAAAAGTGTTATAATTCTTTGTTAATTAAAATAAATTTGAATCTATACCTTTTATACTGCTGTAAATTTTCCGTCATTTAAAAAATTTTTGCGTCCTTTCCGAACAAAATTTAGCGGACGTATGAACATAATTGCATACATACAGGGGCAACTTTTTAATTAGCAATTATCGACTTTAAGGCTCTTTGGAATTAAGAAAAATATAGTGAAAATTTGTTATTCTAAAAAAAAATTGAATTTATTTAAAGGGAAATATTAAAGTCGTTAAGAAATTTTTTTGAAATTTTATTAAAAACTGAATATCTGAATAACAAAGACGATTGGTGACATATTTACAAGGTAAAGTATAATGCAATATTCACAAGCACTACTGACAATAATAGACACGATAGACACGGTAAAGTCACGTCAAAAAATAAGAAAAAAGAAAAGCTGCCGAATGCCTTAGAATCAAAACAAAGCGATATCAATGACAACATACTACTCGACGATGTTGATCATTGTTGCACAATTTAATCTTGTTCTATCCTCGTGTATCATGACAGCTGTCTCACTCCCTCATTCCCAAGCCCTGACCTGTTCTCAAAACGAACGTATGAATCAAACCAGTCTGGAAACTATTTAAATTTCATTTCATTTTAAATCCTTTTCATCATTACGCTTTAAAGAATAAATTACAAGTCAATAATTATTTTCACACACATGCATATGGATTTAGTATTTTTTCTTCTTCTTTTGTAAAAAAGTAAAATCAATTTCATCGTAGAAATCTACATATGGATCGTAGTCGACTGTCCGAGTTTAATTTACGAGAAGAAGAAAGTTTGATTTCATCATTTTTCTTTACACTAATTTAACTATCACAATCAGATATCGAAAAAATATGTTTCAAAAATAGACTGTCTAGAAAAAAATAGAATATTGCAACAGAAACTAAAGGAGTAGGGAAAATAAAAAAATATTGAAAAAAAGAGATTAGGTGAAATTCAGGATTGCAAATTGTGAAATTAGTCTTACCGATCGAAAGTACAAGTCAATATAGCACAATCCACGGATCCTGGAGTCAATCCTAAGGGTCAAATGATTTGATAGGGTTCCATGATGGTTTTAGTTGTCAAAGCACTTTTCAACTCTCTCGCAAATATCCCTCTCGAATCACCGAACAATCAACTCTCGCTGTTACTAATTTCCTTTGTCGAACAAGGCGCAAAAAAAATAAAACTGGGGAAAAATCGTGTATACCCCGCACTACGGAAATAAACTTTCCAATAACATACACACAGGCTGAAGGCCTGTTACCAACTGACCCAGGCGATGACAGCTCTCCAAAGAAACACTCCTACCAACCGCTGAACTTGACACTTTGTTAATGAGAAGCAAACATTATTTTTATTTTCCCATCTCTTTAATTGACACCCGAAAATTGTCATCATATTTAAAAAATAAACATCCAACTCTAAGTAATCTAGTAATATTTTTATTTAACAATAAATCTAATCGCAGTAACTTCATTACAATATCGAACAAGAGAAAAAATGTTTATACTTTCATGTTTATGTAATTTAGTCACAAATCATAAAAAAAATAATTGACAGTCATCAATTTCTAATGGAATACTTTCGGTATTAATAATTTTCCCTATTCTAGCAATTATCAACATAAGGGGATAAATTTTTTCCTTTTTTCCTTGCTACCCAGTTTCCTTTGTTCATGACGTTCAAGAACATTGCACAAAGAAAAAAAATCACAAAGATTTTAATAGGTATATATAATTTCAAAAAAATGTAAAAAATTAGAGGACTTGTCAGTAGTTGAAAAAAATAAAAATTACCGATTCAAATTGAAAGGGACGAAGATTATTAGCAGGTCCATTGTTTAAATATTGCGATATGGAATTAATTGTAAGCTGTAAGGTTAAAGTTTAAGCGGTTGGCAGCATTGATCGATCATATGGGCAATCAGCTGTACTTTCATTTTATGGTCATGACACGTGATTGGGCGAACTCCCACCACTTACCTTTGCCTCGTGTCTCTAGTTTTGTCCTTTTCTAATCAATCAAGAAATCTCGTTCTCACTTGTCATTATCATTGTTCATTATTGTTAGGTTGCATTTTACTGTAATAATACATAATAAATTTTCCATCTACAACTTAATGCGCATTATCTCGAAATAATTTCATCTTTCTGAATGATTTAATTTTTATACAAACTTAAAATAAAATCAGAGACAATTATAAATTATTGAATATGTATTTAATTCTATTTATTCTATTTATACAATATGTGTATACATGTAGAGTGCGAATATTTTGATATTAAAAATTAAAATAAATATTCGCGCAAAAATATCTAGAATAAAGTAAAAAAGAAATGTTATTTTTATTGCTAAATTCTTTATATATATAAATTGCAAATCTTTTCAGCTATTCAGCACAAGGAATTGAATTTTCCAGAATAAGTAGACCTCGCACGTGAAATAAAGCAAAGTCCAAGTCATCGATTTTTTTGATACTCTCTGCCTTAAATAATTGTAGTATGTAATTTGAATGATAAATTATTGTTGCTCGTGTAAAAGGTGCATTGTAGACAATTTTTTTTAATTTTAGTTTTATTATCAATTTGTCGCGCAGTTTTAAGAATATTTCTTAACTTTTGTTTATTGTCTAAATATAATTGAATTTTACCGAAAAAAAATTTTTAATTTTGAAAAAAGCATTTTCAAAAATAAAAGGGTTTAAATTTATTTTTGTAAAAATTGAAACTAATGGTTAAAAGTTCTTAAATTTTTATAACATTTATTATTAGGGTCAAAAAAAGTGAAGCAGGTCACTTGAAAAATTTATGTCCCCGATTTTCAAATTACTAAAATATTTTATTTATTTTGGAAGCAACCAAAGGTTTAACAATGAGATAAATTTTTTTCAATATTACTCCGGAAGAAAATGTCAATTAACCCATTAACGACCACCAGGACGCAACATTTACCTTGATTTCACGACTCTTATTTTGTATAAAATAATTAGTAAAAAAATTTAGGATATACCATTTCCAACGTAAAATTTATCGCTCTTTCCGAATATGAAGCTAAAATTTGTTTATAATTATCTCAAAAAAATTTATAACAATTTTATTGCAAAAAAACACACTTTTTACGAAAAAAAATTTTTCAATTAATATTTTGACATGGAAAACTAAAGAATATGGTCTCAAAAGCCCAAAATATCGCGTCCTCGCGATATTTAATATTTAATAACTTAATTTAAATTTAATAATTTCAAAAAAATTACAATTATAACCCTTCCTGAATTCAATTATTTTCTACAATATTTTCAACTAAACTTGATCTCTAAATCAATATTTTTTAATGCGCAAAACTCTAAGAATTAAAAAATATTGTAATCCTAATCTTTAAAAAACATTGAGAACGTATTTTAACTATCAATTGTTTAAAAAAATTGTTAATAACAATTACCAATTTTCATACTAAAGCAGTTGCTTTAGTTGGACTTTAAACTATAGACTTTAAGCTTTAATTTAAAAAATATGACAGCTGCGAGTCGATCTCGCATTGAAACCCAGGCATAGAATATTGGAATCAAATGTATAGTTTGGTAACAGAAACAAACGTAATATGTTTATATAATAATAAAAATAAATAAAAATAATAATAATTTGCATTTTTAAAAAAAAATACATTTTTTATATATAAGAAATATTCTAGCACTTGATCGTCTTAATAAGTAAAAATGTATTATTCATACTGAAGAGAAATAATAATTTAGAAAAACTATTAATCACCAATATAAGTACTATATATAAGAAACGAGGGGGTAATTACTGGTTAAAATGGTGTACACTCTAATACACTAAATTTTTCTGCTGTTACGCGTATTATCTAGTATTATAGGGTATTACTGATTATTACAGACTATTACCTCTATATTATGTGGTATTACACTGACGTAATAATACCAAACTATAATAATTCATTTTATACATTTGATAACCGATTTTTGCAGGTTAAAGCGATAGATATGTTTTCGGATGCGATTGGTGCTTCAATTTTCAATATTTTACTCTTATAAAGTGTTTCTATTTACCTTTTAAAATCCGCTTGATTTTTTAAAATTGATCCCATTGTTGAAAAATTACATTAATTTCAGTAAGCGGATACATTTTGTGAAATTTTTCAATTTTCCCTGTTCTCTTTTGTTTTAACATTTTCAAAAATTTCTCTAAACTTTACTAAAAAAATGAATGATGCCATCGTCTTCCGTATTGAAAAATGAAGAAAATGCACTATATAAAAGTTGTATATAAAGTATGGGGTTTCAAAAAAATCATATTTCCATTCTAGGGTTAAAAAACTTTTTTCACACTTATCGAGTGCTAAAATGTATATGAATAATTTTATAAGCTTTCGAATGATATTTTTTTAATTTTCTATTAACATTTTTTTTACTAAAAAATCATGATTTAATGACTGATATGTTTTTGTACCAGGCACGTGTAGCCGTACCAATAATTTTCGACGGTATTATAGTAATAATTATTAAATTACATTATCATCTACTAATTTAAATTAGCATACGTAGGCTGTGAATCAGTGAAATTTTATTAAATTTGATGCGAAACTGCACTGATTAATTAGTACATAATTAAGCACTATTTGAAATCAGTGCAGGGCTCGAACCAGTGAAAGTAATTAAAAATACGGACTTTACGGACCAAAAATGAAAAATTACGGACCATTTACGGACCAATTACTGACAAAAATATAACCAGTCCGAGTCAAATAAGAGAACATTTTCAAGAATTTTTAACTAAAATTCTTCTTAAAATCGATTATTTTTAATAATTTTCGAAAAAGTTCTTTGACGATTTTCAAATTAATTTCTTTACAATATTCAATTTCACGAAATTTTAATTATTCGTAAATTCTTCAATTAAATATATATTAGAAAATAAAAACTTCAAATAATATAAAAAAAATCCCCATGCAATTAAACTTTTTCAAAAAAAAATTAATTCCACAGAATTGTCAGTTAAAAATATGAAAAATTCATATTTATTTTCAAAAAATTTAATTTGAAACCTTTTCAAAATTCTATTATTTCTAAAAATTTACGCTCCAATGCTTTTAATATTCAATTATAATCTAAAATTTTAACTCTAATCCTTTTTTAAATTAATTTTTATAAGAAAATTTTACTAGAATTCAATTATTTAAATGAAGAAATAAATAATTTATTGAATAATTGAATGTTTGTTAAAATTTAATTCTCATAAAGAATTTTATCAATAAATTTTAAAATAATTTAATTCTTTTGACGAATTTTAATAAAATTTTTAAGAATAATTACATTATTTCGAGAAATTCGCTTAAAATTGTATTAAAAATAATTGAAATTCTGCAATGAGTTTTATTATTCATCAAAATAATTTAATTCCTAATAAGAATTTTATTATTTACTAAAATAATTAAATCCCTGTAAAAATTTTTCTATTTATGAAAATAATTGAATGATTGCGAAGAAATTTATAAAAAAAATTTGTAAAGAATGAAATTCCTGTGAAATTTTTATTATTTTTTGAAAATAATTAAATGTTTGTGTAGAATTTTATTAAATTGTTTTTTAAATAATTAAATTCTTTTGGAAAATTTTATTAGAATAGTAATTATGCCTATTAAAAATCATTAAATTATGGAAAGTTTTTGAAAATAATTAAAATTTTGCCAAGACAGTATGAAAAATTCAGATTTTACAAGATTTTAATTTGAAACCTTTTCAAAATTCAATTTTTTATAAAAATCCATGCTCCAATGCTTATAATATTCAATTATTATCTAAAATTTCATAAAAATTAATTTTCAAATCAGTTTTAATTAGATAATTCTACGAGAATAAAATTATTTAAATACAAAAATAAATAATTTATTGAATAATTGATTACTTCTTAAAAATAAATTCTCATAAAGAATTTTATCAACAAATTTTTTAATAATTGAATTCTGTTGATGAATGTTAATAAAATTTTTATGAATAAAATTGTATTAAACATAATTGAAATTCTGCCATAAATTTGATTATTTATGAAAGTAATTGAATTATGGCTAAGAAATTTATATAAAATTTGTAAATAATTCAATTTCTGTGAAATTTTTATTATTTTCTGAAAATAATTAAAGGTTTGTGTAGAATTTTATTAAATTGTTTTTTATATAATTGAATTCTTTTAAAAAATTTTATTAGAATAGTAGATACCTATTAAAAATCATTGAATTAAGGAAAATTTTTGAAAATAATTGAATTTCTACAATCATTTGTAATTTCTCTAAAATTATCCAAATTATATCGTACAATTTACGGACTTTACGGACCTTTTTTCCAAAAAACGGACTTTTACGGGATTTACGGACCTAGTTCGAGCCCTGAATCAGTGGCCTGCTTATCACTGGGAATCAGTGAAATTCCGCCACTTTAGATTTGTAAAGCAGTAAAACCAAACATTCTTAAGAATTAAAACATTTTCAACTGTATTTTATAATTATTTTTCTTATTAAAATAGTGATATTCGGATTTCTCTTTTTATATCCATTTTCATCCTGAATTTGTAACAGTCGAAATGAAATTGAAAACTATATTATTTGCAATCTGTTATCTCTGTAATTAATAGAACTTTTGTCCCTACTTAAGTACACTAGAAATAGATCAATTTTCATACTTTAAAAAAATACAATTCCGCTTTAAGGCTTTATCCCCGATTCGGGTCGTTTCCTCAATGAAAATTCAATATTTGACCTATTATTTTCATACTCAATATAGGTACTTTCTGGTATTAATAAATTACATGATAATAATTCAAAAGAAATTTTACAAAACTGTTATCAAAATTGAAATATAAACCAAAATCATGGAAAGCAAAAAAAATGGTTTAATGTATGTCATAAGAAATTTAAATATTTAAACCAACATTAAATAAAAAAATAACATGTTCATATATTATTTATATGTACATGATATAAATTGTCCTGTATAATTTTCGTTTTATTACATTATTTTTAAAAATTTTCCATTCTCAGTATGTGTCATCAATAACGGTCATGATAATATTTAATAACATAAGCAGCAATCATAAAAAAATGTTAAACAATGATAATATTAAAATAAATATTTAATCATATAAAGAATTAAAATAACATTTATAATGATTTTTTCAATGTTTCAATATTTTTAATTTTAATTGATTTTTATTAATTATTATCAATTCGTTATTTAAATGTAGTAGTTTACTGATGGGGATTACTTTATATTTAACGATTTATGCTCTCAAAACTCTTGCATATAAGCTTCAATTATGCTCCTAAATAATGTCAATTATGCTATAATTGCTCTGAAAAATGTTTTTTATGCTTTTATTATGCTTTGCAATTGAAAAAATTATTCTTTTACTTAATATTTGTAAAAGATAATAATTACACTTAATTTTAAAAATGAATTTGTAATTTGAAACTTTTTTTGCGTTCATTTTTTAGTTAACACATTTAAAAGTTACAAAAATTTACCTGGGGAAATTAACTTTACTGGCCGAATGTTTACAAAGCTAATTGTAATTTTTTTGCTAATGCTTACAGAATTAACAATTTTTTAAAAATAAAAATTTTAAAACCGCTGCCAAGTTGTATCTTTTTGTAAATCTATTTGTGTTCATTTCATAAATAATTTGCTTCCTCATAAAGATAATAATAATAGAAATATATTGGTTAAATAAATAAAATAATATTTTCGACAATTTTTGATTTTTAAAATACCAATAATTTCGTAATTTCTGACCGAATCAGGTTCAAAAATAAATAATCGAAGCGTTTTCTAATGCTCTACAAATTGGAGCTAATATTTTTAAAGATACTTCTATATTTTTCAACAAAATTTTCAGAAAAGTTTTACTTTTCAAAAGTTTTTATTTTTAAAAGTTTAAAAAAAAGTCTGAAAAATCTCTACAAAACTAAAGAAAAACATTTATATGTGTCCTAATATTTTTTTAAAGTTATGACCAAAAAACTTTATTTTGCAAAATTAAAAATGCAAAGAAATGTCCGAAATTTTATATTTGAAGGAATTTTATTTTTTCACTTAAAATTTTTTTTTTTTTAACATAGGAAATCTTTCGAGACAATTCAATTAATAATCAAATTTTTCAAAAGATTTCAATTATTTTCAAAATTTTTAAAAAATTTCTTCATAAAAAGTAAAATTCAATTATTTTCTTAAATAATAAAATTCTTCGCAAGAATTCAATTTTCATCATAAAAAATAAAATTCTTTGGAAGATTTCAATTATTTTTATTAATAATAAAATTCTTAGGAGGATTTTACTTTTTTTTAAATTTGAAACAAATTCTTGTCAAGAGAATTCAATTTTTATCGTAAATAATTAGATTCTTTACAAAATTTCAATTATTTTCAAAAACTTGAATAAATCCTTGTCAAGAAATCCTTTGGAAGTAAAATTCATCGCAAAAATTAAATTATTTTTTATAAATAATACAATTCTCCTGAGGAATTCAGTTAATTTTAATACAGTTTTCATAAACTTCAAAAATAAAATATTTTCTTATAATTAATAACATACACGATTATTTTAAAAAGTTGAAAAAATTCTTTGTTTAATTCCAGGGTGTCTAGTATTTTCGTTCAACAAAATTCCCGGTTATTTCCCGGATTTTCCCGGTTATGTCCAAATTTTTTCCCGGTTTTTTTTTCTTATCAAATTTAAATTTAAATTTAAATTTAAATTTGATTTCGAAAATAAATAAATCTTTAAATTCTTTTAATTTTTCAAAAATAATCTTATCTCTTTATGATTATAAGGGGCCATCCATAAACCACGTAGCCTCTTGAGGGGGAGGGGGGGGGGGTCAAGCAATTGACTACGACAAGAGGAAAAAATGGCGCTAATACATGTAATAGCGTACTACATGGGGGGAGGGGGGGGGGTCAAAATTCCCAAAAAATGGGGCTACGTGGTTTATGGACGGCCCCTAATTGAAAATTTGATTTTTTTAATTTTATTAAAATTATATTGATAATAATTGAATTTCTGCAAAAAAATTTCACTATTTATAAAAACAATTGAATCCTTCCAAAGAATGCTATTATTTATGAAAATAATTTAATTCTTGTGAAGAATTTTATTAAAAGTTTTGAAAATAATAATCATTAATAATTAATTATTTACTTAATAAGTAATAAACATTTAATCAGAAATTTAAAATTATAAAAATTTAAGAGAAGTTTAATAATATTTTTAGAAGCAAAAAATTAATTTAAAACTGAAAGAGGGACTTTAAATTTTAAAAATTAAATTATAATTACGGTCACTAACTTCCCTTGATTATTTTCGAAAAATTTAAATAAAATTCTTTAAAAGAATTCAATTATTTTTCAAAAAGTGTAAACAAATTTCAGTTATTTGTTTAGAAAAATTCAATTATCTTGAAACAATAGAATTAAAAAATTACAACAATCTTATTTTTCAGAATTAAAAAAAAAATTTGCGAAAGTTCAATTTATTAAACAATTTTAAGTATGTATATTTTTTTAAATTAACTAATAAAAATTTTAATTATTAATCTTCGCAGTAAGAAACATGAATACATTAGAATTTAACTCTTTATAATATTCAATTATTAATCAATTATTAAATTAAAATACTTTGAAAATTCTATTTGTTAAAAAGTTTCTAATGAAATTCTTTAACAAATTTAATTACATATTTTCAGTCGAATTGATTTTTTACTATCAAATTAATTATTTTTAACTAACTTAAATTTAGAGAACAGTATAAATACCTATAAAAATTGAAATAAAAAGTGATTTTTTAAAAACAAATTAAAATAATAAAACTTTTTTAATTTTGGTAAAAAAATTCCCGGTTTGGTATAAAATTCCCGGCTAATTCCCGGTTTTTCCCGGTCAAATAAAATTCCCGGTTATTTCCCGGAATTCCCGGTTAGTAGACACCCTGAATTCACTTATTTTCAAAAATTATGAATTAAAATTTTTCAAAAAACTACATTATTTAAAATAAACACAAAGAAATTCTTCAAAAGAATTTAATTATTTTCTAAAATTTTGATAAATCCTTCGAATAAAAAATTATTATTTTTATAAATAGTAAAATTTTTTGCAAAACTCCAATCACTTTTAATACAATTTCAATAAAATTTCATGAAAAATTCAGTTTTTTTTATATTTTAAATATTTTTCGAAAAAATTCTATTATTTTCTAAAATTTTTATAATCATCCTTCAAAACAATTCAATTATTTTCAAAATTTTTAATTAAAATTATTTAAAAAAAACTATTTATATTACCTATTTTTAAAATACTTAAAGAAATTCTTCAAAGAAATTTAAGTATCTACAAAAGCTCTAATAAAATTGTTGAAAAGAAATAAATTAGGATTTTAAAAAATTTTAATAAAATTCTTCGAAGGAATTCAATAATTTTTTAAAGTTTTAATAAAATTCTTTGCAAGAATTCAATGATTTTTAATACATTAATTTTAAAATTGAAAATATTTAAGAAAAAAAATGATTAAAAAAGTTAGAAAACAAAAAAGCAAACAACTAACTTTAAACTGTTGCGGTCGACACTCTTTAAATATATATTTTAGATTAAAATGTGCTTAATTATAAACTTTAAACGGTATAAGTATCACTTGATTGCAAAGATTTGAATACTTTTTATTTTCAAGAAGATTTTATTTACAAAAGACAACAATAGAAGAATCGAACAGGGGAGAGATGATAAAAAAATTGTTGTGTTATCAATTCTTTAAGAGATCATTGAATATATCAGTCTGAAATACATGCATCATTTTTTCCCTGATTTTTTTATCCCGCCAGTGACGAGAGGTCCCTTTTGCGCAGCTTTCTTTGCAGCATCTTGCATAGCCTTTTGTTGCTCCTTTTGCTTTTGTTTAAATGCTACATCTTGTTCGTCCAAATCTTTCGAATCTTTCTTTGGTGCCTTCAAGGGCTTCTTCTTTCCTCCTTCTCGACCAGACATTCTAGAATAAAATTATTTTTCGTTTCATTTCAACATCTTGTAAAGTTTACACATAAATCAATTCAACTGAAGCATGTAATTAACAAAACAAGCAAAAGTGTCTTCTTAATAAAACACGATTCAAAAATAGAGAAAATTTATCTTGCTACTATAAATCCAATCTCAATAAGTAATTTCTGTGCTTACAAATAAAAACCAATCAATAGTTATTTTTGTTTCTAACATTTTGATAATGTTAATTTTAATATTTCAGTTGACTGACTCTTTTCAAAATAATTGAGTTTTTAAAAAATATAAAAAAGTAAATTTAAAAAAATTTTAATTTACTTTATTCGAGGGTATGTAATTAAATCTTAAAAAATTATGATAAAACAATTCGAAAAATTAGTTTTTTATAAATAAAATATTGTAATGTAATTTTTCGAAAATAATTGAATTTCTAAAAAGAATTTTTGTACACTTTAAAAAAAAACTATAATTAATTTTTTGAAGAATTTTAATTAAAAATTTAGAACATGATTTTTTTCTCCAAAATATTAAAAATAATATTCTAAAATGTTCTTTTTTTATGTATTTGAATTTTCAGAAATATATAATGGAAAATACTGTAAATATTGAATTTTAAGAAATTAGAAGCTAATTTTCACTTGTAAATTTAGATTTAAAGATTTTTCATTAAACTTTTTTGATAATTTAATTATTTTCAAAATTTTAAATTAAAACTCTTCAAAAGTTGAATTTCAGAAATTGTAACAAAATACTTGAAAAAAATTAATTATTTTAATTAAATTTTACAAAATTTCCATTATTTGAAATGATTTTTATTATAATTATATAGGAAAGGAATTTATCATTCGGCATTAATTTATTTTTATTATAGTTATATTTGAAAAATTTAATTATTTTAAAAAATTATTCAAAAATAAGTTTTGAAAGATTTGTTTACTTATTTTTCGCACTATAAAAATTGAAATAATTTGCATTTTATACTAAAAAAATATGGTAGGTATTGCAATATTTAGAAGAAAAGTCAAAAAAATTGCAATTTTTGAAAATCAATAGAAAAAAGTTTCGATTTTATTTTGTTTTCCTGACATTTCAAATTTAAAATCAAATATGAACAATTTTGTATAATTAAATAATTTTTTTTCTTCTTTATGAAAAAAAAATATTTTTTTAATTTTTAAAAACAAATAAGAAATTTCAGAAATATTTCATTAAAAATCGATCTTGAGAAATCGACGAGCAATTTTATAAGTTTATAATTAAACTCAAGATTTCCTGGATTATTCTTATTTTTATTAAATTGAGACGTTTCAATACCGACATCGGTGTCCTCTTCAGTCAAATTACATTTAAAATTCAGTTGTTATAAAGAAGAAAATTTTTGTTTCAACAGAATTTTAAATGTAATTTGACTGAAGAGGACACAGACGTCGGTGTTGAAATGTCTCAATTTAAAAAAATACGAACATTCCAGGAAATCTTGAGTTTAATTATAAATTATAATACATACATATAACTGGATGACTCACAAAAAAATAATTTTAGAAAAAGTTGGAAATTTTATAAGTCTTCATTTGAAAAAATGTATTAAACTTAGAAATAATATTGTTTTTAAGTGACAGAGTGAAAGTCCCAGTTCGGTACACTTTTATTTCAACAATAACAACAATGAAAAAATTATTTGCTTAAGGCGGTGTCAAAGTCGATTGGATTTTTGCATTGAGCTTCAATGGAAAAATCGCATCGACTTTGACACCGCCTTAAGGGGATTCCACATACCGACAATGCAGATCAAAAATGGTTAAAAATCTGCAACGACCGTTTCTTGAAAAATATAAGGAATTATGACCTATAAATTTGTGAAAGTCATTTTTTATTATAAATACATAGGATGAGTATTTTATTTGTTGTAATTTTAAAAAAAAAATATATTGTTAGAAAATTAAATATGGTCAGTTTCCAAGAGCCCAAACTGCAACGACCTTTTCTTGAAAACAACAAAACAAAATAATTTTTCCATTTAACAAAGTTAATTTTAATAAAAAATACACATAATAAGATTCATTACATATGAAAACAACAATAAAAAACTTTAATTTATGTAAACTGTTTTGTATAGCAATTTACAACAAGAAGAACACATATGACAGCTTTTAGTAGTTCATAGAACCAAGAGATGGCGCCAAAGGTTCCAAAACTGACCAATTTTGATTATTTTTAGCTTTAAATTAGCAACAATAAAATATAATGTTTTCTTTTCGAGTAAAAATTCATTAGTGATGAAAGACACACAATGAGAGACATTTATTTTGTTCAAATTGATAAGAAAAGTTAATGCTAGTAAATTAAATATCAAGTGCCACCGAACAGCTGTCACATATACACTTTACAAAAAATAAAGTTTTTATTTATTCCTGAATGGCAAATGAGTCTCATCCTCCGTATTTTCCTACAAAATTAAATTTCCCAAATGGAAAAATTATTTTGTTTCGTTGTTTTCGAGAAATGGTCGTTGCAGTTTGAGCTAGTAGTCAAAGATGTGTTACAGGGAAACTGCCCATATTTAACTTTCTAACGATAATTTTTTTCAAATAATTACAACAAATAAAATACTCATCCAGTGTATTCATGATAAAAAATGAGTTTTCCAAATTTATAGGTAATAATATCTTATATTTTCTAAGAAACGGTCGTTGCAGATTTTTAATCATTTTAGATCTGCAATGTCGATAAGTGGGATCCCCTTAAATCTGTTTAGGTAAACTAATAATTTTACTCCAAGATAACAATATTTTTAATTTAAAAAAAAATTAATTTACATTACTATAAAAAAAATCTTAAAAAATGGACAGCTACAGAGATATCCACAGTAAAATAAAAATTTTATTTCAAGGGATTGCTGTTGTTTTTATCAAGGTATTTAGGGAAATTGAATAGAATAATATTTGAGTCTTCTCGGCTTTGTAATATTGACAAAAATACATAAAAAAATGTTCTCTCCTTCAAAAATACAAAATAAAATAGATGAGAATTGATTTACTTCCTCCATTTTGAGTTCATATTAAACATTGGAATAGAAATGAATTGACAATAGAAAATATTTTCTTTAATAAAAAAAAAATACAAAATGTAAATTGAAAGCAATATATTTTCTTAAAAATACTTTCTAATGCACTGTAAATAAAAAAAAGGTTTACAGGAGCTTACAATAACATTTATATTCATCTGATTAATGTAATGTTTAAACACTTTTCAATAAGATCGTTTCTATACTGCAACTATTATAATAATAAAACAGAATTTATTGTAATAGACATAGATTTTGATCACCAAAAACTACAATTCTAATTATTGGTTATTTTTTTAAGTAATAATTTTGAAATTATTTTATATGTATAATTATACCATTTAATTGGGAAGAAATGTTTTAAGTAAGATGAAAATCATTCAATATTTTAAAAATATATACATATACATAAAACATACAATTAACCTTACTTGTACTTAAAAGTTCTGAGGAATTGAGTGTAGTAGATAAAGGTTTCACTTCACCTTAACTATTAAAAATATTTGTATGGAATAATTTTAACTTTTTATAATAATGTACAACATTAAAGCGGTAAAAAATCAACTGTATACAAGAAAACCTCGTTTTTCATAAACCATAGAATTAACATTTAAAAGATCGTACACTCTTCCCAAAGCAGAATAATGGCGCACTCACACCTTTAAGTCCAACGCACAATAGGTTCGCGAAAGAGACGCATGAGATAGACAAGGACACAAATATACCTCTGTCCTTTTCTAACTCATGCTTTGCGTTCGCGAACGACTTTCGCGAACCTATTGTGCTTAGGCCTTTAGTAACTGCCTGCCTGTTGCAGGTGCAGGTATCTTGATTCAGGGTGCGATCCCATGTGAGCAGAATACGTCGACCGAAAGCAGAAAATTATGAGAGTGAAAAGAACAACAATATCTACCTATCTCTTTTGCACTCATGATTTTCTGCTTTCGGTCGACGTATTCTGCTCACATGGGATTGCACCCTCATGGTAGGCTGTTTAAAGGCCAACGCAGAATAGAATCTTTAGGGTGGAGTCCCATGACAGCGTTTTGCGTTGCGTCGTAATGGGAGAGAAAAAGACGCAAATATACGTTTGCTGCATTCTCTCTCATTACAAGGCAACGCAAAACGCTGCCATGGGACTGCGGCCTTAAAGTCGGTTCTACAATGGGCACGTCGGACGTGGTCGTCTGACGTGCCGTGCTGACGTCACCCATGCTATTCAAATGGGTGACGTCAGCACGGCACGTCAGACGTCCACGTCCGACGTGCCCATTGTAGAACCGACTTAAAGGCGAGAACAGAATAGCCTACGTGAACGTGTAACGTGCTGACGTCACAATGTTATTCAAATGGGTCACGTGACCACGTTAACGTACACGTTTTCATAGGCATTCTGTTCTCGCCTTAACCGGAACCGCAATCGTAAGCGTAACCGTAAGAATGAGTTAAAGAAGGATAGGTAATATTAACGTAACAATGCTAAGTATATTGTTTCGTTACGTTTTCGTTCCGTTCAAGAGTGCTATTGTTGACTCAACCTTAGAGAAGGAATATATATGTATAAATAAATAATATAATATATTGTTTATCCTTCTCTAACCCATTCTAACGCTTACGATTACGGTTCGAATTAAGTTTCTATTCTGCGTTGGGCCTAATCCGCTGCCATGGTGACTGCACCCTTAGGATGCAGTTCATTATTTATTGTGAACGCAACCTAACTGGTGCCGGGTGCGGCACCCTCTTCCAGTGTGGACTCAACTTAATAAGTTAGTATCACAATAAAATGAAAATAAACATTTAAATGACAGGATCTTGTAATCAACAGAGAAAATGCTAGAGTACATTTTGTAACTTCTGCAGTGAAAATATAAAAGAAAATAGATAATGGCTACATTGGAAGATAAAATATTGGGTGAACGGAGTGAATATTATTGCAGCAGCTCCAGTGATGAGGAGACTGAAACTGAAAATGTTATGTCTGAATGCAGCATTCCAAAACCATCAAAATGGGACGGCATGTCTTGTAACACTGGACCAAAAGGAGTATTACGGGTAAGACTTCCTGCTATGTATTCATTTCGTTTCAAAATTAATATATCGGATATCGCTTTAGATGAATTGAATTTTTTCCACTCTTGTGAGGCTAATTTCGAGGTTTGGTATATAGCGGGAACCCTAAAACTGACAGAAGCCTTTTCGGATATTTAAAAACTATCATTTATGTCATGGAACTCAAGTTATTAACGTTTTTGAAGATGCAAAAAGCGAACAATTTTTTCGTTTTTTTAAACCAACAAGCAAATAGTTTTTGATAAAAAGAACTTAATTATTATTTCCATTAGATTCTAAACAGATTTTCAATCTAATTGGGACGAAGAAGACAATAGTTAATAACTTAATAATAATTTCAGTTTCGTACTATGTTGCACAAAAATTACATTATAGTGAAAAAGTTTAAATTGGATTTGGAATATTGTTTAAAAGTACAATAACTATTCAATAGTGAATATATATAGTAATAAATATTGGGGATTACTATAAATGCAAATGTTAATAATAATAAATAAATAATACAAATTTTTTTAGAAAGATAAAAGACTTTAATTAACTAGACTAGGTTTAATTTTTAAATAATTTCCAATACAATATAACATTTATACAGATAAATCAATTTGTATTGATGCAATGAATTTTATTTTATAATACTTAAATTCAAAATTTGTATTATTAATTATTTAAAATAAATGCCTATGAAATTTAAAAAATTTACTGTTTTTATTTATGCATTATTATTTTATTGGGAAAAATGAAATTATTGCAAATTTTTCCCTTTTTAAAAAAAAATTAAAACTTTGTAACAAAAATTGTAATTTAGAAATAGAAATCATACCAATTTTTTTCATTTCTTTCGAATAAGAAAATAAAGTTTTGTTAAAAATTGTTCTTTATATCAAATCAAAATTATGCATATTTTTGTCATTATATTTACACAAAATTGGAATATTTTAAAAATATAACGAAATAGAAAATATACCCATTTTGCATATTTTTTGTCTATCAATCACAATTTTGTTCATAAAAATATAATTTTGTTTTAGAAAATAAAGAAAAATATTTGCATAATTCCTTTTTTTGAATCACGAGTTTTATACAAAATTCTATGTTTTTTTAAAAACAAGGAACAAAATTTATTATTAAACCTTTCTTGGTAACAATTTTATTATTTTTTCTTGCTTACTATACTAAGACCAATTTTATGAAAAATAATATTCAATAATTAATTTATTGATAACTTTGAAAATAATTAGTTGATTAAAAATTTTAATTGTAAAGGTTCGAGTGTAAGAGAAAAATTATTTTCAACTTTTGATGTATTTATAAGTGTCAAAAATGTTTGTTCAAATTCAAAAAATTTAATCATTTCAATTAATTAAATTATCTAAAATTATTTTTTAATAAATAAGGGCCTTAATGCAAGACAATTCTAATTCATTCTCCAATTCAAGATAATGCTATCTCAAAATCCAATGCAATTAATGTTTAAAATTTTTTATTAAGCGGACTTTCTCAGGGGCGTATCCAGGGGGGGGGGTTCAACCCCCCCTCCCCCAAATTTTGGAAAAACATATGTTAAAGCCTAAATTTTATTCTGAGTACACCTCTTATCAAATTCCATTAACCCCCCCCCCCCGAAACTTTTTTTTGGCTACGCCCCTGGACTTTCTTGTGCAGTATTGGTAAAGAAACACATTTTTAAACTCTTATTGTGAAAAATAGTTATTGCAAAAATAACTAAAAAAAAGTATTTTTAGTTCATTTTCGCAACTGTATACTGTATAGGCACCTTTTGGTGCCTTTTTTTCGGGGAGACAGTTTCCGGGCAACCTATTTTCATAAATTAAAGATTCAAAAGGCATTATTTCTATAAGAGTTTTTTCTAGACAACAAAACTCAAAAACAATTTTTTAAAAATGTTTTGCAATTTTTTATACACATTTTTCTAAAAAAATCGAAAAAATGCTGTGCTTTTGGGTCAATTTACCCCCGTAGAAAATGTGAAATTTTAGAGGTTCGTTGTCTAGTTTATTAGATAAAGAATCGAATGGTTTTTGGTTTTTTAAAATCGGTTCAGTAGATTTCAAAAGACGAGTGCAAAGTTTGCTGCTCTGAGCGAAGCGTGGGCAGCAAACTTTGCACTCGTCGGAAAACAGCTTTTTTCTGTACTTGTTGCACACAGAAACTTTGTGCTAATAAATAAATCTAATCAATAAATGGAAGGAAAGTACACTTTCCTGCACACTTTTAAATGTACAGAAATTGACCACTTTGTGCTGCATTTATGTTAAAGAAAAGTAGCTCTTTTCCAGCAGGTGTTGCACAATAGTATATTGTGCAACAAGTACAGAAAGAAGCTGTCTTCCGACGAGTGCAAAGTTTGCTGTCCCGAGCGAAGCGAGGGCAGCAATTTGCACGAAGTTGGAAAATCTTCTTTCGTACGTGTTGCACACAGTACTTTGTGCAACACCTTTTGGTTTTGATAAAAAATCTGTTTGGAAACGCTAGTTGACGCCAACATACGTACTGTTTAGCAGGGTTTGAAACGTATGTTACCGCACGTAATATACGTGGTTTTCTACGCGTATATTACTGTAAAAAACAGGTATTCTACAAATAGAAAACAAATACCTATGTATATCACCAAAAAAACCCAAAAGTTTAAGAACTTTGCCGCACTAGTGCAGCAAAGTACTGTTTTGCGCCTACTTTACAGGCATGCAAAGTATTACTTTCCTTACAGGTGTTGCATAAAATAAATTGCTTTACTCCCTGTTATCTAAAAGCGCCATTTTTGTGCCTGTGGAATAAAAAATATTTTTCATTTGAAAATGCTTCTTATATTAACCAAGTCGTAGTTCATGTTTGTTAATTTTATGATAATGATATCACTTTTATGTTTTAAAATAGGACTGGGAACGATTTAGGGAGTTAGAAGAAAATAAAAAAAGCACTGATGCACTAAGGCAGAAAGAATTAATAGAGAAGATCAGTATGACTTGTGGCAGTTTAATGGATAAAGACAAAGAGAATGATTTGGAAACTGACCCTGAACTTTTAGATTTATTGTCAGATGATTACTTGTTAGAGTACCAGACTCAACAAATGATTGAAATGTTTAAAAGAATTGAGAATTTACGTTTTGGTGAAGTTATTCATTTGTCAAATACCGACGAATTTCTGGCTGCGATTGATAATGAGAACAAGTTTGTCACTGTTATTATTCACATTTATGAAAAAAATGTCGCAGGATGTGAGGCTATGAATGGAAGTTTAATAAATTTGGCCAAGGAGTACCCATTTGTTAAATTTTGCAAAATTTTAGGTAAGTGACTTGCAATTTTTAAACTAATTATAAAATATCGAACAAGTGCGAGTTTAACTTTAAATTACATTTTAATCAATCTGAATCCAGTTTCCTATGTTTTTTTTCAAAATTTACTCGTAAAAATACACAAGAAATCACACTTCTTATTTGCTCAGGTCTAAAATTGAAAAATTTAATGCTGGTGACCAGTTTTTATCGAAATTTTCCATTTTTCGGGAAATAATAGGTTTTAATCAATTTCAATCGAGTTTGCTAAATAGTGCAACGTATTACTAACATATTGCAAATATATATTTATTATAACTACCTTGTGACACATTGTAAAAAAGGGTGTGAAAATTTAACTCCTCTAAGAGTTAATTTGAACAGTAAAATATGGCAGCTAGACCATATTGGGATCTTCATACTAGATCATGAATAATAATTTTTGAAACTAAAAGGCCCATTTTTAATTTTTTTAGCAACATTCTAGAGTTTAATAAAAATATCTAATTAAAAGCGTATGTATGTTTTAATTTTGAATCGATTTGAATGAGGTGATTTTTCAAATTATTCAAATTGACTCAATCCGTTTTTCAATACCTATTTCAAAAGCAAAAAAGGGCATTTTGAAATTTTCTGTTTTCTAAAAAAACGCCAGCTTTCGTTTTCAATAATTTACTTCAAAATTATATTGATCGCTTATAGTGAAAGTAGCCAATTAAGTATCAATTTTAAAAATATTCAAAAATTAAATTCGCCAATGAAAAGAGCGTTAAAAAGTCTTTCAGAAATATTTTTTACATTTTTTCATTACATACATTAACAAAAAAAAAAAAAAAAATACAAAAGTAGACGGTGTCTAGATTTGAGTCTCGCTATAGCGAAACTTATAAAATTGACTCCCCTCTTTTTTTCTCACTACTTTCGTAATACATATATCAAGCCCTACATTGCACTTAAGCTTTGAAGAAAAGTAATGACAGAAGAAAATATTTTAAGTGTAAAATATAACATTTCTTTTCAGGATCTACCCTTAACGTCAGTAGGCATTTCAAGAAAGATGGCATTCCAGCTTTACTGGCATATAAAAACGGCCAAGTTATAGGAAATTTTGTTCATGTTTCTGATAGTTTGGGTGAAGATTTTTTTGCTGAAGATGTGGCCGCATTCTTAACAGAACATGGTTTACTTAACGACAAAAAATGTAAACCGCTTATTATTTCCAGCGATAAAAGTAAAGAGCCTAAAAATAAATAAATTTTTAAAAACTATTATTGAATTTTATTTAAAATTAAAAGAAATTCTTATTCCAAAAATAAAGAAATTGGGTAAGTGTTTGTCTTTAATTTGAAGATAGGTTTACTTAAAAACTGTATGGGAACTCGACTGAACATGAACCTCTTTTTATGAGGCGTAAAATTCAACTGAAATACATAGGTATATGTGAAGAATATTCTATACTAAGATCCAAACTCACGTACTCTTCATTTAACAATTTCAAATTTTTCATTAAAAATGGGAAACATTAATCATGAAAATTAAAAAAACACATTAAAAATGGTTCCTTATAATTTTTTGTCAGACTATCAAATTAACTATGTTCAAAATTTGAAAAAAATTCTCGTAAAAATCTCAATTATCTTTATAAATAATCTCTTAATTCCTACGGAAAATCCTGTTCCAAAAATAAGATTAACCCTCTGCCTACGCTAACTTATCCCCACTCTAGCGCTTTTGAATGTAATTCAAGTCCCCACCAGGCGACCGAATTGTCGTTTTTTGTCGATAACGATCACTTGCGTAGGCAGCAGGTTAAAAATAGAAAAAAAATAAATAATAATAATAAATAAATATTGTGCAAATATTTTTCTTCTTTTTCTAAAATAAAATAATATTTTTGTTAAAAAAATTGTGATTCATAAACAAAAATAATGCAAAATCAATTTTCTACTTCTTAATGACAGTTGTTTAATAATTTTGTAATTTTGTTTAGAAGTAAAAAACAAAAATCTGCATAATTTCAATCTGACAAAACATAATATTTAACAAAATTTTAGTCTTTTAATGAAAAGAAGTGAAACAAAATTGTGATGATTTCTATTTGTCATTACAATTTTGAATTATAAAATAAAAATAATTATAACATAATAATATAATATACAATCTATCTAAAGTTAACAAAAAACAAAAGTATAAACAAAAGACAACTTCAGAGTGTGAGGGACAGAAAAAGTGAATGAATAAAAGAACATTCAAATCATTATAGTTAATAGGTTAAAAATGATAAAAAAATAGGACTTAGAAATGTATTTTTATATACTCTATAAGATATACTCTATAAGAAAAGAAAAAGAACAGATTTTAACAAATTATTTAAGTTGGATGAAGCTTGGGAGCTAAACTGCCAATCTAGGCTTCCACGAATTATTTTGTTGTTTTCCCAAAGAATATTTGTCAAAACTTTGTTTATTTTATCATTACAAGTATTTTAAACATTTTGCTTCAGCACAGTCCAATTTTTTCAAATTCATTTTTTATATCATTTGGTGTTTGTATGTAGATACTTTCTTTATGTGGGTCTGATCGTGCAAACTAAAAGAACCATTAAATCAATAATATTATTAAATTATAAAGTAACTTTACTTATAAATAATAATTTTTAAAAATTTAGTATAGAAGTAAGAGTCAATAGCCGATTGTCAAGCGAAAAAGTATTATTATACTATCCAGCCAGTAAAGAGAAGAAAAACGTAAAAAAAATTTGAAATATTTGATTTTTGAAAAGTTTTATTTTATAAAGTATGAAAAATGCATAAAACCTTAGATAATCATTAATTGGAAACTAATTCAAACTGAGTCCTTAATAAATTAAATGGTGAAATATATGTTACCTCTATTACAATTTCTTTAAGGATTTCTGAACGTTTTACTAAGTCAGCTACTTTTGAGCTTAGTCTTGTAACATTTTCAGTTATCATCAGTTCTTCATCAACATCGTCGTGAATCTGTGAAAATACTAATTTAAATATCCTAACGAATGGAATTTAGTAGAAATCCATAGTGCTCATATACTTCCGGTTTGATCAAGTAACACTATGTTAAACTCGGATTTTGTAAAAAGTATCTATGTTTAGAGAAAAATTTCTTGGAAAATGAGCTTCCAATATACTCTTAATCCGTACCACAGCATGATAATATTATTCTTACCTGTTTTGCAATTTCTTTGACGTTGAAGCGAATATAAGTTAGCGTTTGGTAAGACTTGTTAATCTAAGAAAAATAGAAAATTTTTGTTTAATGATTAGAAACATCTAATGTCATTTTAAGATATAACGTGCAAGGTATAATTATACGCCCCGAGAAAACGTACCACACGGCATCGAACATTTTCTAAAAGTTGAAATTAACTTGACTGCAATCTTCGGAATCTTTAGTTGCGAAGCTCATTAAGGTTGAAGGGGTTGAAGTAATTCTTTAAATTTAGACTGTTTTTCAGTGTTTGACGCGAGAGTTGACTGAACATTGCTTGAAGGTTTAAAATTTCTAGAACCCTCATGCAATGTTCAGTCAACTTTTACGTCAAACACTGAAAAACAGCGGACATTTAAAGAATCACTGCTGGTTACATGAGCTTCACGGCAATTTCAACTGTCAAACTGTCAAGAAATTTTCGGTGTTGTGTAGGATATGTATGAAGCATACAATTTTTGGACATATTTGTAAGTTTAAAAATAATAGTACACAAAGAGGATGAGTTCTCAATAAATACAATTGATGTTTAAGTCTCCATTACATTTGAGGCTCTGGATCATAAAAGGGCACTTTCAGCGTTGGTTTTAAATGCTAAAAATGTCCTTTTAAGATTCGGAGCCTCATTTAAAACAATTAATAAAAACCTAGTTTATTATACACAAATTTACCAAATGGTTTTCTTTTGATATCTCTTCCAGTAATGCAGAATGGGCTCTAATCAGTTTGTAGAACTGTAAAAATGTAAAACATTGTATTATTTTTTACTGTAATGTATTGCAGTGAGTTAAAAAACGGTCATAAAAATTCCTATATCATTTTTTTCTTTTGACTAGTTTTTAAAAATGTTTTTGGACAGTAATTATATGATGCTAAGGAACATTTTAAAGCTAGAAAAAAAATCGATTTTTTTGAAATCCTTGACCAGAAAGTCTTCTTAATTTTTTGCATTGCAGTAATCTCTATTGTTTAGGTCATATCAAAAATATTAAAATTTACTTTGTTGCAAACATTAGGTTTTACATTAAATGAAGGACTCGTTACAAACGCAACGCCTACTTCTCAACTTCTAAAATAAAATATTAGTTGTCGTTTTGTGCATTAATGGTTTGTTTAATCAAAGTCAAAATAAAAATGTTCTTATTCTATTATGTAATTTAAACATTTATAATTATACAAAATGCGTTTAGAATGTCTAATTTAATGCACAGTTAACAAAAATAAATTAGTGATTATAATATTTTATTTTATATCACATTCAAATTCAATCAGAATTGTATTTGAAATAAGTAAATAAATGTTTACTAATTTTCTGTAAAAATGACAAACCACAGAAATGAAATGTGTTATAATTTTTTTTAGATTTTTTTCTGAAATAATTTCAAATTAAAATTTCCGCTGCAAGAAATAATCATGCAGCGATTCTATAATAATTATAATATAAGTATCAGTAGAGTAAAAATTAATTTCTTGATAACTGAAGTAACATCTTTTAAATGTAAGGTTAGTACACATAATTTAAAACATGCAAACCTATATACCTTCATCAATTTTCAAAATAATAAATTAAGATAACATTAAAAATCTGAAGCTTTAACTGATACTATTTAAAGATTACTTACTCTTAAAAAAAAGGAAATGGCAAGCGCAACGTTCGCAAAAACCAAAACAATGCTGTTCATCATTTCTATTTAATTTTTCTTAAAACCACTAAAGTATATAAACTTAAATTTTCTTATAAATGAAAGTTAATAAAATTTCCCTAATAACATTCGATATTTTTTCTAGTATGGGTGTAAGAAATTTAATATAAAATTAAATCGTTGTAGAAATTGAAAAGTCATATTATAAAACTAACCCACATTTGCAAACTAGTTTTTAAAAACAAAGAAGTCTCTTCACATTCACAAAGTGATGTTAAGCAATGTCTACAATAATAAACGTATTTAGATATTCATGGCAATTTATTTGAGTTACTTTCGTTTGCTTTTTGCTTAAAAATACTAAGTCATTAATAAACATCTTTATTTAGTTAAAAAATCATTGGCCAATACCAATAAAGACAGACAGATTAAGGTACTACTACACTTTAGAAGGCTCTTAAAAGACCAAATTTAAAAAAATTTTTTCTCAGATCTTTTATTATAAATATTTAAAAAACTTTTTTGCCTATATTAGTACACATTTGGAGAATAAAAATAATGGTTTGTTTTTAATTTTTATTTAATATCATAATCTGCAGACAGCATTCAGATCGAAACTCCAAAAACTTAGTTGTCCAATTGCGGACAGTTTATCTCAAGATTGACAAATCGGAAACAAAAAATCCAAATTGCTTTTTAAAAAGGAAGGTGTCTTGCATAGAAATCTACCACCAATAATGAAAAATCGACTAAAATAAAAAAATAGCAGATGTTTCAATAATTTGTTTAAAAATACACTATGTTTTTCAGTATTTTTCTAGTCTGCAAAAATGTTTTTTTTTAATTTTTTGACCATTTTCTGGTAAATTGTCACACAGGACATGCTAACAAACAAAACGAGTTATCATTTATTAAAATCGGTTCAGTAGATTCAGAGATAAACTGTCCGCAATTTGAGAAAACGTTATTTTGAGAAAAACGCGTTTAAACCTTATATATGTATCGTTAGAGGCCATCCATAAATTACCTAAATTCTTTTGCAAATTAAAACCCCACCATTTTTTTTATTTCAGACACTGTTACATACATTAGCACCAATGTTTCTACTGGTCGTAACAAAAAGCTGGACCCCACCATCCCCTTAAAGACTTACTTAATTTGTCAATGACTTTTTACATTAATTGAATATTTTTTGAAAAATTTACTTTCATTTTTTACAATTGGTTATAAATACTTTAGGAGGTGTTTTCTGAAGGCATAAGGAGCTAAAAAATACAATAAAAAAAAATAAAATTTTTTTAAATTCTAAAGTGTAGTAGTACCTTAAAGAATGTTTGTATTGTAGTTTTGAATTAGGTTGTCCAGGAGTTCATTATTAAATAAAGTCCTTTAAGTTATTAAATAAATAAAATCTAGTTTTATTATTAAAAAACTATATTTATTAAACGTAAATAAATTATTTAATACTACGGTTACAATTCTTTTTGTCATAGCTCATATTTTCTTTATCAAGCTTATCTATTACATCTATTCTTAAAAAAGATCCCATTAAAGAACGAGCGGTCGATGTTGCTCTTTTGAACCCATTATCATTGTCTTCACTTGAAGTTGAGCAGCTTTTCTGTGTAATTTTTACCGGTTTTGATTCTGTCCATATATTAATAGCAAATTTCAGTTCCACAATTAAAGCCTTCCAAGGAGTAACCTGGTGAAAAGTTATTTTATAATTAAAATTCGTATAATTGAGGCTCCAGCCCTTAGCCGCTTATAAGATCCGGAGGCTCAATTTATCTAAAGTGAAGCAAAATACTGAAAATATTTTAGTATTACATATAGTACACACAGTAGTACAAACAAAACCTTAATTCTGACCTTTTCTTCAACAGCAACCTTTCTTACGTTCCATATGAATTCACAAAGAGCTATAAGAAACGATACTCCACAACCACACATTAAAACAAGAAAGACCCCTCCAACATTGGACATCTTCAGAGCGTCTGCATCTGCGCCTCCACTACTACCACGATTAACAGTACAACTGGGTTCTGCCTCTACTTTCTTCCACCAATGCTCCTTCAATTGTCCAAGCTCACCGCTTTCTTGCAATTTCAACACAGCGCCACTAACTGCTGTCCTGTACGGTGAATCTAGGAACATGTTTCGTTTTCTTAATTAAACATTAAACAATTTCAAGAGCAATATCATGTCGAGCAAGGCGTGATTTTACACAGCAAATGAATTTCATTTCATCAACTTTAGAAAATTTTTCATTTCAACCAAATCAGAAACTAAACATTCCGTAGAAATTACCGTAAAAGGCCTTATACACACGGAAGGAATTTCTTTAGAAATTAAAATTATTTCACCTCTTCTCGGCAAACTGTTCTTGAAATTTCGGGAACTATTCAAGAAAAACGAAAAGTTAGGCGGATGTAAGAAAAAATCGATTCGGTTCTCCCTCCCACTTTCCATCTTTTATCCTTGAAGGTCATACATACAATTTTTATTAAGATTTTGAAATAGAAAAACCATTTTAGAAAAAAGACCTACGGCGGCTGGAACAAAACTCGCGTACGAGGATAGAAGTCAGGCGTGTTTCCTCTGAGCTGAATAAGCGCGTTAAATACCTCAGCATAAAATAAATATAAAAGGCACACCATTCTTATTGGATGTGTGTAAGAAAAACATAAAAATTCTTTACTTTTCGACATTTCTGCTATCTTTATCAGAACTGAAAAATGTTTATTTTAATGATTATGCAGGCGCATTCAATAAATAAAAATTTTATACACAATCATTCTGTTTTGTAAATACTTTTATACTAAAAGCTGCTTCAGCTAGGGTGACCAGATTTTGAAAATGGTTTCTGAGGACAGCCACCAGAATATAGGTTGATAAGCAAAAAAAAAAGATCCCCACTTACTATAAAACGTTAATTATTGATGTTATTAATAAGTTCAATACATATAAATTACACATGAGACAAAGAACTATTTCAAAAAAGGAAGACAAAGGAGGACATTTCGTCATTTTGGAGGACAAAGGAGGACTTTTTATTTTCGGAGGACAGCTACTAAAAAAGGAGGACGTCTGGTCTCTGGTCACCCTACTTTAGCCATATATATGGTTGCCTCATCAATATTGAGACCAACAATGTTTTTATACTTGTGACAACAACATCTTTCCTTTCCGTGTGAAATTGTTTTAGGTTGGTTTAAGTTATCAATAGTTTTCTTAAGCATTTACGGCTGCGCAGTTGATTTTTACAATTTTATAAATTCTATAAAAATAAATCTTTTATACAGGAACTGATATAAGGACATGTACGTAAAGTAGTAAATATAATCTTGATTGTAATTTGTGGGTCTAACGCTATTTATCATTAAAAATACCCTCAATAAACTTAAGTATGAACCTGTTTACACCGTATAGAGGGTAAAGTTCAGAAGGGTAAATTAAGTTGGAGATGGAGAAGTTAGACTATTATTAAGTTTTATTGGTAAAGTACTATTGAACGTACAATTTCTCTTGCATTTACTTTAGAATTAGACTCCATGTTAACACATGAAAAATTCATTGTAAGACTAGCAGCATACTCGCGAAAAAGAGGCGTTACTTGCAATGCTGTTGTCAGTGTACAATCGGTTTCAGCAATTTTATTATGATAAACCAAATGTAGTATGTTAATGAAATACAATAATTGATTGAATTTGAATTTAAGTGGACAAAGCAGTGGTAGCATGTAATTACTTTGTTGTCGTCGCGACAAAACAATTGGTAAAGTATGTGAATGGAAAGTGTACAGTAGGTGGAATTCCTTATGTGTAAATATATATTCCTGATTAATCAGGTGGCGCGAAAAAGCAACGAAGTAAGTACTACCACTATTAAAGTCTTGCTGAGATACACATACTTGGTGAACATTACCAGTTTCAATAATTATACACTGTTGTTCCTCTAATTTAATTTTAAATTCTCCTTCATCAAATATTTTCTCATTATTAGGCAAAGAAAGAACAACTTGATTTTTTTGAAAAATAGACTTAAACTGTTCTTGTTCTTGAATTTTAGTTACAAGAAATATAATCATATCGTTTGGTAAATTACCATTCTCCAAAGCACACAATGGCCCACTACACATAATGTTCGAAGCATTGATATTAAATTCAATCAAATTTTGATCGTGTAATAATTGTATAAAAGACTCATTTGTAACGGACATTGTGCTACATTCTAAATTTGTCACTTTCTCTGTATTAATTGATACTGCATAAACTGCTAATCCGTTGCCATCACCATCAAGTGAATACAACTGCTGATCTGTTATGCGAAATATACGAGGTGTTTGTTTAAAAGAAATATGGAAAGTTTTGTAGAAAATTGTTTGAAATCCTGTACACTGAGTATTGCCATTATTCATGCACCGATTATTTTGATCAATGCTGTTGTTTTCTTTGGCATCATACATCTCATTAAGCAGATTGCGTTCTCTAATGAATCTATGATAGTATGATAAGACAACGTCACTTAACAAGAATTGAACTTCATTTCCAATAATTACGAAATTTTTAAATAATGATGGTATCGATGTTATTGGATTACTGTCAAGAAAATTTGCAGCGTCTGCAGAAATGTAGTCGTAAATTATATTATTACAATGTACGTCTGGTTGAATTGTTTGTATTTTACTCAAATTACAATTTAATTCAGTATTCAAGTCACCATAAGGAACACTGGTATTATTATTTAAAGGGTAAGTAGTAGAGACGTGTAAATTTTTAACTCTTTCTTGTAACCTATATTCTGTCATTGTAGACATTCTAGCATTGGTTCCCAAACGTTTATTGTTTAGTTGGTAGTACTGATCGACACAGTCAAGAACCTGTGACAAGGCTACATCTTCACTACTTTCGTTAGTGTTACTTCCAATCTTATTATTTCTCTTTTCATTCAATATTGAATTAAATTCTTCCAATTCCCGTAGTTGTTCTTGCTGTTCTGTAATTAGTGTAAAAACTTGAGTAAAATTCTAAGAGATTAATTATATATTGCTTTTCAGGAAGTTTGCAGTTAATTTTACATTTGAACAAAAATACCACTCTTTAGAAAGATTGCTGCATTTCTTGTAAACTTTTGTACTTAATAATGGAAACTTAATGCAAACTTCATAAAATAGATAAAATTTATGCTGGTAAATATAATGTTTCAAATGCTGAATTCGAATACAATTCTGCTGTCCTGATGTGCTAATACGCGTTGAGCGTTGACTGACGTCTTTGTTACAGATCCCTTACTTATACTATTTAGAATCAAGTATCAGAGAGTTACAAGTACTGCAATCAAAAGTTGGCTTATCTTCGACTGAAATCCTTGACACCAGAGTCTGTATTGCAGAACGACTCATCAGCTTCAGAATTTCTAGTCAAATGAGACCTTATTTCCTGAGAGTGCATAGTTAAATAATATTACCGAAGCTACATTCCTTTTTTCGTATCGAATGCTAATAAGAAATATCATGTATCACACAGAAACTTTCTTCGCGCATCTCTCAGAAACGGCTGAACTGTTTGAAACTCAGTGTTAGTTCTTGACCCATGTTAGGTTTATAAATTTACAGATTTGAAAAATATTAATTAATTCTCTGGTTAAAATTTTGACGCCAGAATAATGGAATTCAGAATTGCATATTAAAAATGGCAGATTTAATTATCTGAGAGTTAAAAATCGTAAAACAATTAATTGTAATAATTTGCACTCAAACATGATACAGTGTCATTTTTAAGGGCTGTGATAAATGTGATTATCATGAGAATGAAAAATTACTTAATAAATCAGAGTTTCTCGCTTCATCAGGACAGCTATATTGTTATCATTCGTCTTTATACTGACCTAAACAGACATAATAATTGTTACTTGATTGTTGCGTTGTAAAATCTTCAACATGATTAGGCCTAGGTTCGTGAGGAAATAAACTTGAAACGAAAAAATCCATTACGTGGTGTTTCTACGTGCTCTATATGAAATTCTACCCGTATAGAAGACAAGATGACACTGAGCCATATGGGTCACAGACTGTGCTAAATAAGCATTTAATGTAATTAATAAATAAATTAAACGACTTATGCTTGCGCAATACTTCTTTTACTCTCTCTTTCATGCTTATTGCTAGAAATTTCTTTCCTAAATAAAAATTTCGATTAAAGTTTCAGATTATTATTTTATCACTAGAACAAACCATTCCATTTCAAATGTTAATCACATTACTATTTTTATAATATTGAATTAAATTAATTATTATTAAATTAATTATTGTCAAGGAGTCTGTAGGGCACCTTTCTTCAGGTTAGACTGTTTGCTTCACGCAGTGCAAACAACTGCATAACGTTTAAAGTTTTTAATTAAATTTTACAGGACAACGCAAGATCTTATATAGAAACTTATTTACGATCATATAAAAGTACACAATTATTATCTCGAATTACACTTGGTAAGAAAATTTACATGTTCTTTCACAAGGTCATTGTTCCAAATCCTCTCTATATATCCTTATTAATCAATTAATATTTCCATTAAGAAGTTGTTGAAATGAATGATCACAATTTTTTAATTATTAATACGACCAAATGACAGAATCAATCTTATACTTTAAAATTACTTTAGTCATTTACTTACTTAACGGCATTGCAATTCCATATCCTTTACTATCAAGTAGTCCGCCTACTTGTGTTAGACCACAATGCTTTTGAATAGTGTACTCAATAGAGGTAGACTCCATAAGAAATGCAAATCCGCGCTTCCCTGTTCGCACTCTTTCTACCCCTTCATCATTACTTTCCGTAAAAACAGATGGTTTTGCATCGCTCATTGCTGTCCACATACGTTGGTATGTGGAATGATTTGAATGCTAGAATCAATGTTTTTTTGGTAAGAAGTATAGATGTGTTTTGAAGCAGAGGAGAAAAAATCAACCGTAATTTATAAAATTGCATTAAAAATTGGATCACATTTTTGGCCATGCTACACTCCAATGCACGTTTTTCGAATAAACGAGAATATATGGAAACATAATTATGAGTTATACAATGACTTTCATCTAAAGAAGGAATATTATAACTTGGATCGGCAGTATTCATCTACTGAGATTATACATACTTGAAAGAAGCTTGATGTAGATCCACCTTGAAGAGCTCCATATTTTATCTTGGTTTGTTTTGCTAGATCCTCAGCACTGTTTATAGAAACATCAATTTTATCAGCAGTCAAAAATGCTGCCAAATTAGCCGTATAAGATGACACCATGATTAATACGAAGAACCACCACATGCCAGCAACCATTCGGATTGACGGTGCCCTAGTGTTAATATTATTTATGATTCGTTCGTTCGTTATTAAATTAATCCATTTTGACGGGTGTAATATTCAGATTTTTTAAATTTTGAAAGAACCTCGCACAAAAAGTACATAATTTGGTTCGAGGTCAAATTTGTTAATATGGTGACTGCACCAGTGGTGGATAAATTAAAGGCGCTAAGTTTCTTATTTTGTATTATATTATTGTTTTTAGTCAAATTTTAAGGATATTCTTTATAGCAGTATGAATAAGAAGGTTCCAATACACTTCCTTAAAGATAGACTTAATTTTGACATCTAAGTCAATAAACTTTTGGTTTATGCATGTTATAGAAAAAATATTTTATACATTATATAGATGAATGTAGACTTTCTATTCTACTTACTGGGGGAGAATGTCCGACCCTTGCTGCATAAGTGAGCCCATAGTGAGCCACATGGAATTCATCAAGTTAAAATTATTTTCTAGTTCATCTGCTTCCATATTACATGGATGTGGATTATTCCATTCACCAGGCGCCATTCTGAAATAACGTTCATTAAATTTAACAGTATTTTTCTGACATCAGTCTGTATTTCCCTGGTTATCACTTAAAACATAAACATAAAAACCTAATGAAGTTGCTGTTTGATAAAGTGCTTTAAGGGGATATCCAAGTCGATGCGATTTCTACATTGAGCTTCAACAGGAAAATTGCATCGACTTTGACATCCCTTAAGTATAAAAAGAAGTACAATCTTCTAATTACAATGTACTTTTTAATCGCAGATATCATCCTTACCTAGCTTGGAAGAATAACATTAAGGAAACACCTAAGTATGCAGTTGCCATATACATCCAGACATCAGTTGATAATGGAGATAGAAACGAAAATAGATTAGGTTCTTTGTCTTCTGGGTGACTAAACAATATGCTTATCCCTGTGCATTTAATAATTTTTAATAATTAGTATCAATATTAAACCTTTAACCTTCTTCATGACGAAACAAATTCAAAATTTCAAAAAGCACAAGACTACCCTTCTTTCACTACGTGTGTATATAAATTAGAGGCATACGTACCAAGTGTCATGAAAGGCATAGTAAAGTCCACAGCTTTTTTTCGGTCGAAAGTTATTGTTAAGTCACATATTGCAAAATCAGCTTTCTAAAAATCAATAATTTCAAATTTCATTATAAATATTACAGCAATTTCGTGTGGATTTCGTTTTAACTTTATGTCGAGTTTTTTTATGAGTTCGTATATCTTTATGTTCCTATAGAAAAAAGGTTATTTTCACCTCAGTAATTATACTTACCCGATCTAAAATTCGCTTGACAAGACCATTCCAAGTCTTTTTAACTGGATCGTATGATCCGTAGTTATTGTCTTTCACTAATTCAAAAGTGTGTTTAAATTTTAACAACTGTCCAATCTTAAACATTAAATCAATACAGTATCCTTCATATCTTTTATTCCCTATAATAACTTGATTTTCTCCAGAGGAAGCATCCTTTACCTCCATCATATAAGGTGCACCCTAAAACAAAATAGAAAGATTTCTACTTTTCTCTGTTTAATATTGTAAAATCCTAATTGATGAAACTAAAACACTTATTTTATTAAAAAACTTAAGTCAAAATTGAAAATAACGGATCCAGTATGATGGCTAAAATTTAAAAAATGTAGTTGAATTTTATTAAAACTTGGTGTCTGAGGATTTATAAGTTTATTGATTACGAATATAATGTTAATAAATGGTCTTAAATGGAAGTTCCTAGTAAACGAGATATGATTGATATGCGAATTAAATTGAATTCACAAAAAGCTTCAGTGATCTCGCTTAGCGAAAATACGAATTGAAGCTGTTGTAATTCTCCTGAATTCGACAGACAGTACTGAACTTCCCGATCTTTCTATTTGTACCAATTTAGTGGAAAAATTTTGGAGCCTTTAATTTTTATCAAATCGTCAGCACTAATTCAATGTATGCCTTGGTCATTTTGTTTGAATTCGAATTCATTTGCATGGGGATTTGAATAAACATTTCATCATCGGGAGGGGGCGTCGATATTATTAAATGAAAATGTTACATCTGATAATAACGCAGAACTGGAAAATAAACTTTTTTCTATCATTCTTACCAACTTTGTACTGACTATAAAAGTTTTTGATGCAAAAATTGTGTCTGTGAAACTTTTGACGGCATCAGCAGCTTTTATTATTTGCAATCCATCATCAACATTCCATTTATGAGTAATTACATATTCATGATGTTGAAATGAAAGTATTGATAAATATAATAATCTTCTACCTTCCTTATCGAAATGTAACTCTCCAGCCAGTCCATCAGCCTTTGACAACTAGAAAGAAAACAAGAAAGCAGTCTATACAAATATTTCTTACATTTTCATTTTTTTGTTATGATAAGAAAGAATATTCACCTCACGCAACAATGTTGCAATATCTACACCAGCATGGTATTTTTCTCTTCTATTACAGAATAGGGGCTTTGGTTGAATATTTACATCTTTTGTACTTAATACATATAAAGCTTCTTTAAAGTGTTGAACTGCGTCGTGTATGATAGTTTCCTCAATCTGTTTTACAAAAGGGTAGAAAGAATTAAAACGACCATAACATTCATTTTGAGATGCAACGGACCTTGCACAAAATACAGTGGAAAAGACTTTCGGTTAAAGCAATTAAAATCTTCAGGAAAGACTCAAAATGTAATATTGGAAAAAATTTTCTTCTGAGAAAAAGTTAAAAATTTTATAGTTAAATGTTTCAGTGGGTATACTATACCCACCCGGAAATCGACTTTTTTAGTCGCAGCAATGAATCTTCTCACATACCAGGAGTCTTTCGGAATGATAACTAAGTTTATTAACGTTTCTGGTCATTCATATTAAGTAAATTTGCTCTAGAATACTAATAATTATTTAAACTTACCGTGCTAATTTCTGCTGGAAGTCTTTCATGTTGAAGCATTTGAAACCCAGTTATGTTTACATAAGTTCCATTCAACACGTCGAAGATTGGTAGCATTTTTACATCCTGTTTAAAAATAAATGTAAATAAAGTGAGAACATTTAATAAGTAAATATAACTTACATAGAATATCAGATTAACCTTCGCACTACCGAATAGATATATATAAGTAAAACAATTAAACAGAGAGGAAAAACAATTAATAAAAGAATTATTAGTAAAAACTATAACGCTGATTAAAATATTAATTATTAAAAAAATTATTATATATTTTATTAAAACATATTACCAAATAGCAAATTAAATATTTGTAATAGTCCTTGAGCATTCCAAACTTCTTTCCTTCAAGTAAAACTTTTTCCAAGTTCGTTGGACTCAAATCTAATAGGAGATTCCAGTCAGTAGAATTAGATATTTCTTTTAATAATGGTAGAAAATCCTGATCTTCGCTTATATGGCGAATTGTAATTGGAGAGTCTAGTGGTCCATGAAGTTGAAGAACATCTTGAATTCGAATTAAAGCGTCATCTGTATCATAGATAACAGTGAACGATTTCCAACTCAACGATTTTAGAACATCAGCAATTGCCTGTAAAATTGGAAAAAGATTTTTTCCAACTCCTGATCTAAAAGGAGTACTTTTCATATTAAAAAAGCGTGGCGAAAGAATTGAATTTTTCTTAACTCCTCTGAAAAGAAGGGTGAAAGTAAATTTTGTCGTGGCAAAAATAAATATCATATGACATCATTCATTTTTTCTCGATCTTTCATCGAGATATATTTTTTCCCGACAGGCACAAAAATGGCGCTTTTAGATAGCTGACGAAGAAAAGCTTCAGAGGGTACGTTTTGAAATTGAGTTCCACGCACACTGTTCCGCCGTTCTGATTATAAAATTCACAATGAATCCAGTTACGGAAACTTACATTTACATTTCCCGTAACCGAACTCGGAGTGAAGCTCTATATAAATATAGAAAAAATTGCTTTCTAAGGTTTAAAATTTGTTAAATTATAGCTCACCTTAGAAATATACCTGTTATCAGGATAAAAATTAAGCACTGTTTTCTGATCTTTTAACTCTTCTCTTGGATGATATGCATATTCTATAACAGGAATTTCTAATTTGGAGCAAATACTTAATACCACTTCTCTTGTCTGAAACTGTGTTGGGGCGAATATTCCAATTATACCTTCTGTCACTAAATTACAAACTGTTAAAAGATTTAACACATTATTACATTATTACGAACAACTTAAAAAATATCAGTCAAAATCATTAAATTAATACCTACATTTATGAAACAATAACTTTCTAAAAAGCACAACATTCGAACTCGATATATTGTAACAATATGTAATATTTTAAAATTTTAAATTAAGTATATGCTATGATGGATATTTTTTCAAGTCTACTACAGACTTTCTCCTCCAACATCCTTAAATTTATAAATTTATGTTTCAGTTGAAAAATGAATTGAATGAACTATTACCTTCAGTTGATGTTTTAAAACTATCGGAAGTTGTATTTATCCACACTATGCTAGCTTCTAATTCAAATGTTGTCAATCGGTCCTTCTTCAAATTTTCAATTGCAGTTACAAATGCGTTATAATAATGCTGTTCTCCAGAGTGAAATATACCACCTAAAAAATGCGCAATGCAATATTATAGTATTGATTTACAATTTTATATAAATTTTACAAAAAAAAAAAAAAATTTCTTTTTTTCTCCAATTTCTTCCCTCTAGTGCATTCTTCGGTCCATTCTCTTATTATTAGAAATCTTTAATAATGTATATATATAATAACTTTGTCTTATTCAAAAATATTTTGAACACGAAATATAATATACTGAAAAACTTACCAACTTTTAAAGTTGTTGAATCTCCTTGAGAAATGTGTAACAGAACTAAGATTGCCAAAAAATATATTCTATTCATTTTTTAACTATTCCTGTAACATAGTATGTTTCTAAGTTAAGATCCCATTTTACATTATCAAATATACTGTAAGCACACCTTGAGTTTAGAAAATATATTACAATAATGTTCTGCAATTTTATGGTACACTGAGAAAAAAAACTATTGGCTTAATAGCGCCAATGCTATTGAATTCAATTTTGTTGAAAGAATAATATTGAATATTAAGAAAATATAAGTTAAAATATAATAATTAATTATTTAGAACTAGAAGCAAAATGCTGTCTAATGAAATATGTAAGATGATTTAGATGTAGGGTTGATACAATTAATATAATAAATAATGTGTGACTATTTCCAACGTTTTTGAACAATTCATAACACTCGTTTTATTAAGATAAATAATGTGAGGTAAAGATGGATTCTGCTAAACGTGGCACAATATATGCAATTTTTTCGTCTGCCTCCTAATTATAAAGAGCACAAAAAATTATAATAATAACCACACAGCACTAGATATTTCCTGAATATTTCATTAACATTGTAAATCTCACTTAAGAAATATTCATTTAATTTTTAATTTTATATATATTCAAACATAATAATTTAAAGAACATACACTCTCTACTTACACTCAAATATAAATTGAAGTCAGTTATTTTAATATTCATAAAATAATAAAGTTAAATTTAAAAAAACCAACACAATAATAAAACTTTTAAAAGATGGTTTCTTCTGTTTACACTTTTCGTTTCTTTCACATAGTTTCAAAGTGAAATTATAGAACGCGTCTGTATGGTGTCCTCAGCTTTACTGATCTAATTTTGGAGTAGAACGGAAATCACAAAGCTAACGCTTTTTAATAATACCACATACAATAATATTATTGGAAACAAAGTGTATAACAGACTTTAATTAAAAAATATTAACTTTAAATAAAGAAGAAGAAAGTAAAATGTTTAAATTGACTAAAAATTATTTTTCCAGCTTCTTATAGTATATTTAATCTTATTGTAATCAGCCTTTCATTCTATCGAAACCAAAAATAATTTTCGTTATTTTTATAAAAAATTTTAATTAAAATATTCAGGGACCGTCACAAAAATTTAGTTTTGTTTTAGTTTCTAAGTTGACACAAAACTAAATTAGCAAATTGAGTTTAGTTTTGTGTCGATCCGAATAACTAAATTAAAAAACTTAACTTAAAAATGAAAAAATGAATTTATTTCAGTATAAAAGCAAAATAAATGTTTGAGAAACTCAATTAAGAAACCAATTTTTAGTTATTTTTTTTACTGAAAATGAGACATTTTTTCGCTGACAATCAGTTATTTTTAACTGATTCAGAAGCAGACAGTCAATCACGGTCCAGTTAGAGGAAACTTTCAGAAAGTTTCTATCATAATTTTAAGGAAAGTTTTCAGAGGGAACAAAAGTTTAAGAATTAAATTTATTTTTAAGTCTTTAACGAACATTCCACTGGACACGCGGACATTAAAAATTTTCCGAAAGCTTCCTCAGAGATTCTATACTTCTGCCATGTTAAAGGAAAACTTTCATCTTTAATGTCATATATTCAAGGGTTAAATATCTTACTTTAAATTGATTATCTTTCCAACTATTTTATTGATATTGATATATTGGACAGTATTAAAGAAATCAAACAAGTGATTTATATAGATTGATTTAGTAATTAAATGTATTGCACATAGATTAAATTGAATGCAATGTATTGTGTTCAGAAAGAAACTAAATTAGATTTTCCCATTTTATCGCAAAGCACATTCGAATAGCTTCTCTTATTTTCCATTCAATTGAATAGTCATTTCACACAAAGGTGATTTTATACTTTCATACACCACTGCGTGTGTCCCATCTGGTCCTTACCGATAACGAGAAATTGATTTTTCATTGAATTACTGCAGCATTATATAAAATCAGTTCTTTTAGTGCGTGCCACAAATTCTTTAGAACCGTTGAGCGAGTAGTTTGTGCTGTAACTGAATATTTTGCAAGTTTTCTGGCAGAATTTGTTATTCAAAAGTAAATTTATCAATTGCAATAAAGGTAAGTTATAAATTTACTTTTATAGAAATCTAATTCAAAAATAGTTGACAGAAAAAGTTTTTTAAAGTGCATCAATTTCGTTGTACCCATAACCGACACACTTCCCTTAACTATTTTAAACATTTCTTTAAAACGACACTATTTAGAAAATTTATGGTCAAACTTTTATTATTTTGTGTGGTAAGCTTAAATAGTAAAGCTGTGGTATGGTTGTTATCAAGTGGTAAGGTTGTGATAGATTCCCTAATATAATTAATAAATACCTAACTATTAATTACATTTAAGCCTAAATCAATTCAGCCGAGAATATAATTTAAATTTTTAGGAAAGTTTTACGCTAAACATTTATTTCATCGTGAGATTTAAAAATCTTTACACAATGTTCACTAAACGTTACATTTAAATATTCCAAACTATTAAAATATCATGTATATGTTTATACATAATTAGCTTATTATTGATTATATATTTTTTCATTCCTAATTAACTAATTGTATATTTAAATTATTTCAAGGGATTATTACTTTGAACCTTTCTTTAAAAGTTTTTTTATTATTTGTAAAATATTAATTTTGTTTCTAGTTAGAATAATAATTTTATTACATTTATGGATTATTACTGATTTATCAAAATTTTATTTATTTCAAATAACCTAAAGAAGATCAATATTATATTGATACCAGTTTTATAATCGAAATAATTAATTTTATCAATAATAATGAAATTTATTATATTCTTTTTTGACACTAACTTTATCCTTATATTATGTCATTAAAAAAGACAAAGAAGGAAAACCATATGGTTTACCATATCCCTCGGAGAACACATGGGGTCTTTCAGACCCTATGTTTTTTTACAAACATCTTTTTATCTATTTTTAAATATTTTTAATAAGGATTTTCAACTATAAAGACTTATTTTACAAAGTTTAAACATATATTTTAAAAAATTCTTCAGTTTAATCAGATGAACAGCTCAAAATTGGTTCGGCTTTGAAAAATAAACAAAGAAAGAGGTGTGTTCTCCAAGAAATATGTAAACTCATATGAATGTTGTATTAACAATCGAAGTCACTAAATCTTACTCAAAATGGGAAACGATAAATTTTTAATGTAGTTTACGATGCCATCACTATAGCGCTTGCAATAATAAATAATATTTTATAAATTTCTCGTGGCACATTTGACTAATCATATCATTCGCTTTCTACATTATTAAAAATAATTGTATTAAATCAACCTGTTTTACGTTGACGCCCTAATTGCATAGAGGTTCTTTCATGTACTCGGCTAACTTCCTATAGGAATTAAGCTTAATGTTGGATTCTTCTATTTCTGAAGGAATGTATGATTATTCAAATCACTGAAAATCCAGTTAAGCTGCGTAATTAAAAACTTATATGTACCTTTTGAAGTACTTATGATTTTATAAATTATTGATTATTAGTAAATGTGATTTTTCTAAACTATTTTGTTAATAAGAAATGTTACTTTGTTTATAATTACAATTTAATTTAATCTGACCTGAAGAAGATACTACGTATCGAAAGGGAAACGTCGTCATCTGAGTATAATTAATACAATTGTTTAAACCGTATAAAGAACTCGTAAAAAATTATTATTCATAATAAATGTTACTATCGTACTTATTTAATAGTTGAAAATATTTTTTTCGAAATTATTTTTAATTAATAAAATTTCTATGGATTCATGAATAAACTTCATAATCGGTACGTTCTGATAGTCGTTGCGTGCAGCAGCGATCTTCGTTTTACTCAACTTTTGAATGCACTATGAGATACGCTAGCGAATATGAAAATTGTCAATTTTCTGAAACTTGACAGGACCGCTTGCTCAACGAGATTAGAAATATTGGGTGACGAAGCTCATAGAAGACTCTGTGGTTTTTTAAATGTTCGCATGTGGGGAAATATAAAAAAATCAAATTTGAGCGACTTAAAAAACCTACTGAGTTACTATTTTCATTTTAATTTTTATAGAACTACCAGCGGATTTGTAATCAGCAACTTCATAAATCCCTAAATAACAAGTGCCACGCGAAACTGAAATTTTTTTAAAAATCTCGTTCGCCATGTTGGATCTGCCATTTTGAATTTGTTAAAAATTAAATCAAATTCGTAATCAACGACTCGAAAAACCCCCTAGTATTAAGTTTGAACGGAATTTTAGCATATGCCAGTTGTCAAGCTTTAACACTTTTAACCCCATTTTAACGCTATATTTTTAACCCTCGGAGCACACTCGAACAGGGTCTTTGTGACCCTGTTCACATTTCAAAACCCTACCATTTAAAAACTTCTCATCAGATTTACTTTAAAAAAAATTTAATATTCTTCAAACATTGTAGAGTCAGTTTCACTTAAAAAATTTAATTATAAATAGGTCTTTTATTGTAAATGAAATGCTCGTAAATTTTAATATTTTTAACTAGTATTTTACTTTTGTGATTTCGAATAGTGCTACAATCAAATAAAAAATAAATTCTATACTGCAATAAACGTGAGTTCGAAAAATTTAGAAAGATAGAATTCGCGGTAAAATCTAGCTAATAAATTAATATTATTTATATGATTTTCAAATTTTTTATCAGAGTTGAAGTTTTTCGAGTGTGTAACGTGGTTAATTTTAAATTAGGAGTAGTTTTTGGGTTGTTAAAGATTGTTTAAGGATGGGAAAGGTACTATAGACTGTTTTTTTCCAAGAGAATTATTAGTTTTGTCAATTATTCAGATTCTGGATAATGAATTATTATACTGTCTCATTGCAAGTCAGCGATTATCTATTGAGAATAAATTTTTCTTGATAATACTTGAATCATTTTACCACAATTATGATTTTCATTTGTTTACAGGAATCCAAAACATAGAAACGACATGAGCAAAATATACCTTCTGAAATTGTCTCTATATGGTTGGCAAAATATTATTAGCTTGTGTTTTTTAATTACCTGCATCTCTTTCTGCCACTCTTATGCTACTACTGAAGAAAGAAGAATAAGTTTTGGTTTCGATCCTAAGCACAGAAATTTATTGCAGTAAGTTTATTATATTATACATGAAAGGAAATCATGTTCAATATATTTCAGTATTTAAATTACTACCTATATTTGTATACACTGGGGCTTCACTTATTTCAGTTTGCATAATTCTTTGTTAAAGGGGGATATAATTTTTAAAGATACAATTATCACAATTCTTGTAGTTAGAATGCTGAATTTTCTTTAATTATGAATAAAATCTACACAAAACTTAGGTTACGTATATTACAATTATTAACTTTCTTGTTTCAGATATAATATTTATTTCAATGTAAAATCGAGAACAAGAGCAACAGCTCGAGACTTTAATTCAATAATTGCTAAATATATTGATGTTTCACGTGAGCATGTGACAAGAAGAGCAGCTTCTCCTCTGATTAAAGATATACAATCACCATCACCTTATCATCGAGAACGTCATGCTACTAATCGACGTCAAGGAGTAAATGATGACATTATTCATAACAAAGAGAGACAGTTTCGCAGAAATGAAGAACTTCATTATTTACAACGATTTAAAGAGTCGAGTGATCAGGAGAGAATAATTCAAACATATCCAATGGATTTAAACATGAGAAGAAGTAACGATGAAAGAGAACGTAGGCATTCTAGGAGATCTTTGGACAGGCAACTTCGATCAACAATGTCACGAACTTCACATTCAGACCAAAGGTTTCGCAGACTTTCTCTTGAGTACAGAAGATTGACCATTAAGCAATCTGACAATAGCGTTTGGCAACAACGATTTAGAGTACAGACTAGAACTTCTCTCAATAATTTAGAAAACTATAAGTACGAACTACTCAGAAGATATCAGTTTAATTCCAGAAACCTTAACAGAGTACAAAGTATTAGTCCATTAATGCAGCAGCCGAGTCTCCAAACATTAAGATATAGAGTTAATCAATACAGATTGCATAGAGATGCAAATGATTTAGAAAACAATTTATTAACAAATAAATATAATTCTGAAATGAGAGAAAATATTGAAATTAGACGGCAACACGAACAACGTAACCATAATACTCTACCTCAATACTCCTCAAGATGCAATTCCCTTTTGAGTAACCGACAAATTCAGGATTCATTCACTTTTGTAGAATTAAATAAAAATGCATTCCGAGCACAAGATCAGTTCCTATTTTCAGAGTTTGCTTCAAATAAACAAATTAATCGATTGTTAACAATTACAAATATGAAAATGAATAACGTCAGGAAACAAGTTACTGAATTAAGGGAGAATAGAAATCGCATGGAAGGAGCATATCTTAAAAATCTAAGAGCACATTCGCAAGAAAGGAAAGATGTTGAACGAGAGAGACAAGATAATGTCTTTTTAGATCGAAGGCAACTTTTTGATCCTATGGCACAAAAGAGGCGAATTTCTTATAATTCATTTGAACAGAGAAACACTGATGCTGCAAGGCGATTAGTTAGGAGTAGAGTTTTAACAAAACACACCGAAAGAACAAGAAATGAACATCAAATTAGGAGGTTTATAAATGATGGATTAGAGGTTCGCTTGGAAATGAAAACCAGGACTTTCAACTTCCAAACGACAAATACTACTCCAACTTCTCAACGTAACAATTTATCTTCTGAATTGCAAATTGATATTTCAAAAGGAAAACTTAATCTGAACGAAACAAACTTATTCACAGAAGTTGTAAGGCACATCATTATAATTGGTCTTTGCGCATTACACGCATCATCCACTTTTGGAAAGAAGAGCACATTTTTCAGGTTTGTAAGCTTTTTAGTCTAATTCAAATTCATAGTTATAAGGATGTGCTATCACACTATACAAGAATTAAATGAAGACTCTATAAATACTATAAAAACGTCTGAGTGATTAAAATCTCCAAAGAAAATTGTGAATAATGATATCTTTTATAAGTACCTTAAGCTAGCATTTTAATCACTCGCAAGTATACAATTATGTGATAGTGGGCACTAGGGCATAGGATATTTTTTTAATATTCTGAGGACATTCTCAGAAATTTAAAAGACATAAAAAGTATTGGATAATAATTCAGGCTCATCAGAATTACTTTCTTTCTGTTACAGGCGCACTAAACATCAACTTCATCTTTTAACTGGTGTTTAAAATATATGAAAGTGTAGGAAAACATCTAAATTCCATGACTTTGAATAAGATGTGTAACAAAAATTATTAACAGAAATGTATTTAATAGAAATAAAAAGATGTTCATTGAAATATCTCGTAATTCAGCATTAATAAAATGATTCCTTTCACTTGTAGGGGAGAGTCTCCAGTTGTGAGACGGGTTTCATTTTTGACCCGTAAATTGTAAACGGGTAAACGAAATTGTAAATAAAATACACCGTTCGGAAGGTAACAGAAATACGCAACTTTTATTAAAAGAAAGTATAGTGTTTCGATGAACTCAAAAAATTTTACGATACATTTTCCGAGCACATCGCTTTTTTCAAAAAAAAAAATATGTCTCATCCAGTTGTGAGACACTCATTAAAAATTGCTAAAATTTAATAAGTTTGACCTAAAACGTTATGTTTAGTATAAATAATTAAATATATTAATAATATATATTATTGTATACTAAATAATAATATTTATTCGCCAAAATATGACTATCAAATAAACACAATTTAATAGCTTCAACAAGAGCATTAAAATTGATTTCTTCTGAATCAATTGACTTTTTTCCACTTGACATGCCCAAAAATACTAGAAAAAAAATCAAAACAACATTTAAATAGTATGCCTGCAAATTCGTATTTTTCATGCTGCCCAGATGGGTGTTGACACCGTCTCACAACTGGTGATATGCTGTGTCTCACACCCAGAAATTGGCGCTATTTTGAAAAAGGAAAATTAAATTATTTTCAACCGTAGATTGGAACAATGCAATATTGCATCACAAAATATAAGGAAAACACTAACAGAAAATGCATTACATTTACCTTTTCCAATTAATTAACTTGGAAAAAAAGTACTTTGCATTTATTGAAAAAACGCTTTTTAGTCGATTATCACACACAGTGTTGGTATTTAACAAAAACAGTTTATATATCCGCTTCGGCGTACACGAAAAAGTTGGCTCATATAAAAAGAAATGTTTTTATATAAACCAATCGGCTTTTTAATATTACATGTTAAAAAAAATTGACTGTCTCACAACTGGAGGTGTCTCACAACTGGAGACTCTCCCCTACTTAAACTCAATCAGAAGAATACATTTTTTTGTTAATAAAAAATAATTTTCTAAGTGAAATTCAAAAGCGCTATTTTAAATTCTTAAATCTCGTCATCTCTATCTCAAATCTTAATATTTTAGTTGCAGCAAATTAGATTTAAAATTTTAATTTTAGTGAAAAATATTTCTGCAAACAAAACATTAATCGAATAATTATTTATATTTTATTTGAAAGAAAATAAATATTCAATAGCCACTAATTGGAGTTCTTATATGCGTCAAACATTCAAAATTTAAACATTGTTAATGGTACTCTTCACAGAACTGGACATTTCAAAATATTCTACAGGCATTAGTAAAATAGGAAATCAAAAGGACGACCTAAGGAAGATCGAAAATGTACCTTGGATTTCATATGCATATTTTAACTCCTGGAATTACTGTTATAAATTTGGTAAATTAATGTTTATTACCGCATGGCAATGCGGACTTAATTTCAATAAAATTAATTAAATTAATCTTTCCATTTGTATGATAAATTGCAAAATTAAAATTAATAATTTCTAAATAAATTTGGTAAATTTAAATTCAGTGACTGTGGGTAAAATGTGTTTTTCTTCTTTCCCCCCATTTCCCGCGGTTTTTAGGAATTTTTCGAATAATTTCTGAATTAGCCAGGCAATTGTTGTACATTTCATTAATTAAATCTTTTAGATAAGTTCGCGTAAAATAGCCCGCTGCTAAATAACTAAAATTCTTTTTCTAAATTCAATAAATAAATTTACAGTGTAGATAGCGCTTTAAATAGGTTAAAATTGGATTAAAATTAATGAAATAAATTTCAAATAAGATTTCAAAATCATAAAAAATGTTATAGTAGATATTCTAGAATAGATTATTTTAAGGAACTCCCGAACCGTTCTTATATAAACTAGAGAATAGTTCCGGAATAATTGCATGATAGAGAATATAAAACGATATTTTTATTAAAAAGATTAATTATTAAAATAACATTAATAGTAGAGGTGTGCAAAATTCGAATCGAGAGAAAATTCGACTCGAACTGCCAATTCGAAATTCGAAGGTTCGAATTTCGAATTGCTCAACTCGACTCGGTTAACTTTCGATTCGAATCGAACTGCCAATTCGAAATTCGACGGTTCGAATTTCGAATTGGCCGATTCGAATCGAGAGAAAATTCGATTCGAACTACCAATTCGAATCGAAAGTTAACCGAGTCGAGTTGAGCAATTCGAAATTCGAACCTTCGAATTGACTAGTTCGAATTGAATTATCTCCGATTCGAATTTTCTGTTGTCGAGTCGATTAATGTTCGGTTCGACTCAATTAAATGCACATCTCTAATTAATAGTAATTTAATTAAATATTTATGCAGTAATATTAATTAGCATTACAAATATTATTATATTTACATATTTACCTTATTTACATAGTCAATATTTCCAAGCATCATTGCCACAGAGTGAAATTAAATACCTTAGGTATATTGAAGCAATATTCCTGAAACATATCGTACTATCTGGGTAAATTTCTAGCAGGAACATCTGTAAGAATTATTATTTTTTACTCTTGAAGCAAAATTTTGTTAACCAGTGTTACGTTCTTTGTTATAAAATAATTAAAGATCTGGATAAGTATAGAGAACTTTATTTCGACAAATAATATACATCATACTGTTATTAAAAATGTATAGAAATAAGACGTTCAGTACGATTCTCGATTTAATAATTTATAAATTAATTCGCGTGAACTTAGAAAATAATTTTTATTTGGCTTTTAATAAAATGCGGGGAGGGGAACCTTAACAAGCAAGAAATTTCAAATGACGTTTTCCGAAACACCAACGATGAAATGGTCCTGTTACATCTAATTGAGATGACCAAAAGCGTCTTACAGCCTCATTAATTTCTGAAGGAGAAATTGGCCTCATAATGGAACTCTGAAAAAGCAAACTCAGTTAGGGTTACTCTTAAAAGCTTAAGCGTTGAATACACTGGAACTCCCAAAAGAGAGTCCGATCCAAGAGAGTCACCAGCTGTGGTCGCGGCGTTTAGAGACGTCAGGGGGATACAGATGGGTGGGGTCAAAATCAACTAACGAAAAGCAGGAGTGTAAATTTTAAGTGTTCCTTCAAGGTCCTGGTTATTTACATACTTAAATCCAATTTTTTTAAGATTTTTTGTTTCAAACTTTTTTTTTACTGTTAAATAAAATTTATCAAATTGCAATGAATTGATACCAAATAATTTTTTTAATAATTTGATCCAAATTTTTGATAATAGTTTGATCAAATTTGGTATTTATTTAATATTTTTGAGAAAACTGTTTATTTAATTAATGCAAATAACGGCAAATAATATATTTTATTTAAACATAAAATTTGTTTCTAAATTAAATATTATAAATTATTAATAGAAGAATAATTAATTTATATAATAATAAAATTCTGTTTTTACTCTCTGATCCTAAATATGTGAAATTTCACGTTTTCTTAAAAAATATTGTTCTTCAAGTTTTAAATTATAAACAAAAATTAAACATTTTTATTCATATTGATAAAATTTGTTTAATTTATAATATAAAATTGTAAAATGTGGACGTACAAATATTGTTTTCATAGACCCTACGGCCCTTAATGTTTACATTTTCGAAAGGTCAAGGTCACTCTCCAAGAGAGTCACATAAGACTCTGCGAGTTACTTTCTTGGGAGTTCCAGTGTATTTTTATACATTTACAACTCAATCCTGCCAAATGATGAATTGCCCTAAAATTTTCCCTTCTTCTACCATTCACGTCGATACATATTTTGTTTGGGACACACTGGGATAATAATATAACAGGAACGAGCGGTAAAACTTTTTGGCTGCAATCATGGAAGTTAATCAACAAAATAATTTTAATATTGCTAGTGCTTTATAAATCATCGAAATTGAAACCTAACCGTTAATGTGCAAAACATCAGTTAGGAGGATTGGTTATCTAACAAAGAAATATAAACTTTGAACAAACATAAAATGGAGAATTTTTGTGAATCAACCCATATAAATAAGCAATTTAATGAAGAAATATAAGATTAATTTTAATTACCTTGCTTTGCGCATTAGTCCTTAATGTTTGAGGATTACAATAACTAATCTTTAATCTATCCAATGCATCTCCATAGATTTTATTTTGATCTTGACGCACCAAAAAAGCTAAGTCAACGATCTGAGCAACAGTTTCATAAGCAAAATAGCTCAAAATTACGAGTCCCTGTTTTGAAATACTTACGTCACCTGAAATGCAAGTAAACATTTTTTTATTAACTCCTAATCATGTGTACACTGAAAAACTATTTGATGGTATTGTCAAAAATGTTGTTCTTCTACAGTAGGATAAAATACAAATTTACCATTGGGAATTATCCAATCACTAAATTTGTGACGATGTCTGTTGACGAAAGAAACATTTCTTGCTTTAGAATAATCAATGTAGCGTGCTTCATCAAGATTTTTTGACATGATTTCTGCACGGACGCATCTATTATACTTGACTTGATCAACTGAAGACTTATTGCATAACTCTCCTGTGGTGTCTAACGTTTCCAAAAAAGTCTCCCAAAGTTTCTTACTCTTTTTAACTTCTTCGATTTGTTTGATGTCAGGTAATTTGTCTGTCGTTTCCAAATTTGTAACCTTATAAATAGATGACTTAAATTCTTTCAAATCTGTAATGAATTGTTACACTGTAAAATAGTAAAGGAATAGTTGATTATATTCAAAATCAACTATTCTCATTACAGATGACAGTCGGGTTAACTTCAGAGAAACATAAGCAGGTTAAAAAAAATACTTAAACTATCTGAATTCTGTCAAAGTACATTAAAGGTACATAACTCATTCTCACCAAGATACTTTATCAGACGCTTTAATTTAGTAGCATCCTTTCTAAGAAGAAATATGAAATCTTCTGCGTTTACGGTATTGCTCCCTCTTCGTTTAGCAACTTCACAGGCATCTTTGACAATTGATCTCATTTGGCGTAACACAATATCTTCTATCAACCTTGCTGACTCTATTAGAGGTTCAGAACAGTCGCCAAAACCATGCATCATTTGTTGGATTTCTGTAAATTTATTATTGTATTCAACTTTGCTCTTTAATTTTGAATTCCTCTCCACTTTGATTTTAGCGATGATGGTGTGAGAAATCGCTCGGAAAAGATCGAAAAAATTTAAATGTGGTGGTTTACATGTAACATGCAAAACAAATTAATCTGTAGGTTCTGTCTGTTTTCTATTATGAAAAGAGAGATGCAACACTATTCAATTTCACTCTCACACAATTTGCACACGGGAAAATTTTGTGCGACCTACTGTTTCAATTGGATATAGATTTGACGATTGTGATACTATCTTAATTCGAGCGAGCTACACTATCCGTTTGGGTACGCTGTCCGCCCAAGATAGTTCAACCAGTTCCAAAATGTTGGAAATGTACATTAGTTACTTATGTTAGTCATTAAATTTATTTCATATTTGTCACAATTCAAAATATAATGTGAAATATTTAATCCATTCGGAAATGTTACTAGTCATATTATATATAGCGGTATACATAAAATCAAACTTCCGTCTGTACATTGTTTAGAATTTGTAAATTCATGTTTGGTTTTTCGTTTCGAGTAGTAAAATTTACAAAAATGCCAATAAAAAAATTATGTATGTATGTCCGCATTTTTTTGTCCTGGAATCACGCAAAAACGGCTTGACAGTCTCTTAGGTATTAGTCTAACTTAAAATCTTAGCTATATCCGATTGAAAAATATTAAGCTAAACGAAAGTTATGACTATTTTTTAAAAAATCAGAAAAATCAGAAAAATGAATATTTTATAATTTTTGACTGATTCATAAAGGTAAAGGCAGGCTACAAAAATCTTATTGACATAATATCTAAAGTTATAAACTTTTGAAACAAAAAATTTAAACGGATTATTAATTCATATTCTGTAATAAAATTAGGATAATACGTACCACATAAGTAATTGACAGATTCATTTTTAAAACCATGAAAATTAGTTGATGGCTTCGGAATAGAAGTATCTGACATAGTGACTGGATTAAAGTTAAGAGAAAAGAAGACTAACTGCGATTGTTGATACACGAAAACCCGACATTTTAGTACTGCTCACACACTAAAACAGATCCAAAAACACATTTTTTATTCGACTGTTTATTGTATGTAGTTTTTACAGGCGTATAGCATAGGAAATATAAAAAAGTGCAAACTTCGAACCCTCATTCAATTGTTTTAATACTTGGTATATTTGTGAATGGCGGTGTGAAGTGCGACGTGAATTCATGTCGATATTTGACAAAATTATTTTCTATTATGGAGTACAAGTCGATTGAATGCTTACTCTGACATTACTCACTTTAAACATTAATATTTCAGTAAATAAGTACTGATTCCATTTTAAGATAGTAAAATTAAATACTTTAATGCACAAGTTTATTCTGCAGCTGTTCATTTATCATTTCAAATAGTTAATTTTACTTTATTTCATTAAATAGTAGCAGTTTTTTAGTCTAATCGAAATTTACCCTAATTTGTTTATATAGTTATAGCAAGGGATATATCAACCTTTAAATAAAATAATAAATTTCAGAGAAATTGGTTAAAGTCAGAAAATAGAATTCAAAATTTAACTAAGTTTTAAGAAAGGGGCTATTCACTCCGAGTATCGTCAGTGTACTATGAGATCGTTCCCATTTTACGCCACGCAAATTTAAAAAATTTGAACCCCTCCCCCCTCTTCGACATATTTTGTTACACAGAAATTAGAATTAGCATCTCAGGCGGAGATTTCCTACTGGCGCACAGTGGTTCAAAATTACAATTTAGTATTCATAATCACCGACAGCCTACAATTTTTTATGAAATTTGACATTTCTTTTTTTAAATCTTCAGCCATAAATTCCTCAGATCCCTATTGAGCCGGAATTTTGAATTTCAGTTAGCAATATTTTTTATTTAAACAAGTAAGTTAAAAAATGAACCTACAGTATCAATATTTGTTAAATATTTTTGAAAAAAATTATTAAATCAACTATTCAAGTATTTTAACAATAACATATATGGTCGAAGACAAAAAATTCATAATGAAAAATATTATTTCAATTGTTATTAACAATAGCTTTAAACAAATACCTATAAATAATCCAAAAAAGAAAAAAGTGCTTATTTTTGCTAGGTACAATACTTTAAATAATAGTTGAAACAAAAGTTAGGATAGAAAAATAAATGTTAAAAATAATTATTATTAATAATACATAATATTTAGAGGCCTTTTACGGTTAAAGATGTAAAAAATTATAAGACATCAATTATTGTTATTAAGAAGAATTAATTTAATTCAAAAGAGAAACCAGCCATTGCATTAAAAAAGTAACAATTGGATTCATAGGCAAATTGAAAAAGATTAAACGTTTTTTTTGTCTTTCATTTTCAATTGCTTAAACAAATAAATAAAAGCTAAAAAAATTTTGAAAACTGTTAACGCTAATCGATTCTATACGAAAAATTAATCAAGTTTTGTATGGGTCATATTTTTCTCCAAATCGTATTTTGCTTGTGAAATTGTTATAAACAAATTATAATGGATACAAAGGGCGTTTCGTCTCAAGCAAAAAAACAGGTATATATTTATTTTTTTAAATTGCCTATGAATCTAATTATTAATTTACTTAAAATCCATTTGTTTATACATGGGATGAAACACCCTTTATCTAACATAATTTGTTTATAATAATTTTATAAACAAATATGACTTGGAGAAAAAAATTACCCATACAAAACTTGATTAATTTTTCATACAGAATCGATTGGCATTAACAGTTTTTAATAATTTATAAATTTTATGAATTTGTTTAAACAATTATTGTTAAACAATTGAAAATTAAAAATAAATACGGGGATATCTTTTTTTCAATTTGCCTATGAATCCAATTGTTAATTTTACTTAAAATCAATTTATTTACACTTGAAATGAAACGCCCTTTGTCCAATATAATTTGTTTATAAGAATTTTATAAACAAAATACAAAACTTGATTAATTTTTCATATATAGAATCGATTAGCGTTAACAGTTTTCAAAAAAATTTTAACTTTTAGTAATTTGTTTAAGCAATTGAAAATTAAAGACAAAAAACAGGTATATCGCATTTTTCAATTTTCCTATGAATCCAATTGTTACTTTTTTAATGCAATTATTATTATTATTGTTAATTAAGTTTTAATGTACTCTTTAAAAATATTAACATAAAAATTGTTCAAAACGTGATAGATTTCCATATTTTTATTGTTATAAATTTATTTAATTACATTTATTATTATTTTATTAATTTTTATTATAAAAATAATAAAAAATCCGGAAAAATCAAAATTTATCAGATTGTAAAAAATATTTGTGATAAGATTTTTAATAAAAGTGAATGAATTATTTAAACATATCTTAAATAATTTATTGTTACTTTTTCGTAAGCTGCAATTATAGGGCTGAAAATTTCTAGTTTTTCTCATAGTGTAATTTTTCATGAGTAAAACATCTACTAATGATAAAAAATAAAAAATAAATTATTTAAACATTTATTGAAATTTTATTTCAAATATAATTTATTTTAGTTAAATAACAATTTTAGTAGGCCATGAATCAAACATTTTTATTGGATTTAGTTTGATTATTATTTCTATTTCATTATCATTAAAAATAGCAATATTAAATAGTAAACAATAATAGATTGCCCAATCGTAAAAGAAGAACTTTTGTGTTGCAATAATTTCCCATAAAAATGAAAACACTCTAATGAGTCTAAAAATACTTGTACCTACTTTTTACACTTTTTTTTTATCTGGTCCATTTGATAACATTTGAAAATATCAAATTACTCACATGCTTCATTTGGAAATAACAAATAAATTTTTTCACTTGTTTTGTTCTGTCAACTATTTAAGATATTTGCATTTAACAATTAATGAACTTATTATTAATTATATCATGAGTTTTAATAATTCCTACACTTTCCTAATATTACCTATATAAGTACTTAAATCAAAGCAACACGTTTGTTTGCAAAATAAAAATTGATATTATGTATATTAAAAGATATTTTTTATCAATAATTTACTCAATACGCTTAATACCATTCTAATTATTAACTTAATAATTAATGAAGATCGAAAACTATTAATTTATAATTTATAATTTATACTGATTAATACAAAAGTATATAAATTTCGTTTTATTTTCCTATACGGTAAACAATTGAAACCCAGCACGTGAATCTGCCTAAAGGTACTTGCATACTTTGGCGCTGCTTCCTGCACGAACAGCTGAGCTGAGGCTGTATTCATGGTTCACACAGGGTTGAGCACGTAATATACGTCACGTAAATTACATGGGATTATTTTACGTATATTACGTATGTACGGTTAAATCGAATATTCGATTATTCTATTCCGATTCCCATCTCTACTCGGCGGCTCGGCTGCCTGCAGGTCGTCATGGCAACACAACTCGTCAGAGTGAGAGTGTCAGACAAAGATAGGTAGATATTGTTGTTCTTTTCTCTCTCATGATTTTCTGTTTTCTGTCACATGGAATCGCACTCTATAATAAGTAAAAAATAAACATTCTAAAAGTTATAAGTAAGCACAAAAGAAATTGAAGCTTTTTTTGTTTTGATACCTGAAGTGTAAGTTAAAAATATATTTTAATAATAAGATCTTAAATTTTTTCTTTTGGACCAAATAGCTTTGTATATTTGATGGTATGTCCAGAATGACAATTTTAGGTTATATAATATAATTATTTTCTTAATATTATTTTTATTATATTAATATAATTATAATTCATTCTGGGCTTACCATTATGTTAAAAATTCAAATTGACGCGTTTCGATGCTATATATGTATAGGGGCAGTGGCACCGCAGTGAAAGAACATTTAAGGGAAAGTATACTTTCGATATTTTTTACTTTTAATTGACATTATATTGAATTTCGTTTGAAACATAGCAATCCCATAGGATTCCTGATTACGCACCCAGAATATTATTTAAGTGTATAATAACTTGTAACCTACTTTTTTCCGTTTATGCTTCGTTCATTATTGTCATGCTCATAACCCACCAAAAAAGTACAAAATTATTTTCAGAAATAACTTGCATTTTGAATCTATTGTTTTATCATAAACTATATTTTGAAGGAATAAGGAATAAAAAATATTTTTTTCATAGTGTTAAAAGTTATAATTTGTGAAATATCGTGATAAATAAACAAATTGTCATTTTACTGGTGTCAATAATTCTTTCACTGGTGCAACTACCCTATATTATAAGGTAGTCCAAGTTGGGTGGGGGAAATTCAATATGGCTGACATCAGCTGATTTACCGGAGGACAAACAATGCATTGAATTCAATGGGACAAATCAGTTTTTTAACCATAACTTTTTAAATATTCATTTTTGAACCATAGTGTAATGGAAAATTATTCTTTATTTATCGAAATCTATTTTTTAAAACAATAAAACCAAAAAATTAAATTTTATTGTTTTAAAAAATAGATTTCGATAAATAAAGAATAATTTTCCATTACACTATGGTTCAAAAATGAATATTTAAAAAGTTATGGTTAAAAAACTGATTTGTCCCATTGAATTCAATGCATTGTTTGTCCTCCGGTAAATCAGCTGATGTCAGCCATATTGCATTTCCCCCACCAAACTTGGACTACCTTATTATCCTTGTCGGCCTTGTCAGATTTATGAAGATCTAAAAAAGATATTTTTTCTTTTAAAATTAATATTAGGAATGTATTTTCTTACATCAACTAACTAAAAATATTAATTTTTAGGTATGTGGATTTTTAAACAAAATCATAATGGACTCAGATTTTTGTGACATTATGTGGGAGAATATAGATAAGATTTTTTCTTTAAAAGCAAGAAAAAAAAGTATAATAATGATACAAGTAGTATTACTATATGGTTCAATTGAAGAAATTGAAGACAAGCTTTGCGAAGGATATCAAGCAACATTGTCAACAGAAAATGATTGGACGAAAAAATGTAAACAAATTATAAATATTTGTTTGGACAAAAAACTTGACATTAAGGGCATTTGAACCATTATGACGTCACAATGTATGCAAAACATGAGTTTTAAAATTGTGACGTCATAATGGTTCAAATGCCCTTAACATGGAAAGAACAAATTATTGTGCTTTATTACATTTTGTGATAAAACATCTCGACGAAGATTTTGAATCAGTTTTTAAAAAATGTGAAAATTTTGATATTAATGCATTGAATGAGCTTACATTTTTGAATGTACCGGAAGCGAGTAAGTCTTTACTTCATTTAGCTATAAAGGAAAGAAAACAGAATGTAGTTCAAGTTTTAATAGAATTTGGTGCAAATGTTGATATTAAAGACGGCCGTGAACGAACACCTTTATTTTACGCCGTTCTTTTTAAACAAGTAGAAATAGCAGAAATGCTTTTAAAAGCAGGAGCGGATGTTAATGCGAAAGATGGTAAAAATATGATGCCAATAAATTATGCATTTGGTGAAAGAGAAGATTCGAATAGCAATGAAAAATACAAACCCTCGAAATTAGTAACGCTCTTGTATTCCTATGGAGCTGATTTGAATTTCAACAATCAGAGTGGCTCAATGACATTGCTTATGGTTTGCAAGGAAGGCAATTTCAGAGAAATAGAATTTTTAATTGAACATGGAGCTGATTTAATGTCCCGTGATTGTCGCGGTACCACGGCATTACATTCTGCAGTTGAGGGGAATAACTACAATCTTGTAGATTCTTTATTACGTAACGGTTTTGACATTAATGCTAAAGATTCATACGGCCACAGTCCTGTTCACAGGCTGGCAACTTTTTCGGACGATATGTATGAACTGCTTGATGCGTATGGAGGCGATTGCAGTGATACATTGAATGAAACCCATTGTAATAAAATTAAAGAATCCGCAAATATGGTTGAATTTTTAGCGGACAATGGAGCAGATATCAATATTTTTATGCATGAAAAATATACTCCTTTGTTGTGTAGCGTTCATAGGAATCATCTTGAAATAACCGAATGCCTTTTGGAGTTAAACGCCGAAATTCCTAAAGATTTAAATGATCCGTATTATTACCGCAGTTTTCCTGAGTTTCACGAAAATTTAAAGTTTATTTATAATAGAATTACAACGTGGGTACTATTAACATCATTTTTAGCACTTAAAAATATCGATGTTCATGATTATTCTATTTTGGATGAAAAATTTCAATGGGTCTATCCCTTTTTTAAAAAGTGCAAAGAAGAAGTGATCAAAATGCAAGAAAGAAGAATATGGGCAGATCGAAAAGTTTCATTTTTTGATTTTCTAAATGAAGATTTGTTGAAGGTGACAAAATATTTCAGAAATGATGATGTAATGTCTGTTTTGGAATCTGAAAAATATCACGAATTTCCAGATTACACATATATGTTTGAAAAGCGTAAAGAGAGAGTTGAGAAAATGAAAAATTGTCAGAATGTTTTTATTCGTTTTCTCGAGGAATTTTTTAAGAGAAATTTACCAACCCTGGCAATTGATAAAATAATTAGTTACTTGACGGCTGGTGATCTGCGAAATTGTGGAAGAGCATTATGTATAACGGAAGAATCACCTAATGGAAAATATTTCATTGTTTACCAAAAATAATAAATTTCATACATTGTAAGAAACATTCACAATAAGAAAAGTGTTGACAATATTTTTCTAATTATGTAATAATTACAGTACTACTTAGAATTTTAAATTTATTCTTGTTTTCTTAATAAAATTTTGATTTCATCTGCGATTGCACTCAATTTTCTTTACTCATACAATTGTTTTTTTAACGTTAAGTTATTTTGTTTTTTTAATTAAAATCTAGTGTTTGGGTTAAGTCTACAATAGCACCTTCAACGGAACGTAAACGTAACGAAACAATATTCTTAGCATTGTTACGTTACGATTACCTACGTTCCTTTCAAAGTGCTATTGTGGACTCCGCGAAAAAAACATGCGTGCACGGTATTTTGCTAAAAATTATTAAAATTTATTTAAATTATTAAAAATTCTGCCTGAAAAAAAATTATTATTAAAATTATTTATTATTATTATTATTATTATTATTATTATTAATTATTATTAAAAATTCTTTATATAAATTTTTATAATCATTTGATTATAAAAATTTATGAATTTTCAGTAAAGAAAAATTCCAAAATTTTTAAATAACTTTAATATTGAATTAAAGCTGGCTTTTCGGAGTGGAGTTTTAACGCCAGTTTTCATTCAAAAAATTTTTTTAATTATTTGACTAAAAATTATTAAATCACATAGTAGGGTTGTCATTTTTGAAAGATTTTCATAATTTGTATACAACTGTTCTATAGCCTCTACATTTACACTGTTTTCTGTTTTCCTATTGTAAGCTCTTTACTCTTCTGTGTTACCATGACAATCTGCAGGCAGGCAGTAGAGCTGTGCAAGTACCTTTACTGATTTATTCTTTACGTTACCTTGACAACATGCAGACAGCTTGCGCCTGATTTAAGAGTTTTTTTGGGATTTTCTTTTTAAAAACCATGAAAACTTAGAAGTTGAAAATTTTTACCATATATTCAGTAATATTTTAATAACAAATTCAAATTTTTGCAAGTAAAAATATTTTATTGATTCCGAATTTTAACACTGGAAAGTGATGCTGATAATAAAAACGCCTTCTATCGGCGACCAGGATACTGACTAATTGACTGATTTAAAATAAACAAAAGAAATTGTATTTTAATCTGTAAAGTTGTGGCTATCGCCGGAACTTGAGTTATTTGAAAATATGGAAAATTAAATTTTTTACGCGGCTTTGAATTTTTTTGTCTATTTTGTTGTATAAAATAGAAACGAGTTGACCTTTGTCAATTATCCTAGTTCGGACGATAGCCCGAACAGAACAGTGCTGAACATGCCCTGTAAATTTGAGCGAGTAATACATTGTTCGCTTGGCATCTCCTTGACTTCTTAGTGCTGTAACTTTCTCAGGATGTTAAATGTCGAAAATTCGCTTTAACCATATATTCTACACATATTGTAAATGTAATTTATAAAAAAAATTTTTTTTTTATTTTTTGAACCCATCACATGGGGTGACTCCCTTAATTTTAACATTGATTAAATTTATTAAATTAAAAATTGAAGATTGCTTATACATGCTAAAAATGGTAATCTTCTTTTGTTTTAAGAGAGAAAATTGAGAAAATATTAAATTTAATTTTAAATTCTTTTTATTTCTAACAATAATTAAACAAAATATAATTTAAATTAAATTCGTCGAAAAAATTTCACATCCTATAAAATGTAGTGAAAAATAAATTATAATTTATATATTTTTTTTGCAATAATATTATCACAAAACAAATTTAAACTAATTAGAACAAAAGTGATACGTTTATAAAAATTAATTTTTAAATAATAATTTAAATAAATAAAAAATAAAAATAAATAAAAATTCTTTTCTTGTAAAATAAATTTTTAAAAACTGTATTTTGCATTAATATCAATTCGTTTTTTTACAATTATTCATAAAGCAACTATTTCTGTATTTTAGAATGTTAAATTAATATTACTAATATATTAATATAGATTGAATTTTAAAAAGTTTCAAATTGAAGTTTTAAAAAAGTTGAATTGTAAAAGATTTTAATTAAAAATTCTGAATAAGTTAGTTTTTTGAAACATTTTTATTTACATTTTTTTCAAATTTGTTATATTTTTAAATATATGGGTGATTTTCAAATAACTGTCATATTTACATGTCCACATAGATAAATGACTAATAAAATTATTTTTTTTGCCACTCACTTCATAAATCACTTAATATAAGTCTCTTCTTAAAGATACTTAATATTCAGTTCATTAACTAATCATTATCATAGTTAAAATTAAGAAAATAGGGTCAAATTGTCAGGTCCGTGGCATACGTTTTTTTTAAATTTGGTTCTGAAATTTTTACGTGAGCAAATACTGAAACTATCTTTTAAGTACTTTGTAGGCCAAATCTAACCAGATGTTTTACATATAAAAATATTTTTATTATAATGATATTCTACGTACACGAGCACTTTTTTCATGTTTTAAATTGTTAATTACTTTCTATCTACACATGTTAACGACATCGTGATTTTATTACTCAATTTTATTTTTAATTGACTTCTACTGGTATTATTTTGAAGTGCGAACATTGAAAAGAAAATATTTATTCGATTATTTATTTATTTACGTATTTTAACTGTGACACACATGTCAGGACCGTGGCAAAATGTCAGGTCCGTGGCATGTAACTTTTGCGCTTTGTTTGCGTTTTCCATCGTAACTTTAGAAATATTCAAAATCTTATAGTTTCCTTTTGAACATATAATTCAATAACAAAAATGTACTAAAATATGTAATGAATGTCAAATTTGGTTTACTATTTTAGCAGAAAAACATCTTATTCAAAAAATCACAGTTATTTGAAAATCACCCATATAATATTTAATTGAAAAACTTTCAAATTATTCAAAATTTCATGAAATTGTCTCATAAACAAGTGATTTTTGAAATATTTTAGTTAAAATTTCTAGATGATAATTTGTCCAGTATGTTCTTTAAAGTAATTATCACAACGCATTATTATTTATTTGACAAAACACAAAAAACACGAAAATGTCCGACTATACCCGCACTTACCCTATACACTTTTTTAATAATTAAAATGAATTGAATTATTTTTAAGAAAATTTTATAGTACCGTCAACCGGGGCTATTTTGTGCACGAAATAGCTTTTTTTTATTCAAAGATTTATTTAAATTCAGAATTAAAAGAATAAAGAAAATCAACTTTTGATATATGTTGTGGACATTCTTCTAAAGGTTTCCTATAAATTTGTCAAGGAAAAAAATTTTTTTGTCTTAGTTATAGTCATTGAAAGTCGTGCACACAATAACTCCCGGGATGGGGCTATTTTGTGCATCGAACTTTGTTTTTCTATAATGTTGCGTAAACATTTTTTTAATCGTTTCTGCTTCATGAAATCTTTTGTGTATATATTTGAGAGTAAATTAAAAAAAGAATGACCTAGTAAAATTTTTTTTGTAGATATATTATACAAAAAATGTAAAATAAAGCACTAAAATTTTGCTAAAATCTGGATTTACTAAAAATTAACAATCTTTCTTTAAATTGTATATTACGCAGATAGTAAATAACATTTTTTTCTTTTTTAATATATATTTTATAATAATATACTAATATAATTATAAAATGATCGTTTAAACACTTATAAATAACTTTAAATTAAAACGTTGTGCACCGGTAGAGCTTTTAATCGTTTTAATGATTTTAATTAACGTATTTACAGTTTTTTGACAGAAAAGTAAGACAAAAATGTATAAAAATGATAAACAGAATCTTCTTTACTTACTAAATAAAACATTTATGAAAAATATTTGATTTTTTTAAGTGCACAAAATAGCCCCATGGAATCCTGGTTTTTCAGTTTTTTCCACTTTTCTCTTAAAATAATGAATAAAAAGTTAGCGCATTACGTATGTATCATCACAACACAATTGACAACAAATATCTAACTCAGTTTATGAGACACATTAAAACTCTAGAAGATCTGGTATAATTTTTCCGAACTTCCAAAACTTTTAAAACAAATTTTCCGTTTTTAGGAATTCTTTTCTCTTAATTGACAAAGAATTAAATAATAACATTTAGTGCTCTCTATTGTCATGTAATCAAACTTTCATTTTACAAAATAGCAGAATAAAATAATTCATTTTAATAATTTTTTTCATTAAAAAAGTCGCGTGCACAAAATAGCCCCCGGATGCACAAAATAGCCCCAGTTGACGGTATAATATAAATGGTAGAAAATTTAAAATCAAATGACAGAAAATTTGAGAAGGAATTGACTGAAGATTTAAAAGAAAAATTTATAGAAAGTTTGAAAGAAAATGAAGCTAAAGTCCGCAACGTTTTTAAAAACGAAAAATAAAAAAAAATTATTTTCAACTTAAATTCATCTTTAATTGTCATGTGCGTAGATTTAAAAAAAATAGTTGCTCAAAAATAACATGAATTTGAAGACAAAATGAAATAAATCGTTGCATTTTTTTGTTTTCGTTTTTAAAAACATTGCAGATTTCAGCCTCGTAAAAGAAAAAATAAATCTTAGAAAATTTGAAACATTTAATATAGAGGACAATTTTTTTAAGAAATCTGCCATATTTGTATCTTCTTGTAAAAACGTTTACCTTTCTCTTAACTTTAGTGTCCAAGATTATAATTATTATAGAACGTATGAACTAGGTGGTATTTTCTACAATAATAAAAAGTGACATTATTCTTTAATATATTTTTATTTCACAAGTTTATATAATCTCGTGTATTCTACTTTTTATAATACATTTTATACATTTTTTACAACATATATTATATAAAGATTTTAAAATGTTAAAATTTTGTTCAGAAATTTAAAACTTACAAATTGACAATAAGCCTTCTATCTTACTTACAATAGTAATAACTTGTTATTAATTATTATATTTACAACTGTGTATTGTGAAAAAGTTTCTTTCAAGTATCATAAAATTTAAGTTTGACTATCACATTATGAATCTCCAATGTATGCCGTCTACAGTATATTATTCTTTACGTTGTGCACACTACTCCAATAGTTTTATTCAAAATTATGTTTATGTATTTTACACAAACAGGGTTACGTTTGCTGTTATTTTTTCTTATTTCCAAGAAAAAAACATTAAAACTGCAACAATTGCATTCAACATTATTTTAATATTTATTTTGACGTAGTCATTTTTTAAAAAAACTTGACCAAAATGTGTCTCTGGACACATAATTGGAAGCTACTTTTTTTTTATCGAATTTTCTTATTAGCAAAGCCTAAGAATTATAAGCACCATAAGGTGAATGCAATTAGTACAATATCAATATTTTACACTCATAATAATAAACAGTTGAGTTCTTATCTAGTACACTGAAAAGATGTTGGTCAATGATGCGCTGCCACTTGCAGCAAAAGCAACAATTCGAGCAAAATTTTCTCAGTGTAGTTACAGACATTACGAGACCAAATTTACATATAAAATGCTATTCAGTGAGTCCATCTCTTCTCAAAGCACCTTTATCAGTTTTATTCAACCTGCTGTAATTTATTGGTATAAAGTTTGATAAAATCAAGTTTTTGCGTAAAAATAATAGTGCGTGTATAGGACACATTCGTTCAAAATTGTTTAAATGGCTTCCATAAATTATGTCTCGGTGCAAGAAGGATAGAGAAGTTGAGAAATTTGTGACGATTTGTAGAAAAAATGGCGCTAATGTTTGCAATAGTGCGTGACATTCAGACATTTATGGAAGCTGTTCTATTTAAACAATTTTGAGCAAATATTTTTACTTATAAAAATGAACAAGTTTTTAAGTAAAAATCTATTATCCGAAATTTCATTTGGTCTCTTTATGTAAATACTCTACAGTATTAACCCCCAGGTTTTACAAAGGCATATTTTATGGCGAATATTGAAACAAATTGAATTGAAACAAATGGAAAGCCTTTTAAGTTTTTAAAAACAGATGTAAGGAAAGAAAAATAAATGAACAAAAAATGACCAAGAATCATTATCACTAATTATAGTCCCTTTCACACCCAAGTAAAACTAGAAATTTATTTATTATCAATTTAATTTCCTAAAAAGTTGTATCATTTAAAAAAAATGTGAAATTTTCTTTTGCCAAAACATTGATTAAACATTCACAAACATTTTTTTTTATTTTTGTTTTATGTAGTGTTTCATAAATTAGGAAATGAGCTTTCCAATGAGACTTTTTCGAGCTTCGTAACTTTAATAATAAACAAAATACAAAACTTTTTGTAAAGTTCATAATTTCCGTATGGTGGTCAAAAGTTATTGAGCTGCACTGTACATAATAGCTGGTTTATAAGAATGAAAATTTAGGAAGAATTCTGAAAAACCATTCAAATTTGCTTAAAACCCTTTACTCATTGTCAGTAGTTTTGAAGGGCAATATGAGAACATATTTTAAGAACTGAAAATGGTGAATAAACTGTTTAAAACTGTTTGTAACAATCTTTCTCAATACTTAATTCGTTATTTTGATTTTTGAAACTGACTTCAAATTTGTAATTAGTAACCCAAAAATCGCCCAAGTAACAAGTTTTAAGCAAAAATAATTAATTACTGAATCGTAAGTAAATGTTAAAATACAATAATTTATGTCTTTCTCTGAAACTTTGTTGAAATTATGTACCATGGGCGTGAAAGAGATAACGTAAAAATAGAGAATAAACGAATAAAGAACCACGATATACGCTCCGGTAGAACGATACTTTTGCAGCAACTGAGGAATTGCCTTTTTAGTGTTAAGTTTCAAGAATTAATTAACAATTAATAAGTAGTGCATATTTTAAATGAACAGTTATAATATTTCCATGGTTGATGCAAGCTTATATATCGTTCAAATTTCCAAGTACCATTACTTTCAATCCATACTTCCAAAAAAGAGAAATATCGTGATTTAATATCTCAAGAATTTACTAAAAGCAAAGTTTTGTACTTCAAAAATCAGCTCATCGCCTTCTACGCGAAGAGCTTAAAAAACCTTTTTTGCAATTTTATTACTTATAGTTAAAAATTAAAATCTATAACAAACAAAATAAGCAATTTATTTGAAGGTAAGGTGTTTTGCTTTTCAATATTTCATTTAAATAGGCTCTTTACATTTGCTATCCAAACTTAAAGGTTAATATGTTTGTGTATTAGTTTTCAAGTATATAAATTTTCTATAAAACCTGAAACATCGAACAATCAATTAATGAAATCTCAAAATGTCAGATAACTATGAATTTTTATCTCATCAAAAAACTTGGTTTTTCGATAAAATAAACATCCCAGGTTATTCGATGTTTTAGGATTTTTTTATTTCTCACTCCCGATTACTCTTACACATTAGATTGCAACTGTACAAAAACAAATCTTCTAATAACTTTTAACAGTTTAATAAACCTTGCGCAAGGTATAATTTTTTCGATGTAATTATCTCATCTTTAATAAATTCAGGATATGAATTTTTATCTGAAATTATTTAAATATAATAAGTTTTTTAATGGATCTTCATGACGATAATTATGAAGAAAAAACCACATTCAGAGAAAAAAAGTGTTAAAAAGTACCTATAAAGGAAAGAAAAAGTCAATTGTATACTAAGTGTTAAAAAATATAAATATCAAACCATTTTTGCTTCACCATATTTAGGAAAAATGTTTAAACAAATATAAATCCATGTATACTTTGATGAAAAATTAAAAAATTAAATTATTTTTTTATAAGATTACAAAAAGTACGAAATTCCAATTTTTAGTTAATGAACGACAGTGTAAAAAAGTAATTAAGAATTTTTAATTTTTAATACCAGGATGAGTTTCATCTTTAAAAACTTTTAAAAATAGCAATTGCACTATAAAAAATATTAATTATTACAAATTTAATTGCAAAATTTACAGAAGTGTTATCATGAATGTGTAGTCCGCGTGAAATGGGTCTATTTTGAAACTATTCGACTTATCTATATGAGCATAATCTTCATTAAATTTCGAACAACTTGAGCGATCTTAGACTTCTCTGGCCGAAAAATTCGTCGAGTTAATTTAGAGAAAAACAAGTTTAAAGTTCAAATCTACCATTAGTTGCTTTAAAGGATTAAGGTCCATTCGGTGAAAAAAATGCATGTTTTTAAGTTGCTATTGCAACATTTGAACAATATTTCTCTAAATTTTCATGAAGAAATATTGAGAATTGAGCGAGATAATGTGATCGAAAAATATTGAAAATTTAAAAACAACCAAATTACAAATGATTATTTAATAAAAAAAACATAAATCCTGTAGTTTAGACCAACGTAACTAAAATACTCATAACTCCGTCAATTTTGATCCGATTGACTTGAAATTTTAACACAATATTCTGGAGATATTATGCATTCGTTTAAAAAAATTTTAAAATGCAATAAATAATTTTAGGACCTTACCCCCCTTAATTATAATAAAGTTATAGTAAACGTATAATTTAAAGTGGGTCACTTTTTAGATTGGTTTTCAACAATAAAACAAATAAATCAAGTGTCCACTTTTAGAAAATTGTGATTATCTCCTAAAATAAAAATCGGCCCTTTTCATGCGGAGGTTCACATATAAACACTTCATAGGCTTCTTGAAGCAATTAATCATTAACTAATAGTAAAGTTCTCAATTAATATTAAGTAAGATAATTAAATTAATTGTTTTAAAATTTTTAAAACACAAATTAATGTTAAACGTAAGGTTTAGATATCATTAAATTATTTTAAAAATAAATTTTTACTTTAAAATTCTTAATTATAACTAAAATGAAATAGAACCTCACCTTAAACAAATTAAGCAGCTTTTTCGAATGTCTCTAATTTCAAAATTATTGCTTTGACTTTCCCCTACTTTGACCTCCAACCGCAGTAAAATCATGACGTCACTGTTATAAGTGACGATTTTCAAGTAAACGAAAAATGTATTGTAATTGCCCCTATTACGTCTCGAGTCTATAATTTGAAGCGCCGCCCAAAAGAGAATATTGAAATTAGAGACGTTCCACTCTATTTTGCCTGTTATTGAGAATTTTGAACCATTTATCTTGTATCATATAAAAAGGATTTGGACATTAAATTATAAAATTCTTATGTTTCCAGTCCTGGCACAAGACTGTGAAACGTTTGAATATCGTGAAAAGCTCTTCCACAACTTTGATTATTATTGCGCTCAAATTTTGCCAAGTCAAATTGCTCATCTAGAGTTTGCAGCTCGGCTAAATGCTCTTCCAGTGACTTTGATGAATCAGTGAACCTTGCATAACCGCATATTCTCTCCGAGTCAATTTCATTCATCTCCATTAAGTCGACGGCATTGTTTCTCGGAGAATTATTCAAAGAAGTAAATACCGTGTTATCTAAACTTGTGTTGTGAGTGCTGTACGCAGTATTGTAATTAGTACTATAAGTTTCCATGCCAAGTCTGTTGTCAAACATTTCCATTGGCCTGTAATCAGACGTTTGTGCTTCTGTGATATTATCAAAGTGCGGCAGTAATCTTGGAGACGAAGGAAGGATGTAGAAGTCGCTGAAGACGTCCTCTTGAAGAGCGATATCACTACTTTTTTGCCTTTTTGAATTCTCACCTCTTTCGTTATCACTCAACCTACAACAAAATTAAAATCATTAATCATTAACATAAACATTCAATGTTAATTATTGCAAGATTAAAAAACTCTGTATAAGTAGGAGAATGTTTCAGGCATTTCAAATTTTTACTTTGAGCTAGGTGTTATAAAATGTTTTTCGATCGAATTTCAAATGGAGAGAAGGTAGGCAGTTAAGCACGCACATCTACACTTTCAAATACAGAGTTTTTTCATAAGTTGCATTCGACTGAGAGGTATTTGCGCAGTCTGTTCGGCATTTGTCTTCATCTTCAAATAACGATTCGTTTTTGAGAGGTGATATCTTTCATCTTCTAATATTCCACATCTAAAATCTATGACAATTTCTTTGCCAATTATACGGCAGTTCATTTAAAACACCACCTATATCGAACTAATATTTAACAGAAAACATGTACATATTTGTCAGAATATTCATCGCAACAACTCTTCATTTTTTCGTTCGCATGTCCAATCACAACTTTTCTGATGCCCTGCTGTCGAAAATTGTTGAACCGTGTTGAACCGTTAGACAGGACTGGGCAAAAAAACACGCAGCCCGACTGAAAGCTTGGAAAAATCTCCACTTGAACAAAAATGAAGATAGAAACTGCGTCTGAAAAGCTTTGGCCAATGTTTTATCAATGTTTTAAAGTTGTATAGTACTATTTGATAATTTATAGAACAAAATTCTCTAAATTTTCAATTATTGTTGGATATGTTCCGCTCGTTGCCAGATCTACGAAAAAGGCAGGAGAATTTTGTAATTTTGATTATTTTCTTGTAAAATTTTTAGCATTTATGTGAACCTAGAAACCTAAAAAATATTAATCACTTTCCGAGATATAACTAAAATGTCCGCGTATGTTTCTGTTATCATCGAGTCGTCAAGGCGCATGAATATTCCCCAAATGACATTTTACCGAACTGCATTTGAATGAACTGTTATTTTCACAAAATATCAATTAATCAAATAGTATTTATAAGTAAATGCCATTTTCACGAATTGTCATTTGCTCAAAGCGACATCATTACGAATTGTCACTTTTGAGAAAAGCAACTTGTACGAAATGTTATTTGTCCGAAACGACCCTACTGAAAATCCCCGTACAAGTTCAGTATCAGAACTTGTACCATTTCTGTCTAAGAAAATGGATCATTTCAGCATACGAATTTTAAACAAGATCTTGTGCAACATCTTGTATAAGAAAAATACCCCAAGGAGTTGGAACAATGAACATGTACAAGAAAATGTTCAAGAATATGTAAATGTTCTTGCAATGTACGTCTACAGGTTCTTGTACAAGATGTTGTATACACGTGAACTTTTTTTTCGCTTTTGAATAAATGTTCATGTCCAATTTCTTGTACGAGATCATGTACAAGAACCTGTAGACGTACATTGCAAGAACATTTACATATTCTTGAACATTTTCTTGTACATGTTCATTGTTCCAACTCCTTGGGGTATTTTTCTTATACAAGATGTTGCACAAGATCTTGTTTCAAATTCGTATGCTGAAATGGTCCATTTTCTTAGACAGAAATGGTACAAGTTCTGATACTGAACTTGTACAGGAAAATGTGCAAGATCTTGTACGCGGATTTTCAGTAGGGAAAATTTTTGCGAAATGTCAATATTTTGAAGTGTTATTATTTTGTACCCATTGTCCTTCATCGAATTAACATTTTTTCGAAAAGGCCCTTTTGCGAATTGTCATTTTTATGAATCGTTACTGTTGCGAATTCTCATTTGTCTGAAACGCCATTTTTACGAATTGCCATTTTTACGAAATGTTATTCGTAAAAATATCATTCGTTAAAATAGTAATTCGGTTGAATGTCATTTCGTCATAAAGACATTTCGAGTCGTCGACCATTGCAATCCTCATTGATGAGAAAAACATACGCGGACATTTTTAATCATATCTCGAAAACCGATTATTTTTTTAAGCTTCTCCATTTGAAGCAATAATAGTATTACAACTTGGAAACGTTGGTAAAACATTGGCTAAAGCTTTTCAGACGCAGAATTTTTTTTAAATTTTCAAAAAACTCTATTTTCAGTTTTAGTGGAGCTGTTTTTATATCCATTCCGGTCGATCGGACCGACAATTTCCGACGGTACTATAATTTTTTATTAATTCGGTAATAATAATAATAATCATAGGTCTAAGATCACAGTATTTATTTCATTTATTCGTTAATATACGAAAAATATACTTCAGCGCTCGTACCTTTGTACAACCGACATCCCGAAAAGAGAGCTGAACTCTGATATATTTCGGGGGTCACACGGAAAAAAAAGTACGTGAATCCTTCCTTGACAGTGCTTGACTTCTGGATAGGACACAAAATACAAGGCTGTTCCATATACTTTTTATTAGAAAATATAAGAAAGTCCTAGAATTATTCTAGTACTAGTGCGGCCCATACTAGTACTAGAATAATTCTAGGACTTTCTTATATTTTCTAATAAAAAGTATATGGAACAGCCTTGTATTTTGTGTCCTATCCAGAAGTCAAGCACTGTCAAGGAAGGATTCACGTACTTTTTTTTCCGTGCACTAAAGCTACACTGAGAGAAAAAAAGCACAGATTTTGAAATGGGAAAGTTCAGCATCTGTACTTTGGCTTGAGGTACAGATCTGGTACTTCTTCTTCTTCTTCTTCTTCTTCTTCTTTGTCTTTTATGGCTTCGAGTTAATCAGGCCAATTATTGATAAGTAAAATACTGGCGTAGTTGTATATTGAAAATTTTAATTGAAATATTGTGTTGGTTGATGCACTTTGAGTAGACTGAATTTCTCACTATAGCCCGGTGTTTTCTCACTACTTTCGTAATATATCAAGCGGGAGGTTTTGACGTCGAGGTCTAATGATGTGCACTGTCGATTATTGTCCAGTGCACACCGTTAGAACTCGGCTGTCGATAAACCGGTTGTGCTCAGAAGAGGTTTTCTACAGTTTCCCTCTTCTCTGGCGAGAAAACCCATTGACGGGTGGTCCAGGCAAATGCGAGTACTCCTAACCTCAAAGTCGTTCTGTAGAAACGCAAAAACAAGTTGGTGTATAAGAGTGTGTGTTCTGACAGTTGGCCAAGCCTAAAGTCATTTAAGAAAAAAAAAAAAAAAATGCTACTGTTTAGAAGTACAGTATCTGTCGGTCGCAATGAAACAGATCCTGTACTAATTAGTTCGTACCGCCGCCGCGCTATGCTTGAGCATAGTATCTGAACTATGAATGACTCCAACTGAATAAAATTAAAAACGGGCACTGACACGCATTTTACATTGCCGGTGTTTGTCACAGTACGGATTCTGTGCTTTTCTTCTCTCAGTGTACCTTTCCGGGATATCGTTTGTTCAAAGGCAGCAGTAGGGGAGCGTGGGGGAATTGGAGCCCCTTAAGGAAAATTATTTAAAAAAACAACTTATCTTTATAATAATACATTTTTTTCGTCATTTTCTACTCATTTCGTTATTTATCTTTAATTATGTTTAATTAGAAACTTAAAAAGAGAAAGTAAATTTGAAAAAAATACATTTACAGCCATCACCCAATTTGTGGGGTATTGGGAGCTTTCACTTGAAATTTAAAAAATTTATATTTTTTAGGAATATTTTTTGTTTTCTAATAGAAAAAAGTGTTAATACTAACAATAAATCCAAAACTTTAGACTTAAAATAAATTTTTTCCTAAATTATAATTGAATAAAAAATTTTTGAAAAAAATTTAAGTTTTACATTTTTTTCACCAAAAATTATTTTTTAATTAAAAGTTTTTTCATAAGGTGATATCTTTTACAATTTTCAAAGAAATAACGAAAGCCGTAACATGGTAACGAAAATTTTTTGGGCTGACACTAGTTCTCCCATTACCCCACAGAATTTTTGCAGGACAAAATTTGAATAAAAAAATAAAAACATAAACAAACTTTATTATTATCTCGATTTTTATACAAGTATACATATCTACACATATTCACCTATAATATAATGAAAAAACAGAACTAAATAATACGATTTTAACTACTTATGGTGATGTTTAGAAATATTTTGCATTTTACAACGAAAACTCAAAAAATACACTTTCCTTTGTCTTTACTAAAAATTTGTCAAGAATGTGATCGTTTGTTTTGGAATGATATAAACAAAGGTTGTAGAAGATTTTCTAGACATTGCAGTGAATTTTAAGGCTTCTAAGTACGTGAAATTTAAAAGCTCCCATTACCCCACGCGCCCCTACGTCTGTAGTACTGTAGTGCCCAAATCTTTTCCGTGGGGTTTGGATAAATAGTTCATAACTATTTATTGGCCTGTGGGAACATTGGTTTAGTAATTAGTACCAATGTATACATTTTTCTTAAAGTTCAACTTTCAAATACATATGTCTTTAGGGATTTTTGGAGTCGCTGATTACAAGTCAGCAGACGGATTTTCAAATTTCAATATGGCGGATGAAGTTTCTAAAAATTGTTGAATTATCAAACTTGTCATCTAGGGGTTTTCGGGGTCAGTCGTTAATTGTGCATACAGTAATAGTTCGGTTTGGACGTGTACATACTTTGCTTATGCACAGGACGTTTGGAAACGTTCACAAGGGGCGCTTGAATATCCTATAGAAATTACTCATTAGAATATGTATTTCATCGAATATTCATATAGCTGATTTAAAAATATTCGATTTTAAATCAACGCCAATTTTTACATAGAACAAATTTTACTTAATAGAATAACGTTATGGTCACTGACTTTTTATTTATCAGAATATCTCTAATTGATTCAAGTTTTAATTAATCATTTTATTTAAAACAAATGAAATTTAATCGAATTCTAATTTACATAAAATATCATTTAGCGCCAATTATAAAATTGACCAACCACCATCGATGTATGTAGTTTTTGCTAAAATGATATTTTTTCTATATTACAATTCAACTAGATTACATTTCTTTTAAATAAAGACTGTTAATTAAAACTTGAATCTTTTTGAAGATTCTGTTTAATAAAAATTCGGTGACCTTATATTCCATTATTTAAGTAAAATTATTACTACTGTGTAAAAATTTGCGTTAATTTAAAATACAAATTTTTTAAATCAGCTATATGAATAGTCTATCTAATAAAAGTTGGTCTAATAAATATTCTAACTAAAGTCCCCCGTGACACAAAGTATATATTTTCTTTAACGCTTGCTCTGAAAGGAGCACTTTTCGCATTAGAAAAGTGTGAAGAAAGTGCAACTATTCAACTCCTCTGAAAAGATTCGTGAAAATGAATCACACGTTACTCACTTTTTCTCGATCTTTGATCGCTATATATTTTGTGTTACACTCTTTCCCTGTTCAGAGCATTCGTTCGTTATTAAGAACTTATAGTAATAGGTGGTTTCGCAGTAAGAAGTGGGGAATTGAGAAGAATTGGAAATTTTTAACTTTTCACAGGAAAGGTTAAATTACACAGGCACACAAAATGAAAAAAGTCAAAACCCAGAGGTCACACCCCCCTATCCCCATGTTTTTGGGGTCGCTGAAACCGAATATGACCATGAAAATTTTTTTTCATCGGCCATTTTCCCGCTACCACCCCCTTACATCTGCTCCCGGGGGTTGGAATTTCAGTTTAAAAAAAAGTGGAGTAGGGTGTCTATTCCTATGTTTTTTGGGTCGCTAAAACCAAAAAAGACTACCAAAATCAAATCCTTTCCACTCTCAACCCCCTACAACCCCCTGCAATAATTTTTGATAATTAATATTTAATTTTCAATTTCCCAAAAATCGGTCCGTTTTATTTGAAAAAAATTATTGCAGGGGGTAGTAGGGGGTTGAGGGTGGAAAGGATTTGATTTTGGTAGTCTTTTTTGGTTTCAGCGATCCAAAAACGTAGGTTTAGACACCGCAATCGACTTTTCGTGAAAATTCGAATTTCGACCCCTCACCCTGGGGTTGTTAAGGGGGTTGTAGGGGGTTAAGGGAGGGAAGAATTTGTTCAGGGTGGCCACTAAAAGTTAGAAAAAAAATTCCAGGCTAATTCCCGGTTTTCCAGGCTAATATATATTTTTTCCCCGGTTAGTTACACAGGCCTGCAAAATTAGTTTCTTATGTTGTTTTGTCTACTAAACACGATCCCGGGTCTTAAAATTGCCCTTCATTTCAGGATATTGAGAAAAGTAAGGGTAAAGAGACCAAAAAAGTTTTTTTTAGGGTTTACAACATTTTTTTTCTCTTTAAACTGGCGTGCTAGAGATTTCGACAAGGTTTTAAATTAAAGCTTAAAACGTGAATTTTAAGAATCAATGCAAAACACAAAAGAAAGCAAGGATTTTGGAAAAAGTAGGGTTACAGACTCCAAATAAATTTTTTTCGTTATTTTTGATATCGGAATTGTTTCTAATGTAGTTTTGTCCACTGAACAAGATCCTGGATCCTAAAATTGACCATCACGTCAGGAGTTTAAGAAAAGTGGGGTAAAGACTCCAAAAACGTGTTTTGAGGGTTTTCAGTATTTTTTTCTCTTTAACCTGACGCGCTAGAAATCTCTACATATAGGGTAAACGCGCCAATTATTGCGATTTCTCCAATTACTGGGATTTTTGGGAAAATACTATTATTTACTATTATAGAATAATATAATATTTGAATAAGTTTGAAAAAATTATTTTCGACCTTAATAAAATTCTTTCGTAAAAAGTAATTGGTGTCCCTGAAGAGGGCCGTTTATTCACAATCATCCATTCTTTTAATGCCATACCCGACTATCAAGTTTTAGGACAATTGGATCGATTTTCAAAAAAGTCGTCCGTCATATTAGGCACATTTTGAAGTTTGAAAATCTAACATTGGATTCGTAATTTTTGTCGTGGGTCTTGTAGTGTAGGATTTAAGCTTTAAGGAAAATCCCTCATAAGAAGTGTGCAAAATATGTCAAAATTCAAATTTTTTTTCTCGCTTATTTTATTATAAAAGTTAAAAAGCCTTTTTGCATAATAAAAAGTATAATTTAAAGTATTAAAAACAATAAAAAAAAATTATATTTTTTATATTATGTTAGGCTGTAGAGGGCGTCAAAATCGATGCTTTTATTTTGAGGCGTTCCGCGGTTGCAGGTCTAGGGCCGTTCCTAGTGGTCTAAAATAAAAACCCAAAAGAACTTTTACAGTTAAGATACTAATCTAGTGGTTATAACTAAAATTACCTTAAAAAATCAAAATTAAAAAAATGACACTACTTTTAACAAAAAAATTGAAAAATTACCTTTTTTTCTCCACATTTTTTATTAAAAAAAGTATTAAAAAATTTTCTTTTTCAAATTTTTTAGGTATACCCACTAAAGAATATATTTTTTAACAATATGCAAAAAAAATTAGAAAGAAACATTCATCCGTTTACTCAGAATCCCTGCAACCGATTTAAAAAACAGCGTTTTGAGAAAAACGCAGTTAAAATTTAAGTACGATTTTTTCAGATTTATTGTTAATTGGTTTTTATAAGAGCTTACCAAATTTTAATTTGCTATCCTAGGTCAATAAAGTAAGTTATAAGCTTCCTGATAAGCCTTTTCATGTTCGTCGCGAGCCTTTTTATTATCAAAAACCATACAAAATTGAGTAATTCAATGTATTTGTCAAAAAACATGAACTGATATTTATAATGATATCTCGCGAACCGAATAAGATTTTTTAACGTTTTTGGTCTTAAATTAAAGATAAGACTTAAAGGATCACATCTATATAAGTTTTAAATTTTGTCTACAATTTTTAAAAAATATGCCAAAGTTTAAAAAATTGTCAAAAAAACTTTAATTTTTTAATTTTCTTTTTCAAATTTATCGATTTCTAAAATCTTTGTGTAATTTCTTAAAATTTCGAATTTTATATTATTTAACATTGAATATTATAAGCTTTCTAATGGCAGATTTCTCAAGTTTCTTACATTATTTTTTTCAGGAATATCATGATTTAAAGATTGGTATGTTTTTGGGCCATGCGCGTGGAGCCACTCTGACGGTAGTGTGATTTACTATAACTTTTGATAGGAGCTAAATTTCGTCATAAAATTTAAAACCTTTATTCTAGAGATATTAAGGATTTTAAAAAAGCAAGAAAAAAAAATTCGAAGAAAAATTTTTTTCTCATGAGTAATCCCCCTTAATTTAAGACTATGTAGAAATTTATAGCACGTCAGGTTAATGAAAAAAATACTGAAAACCTTCAAAAACACGTTTTTTAGTGTCTTTATATAATAGATTTAGCGATTTTGTCTGTAAATGTCATAATTCCCGGTTTTTATTAAAAATCCCGGCTTTTTCCAGGCTTTTTCCCGGTGTATAAAATTCCAGGCTAATTCCCGGTTTTCCCGGTTTTCCCGGTCAGTGGCCACCCTGTTGTTTTTGGTTTTCTTTTTTGGTTTTAGCGACCCAAAAAACATAGGAATAGACACCCTACTCCACTTTTTTTTAAACTGAAATTCCAACCCCCGGGAGCAGATGTAAGGGGGTGGTAGCGGGAAAATGGCCGATGAAAAAAAATTTTCATGGTCATATTCGGTTTCAGCGACCCCAAAAACATGGGGATAGGTGGGTGTGACCTCTGGGTTTTAACTTTTTTTTTATTTTGTGTGCCTATGTTATCCATTCTTTTTAATTCCGTTTGTGTCCAATTCCTATGTATTTATTTTTTGAGGTTCTTCTTACTGGGTTACGAAAAAACCTTTTCTCACAAGGCGTTGGATAAAACATCGTGTAGTATTCGTGGTGAAAAACGTATTATTTATCATACTAAAATCATTAATATTGTTTGACAAGAGGGAGTGAGACTGGTATTTTTAAAAAAGTGCGTGACATCAATTGTGAACGCTTCTTTTGAGGAACCGTTCAAAAAATACGTAACGCTATTTTTTGGAAATTTGGACCCCCCCCTCCCCCCATGTAACGCAATGTTGTATACATTAGCGCCATTTTTTCTGCTGACCGTAACAAATAGCTTTACCCCCCCTCCCCCCTAAAGCATTATGTATTTTTTGAACGGCCCCTGAGCAGCAAACGTAAACCGAAGCAAAAATTCATGGGAATGAGAAAGGATAAGTCGGTGGGCATCACTAAGAATAAGGGGTCAGACAATTATGTTTTAAACAAAGAAAACCTGAAAGTACATCACGTAATATGTAATTTAATAATTTCACTTTCACGTAATTAATTTATCAAAATCGCAAAATTAGGTTATTTGACGCACCAACTTTATAAACAGGTTGCATCTATTATTTTTATTTTGTCACTAGTTTGAAAAAATGAATTTTTCTGTCTTTTCATATTTTAAAATTGCTAAAAAAGTTCATCTTTTCCACTTTAAACTCATATTTTAAGAAAAGTAAGTCACCTTTTAAATTTTTTTGAAAAGTAGGCCACAACTGCTTTGTTCGAATTATAATTGTCTGACCCATAAGTGTAATTTAAAATGAAATTTTTGAATTTTTACCTTTTCCTAGGTGAAATATTACTATCCACAACATCAATCAGAATATTTCTGGAGATGTTGTTTTCTTTAGACGAGCCATGAAGATAAGAAACAACTGGCAGATTCAAATTTCTCGTCTTTTCGTCTCTATTCTCACGTTGTAATCTTCTCACTGCATTATTTATTAAAACTGATCTACATAAACTTGTTTCAGGATCTTCTATGCGTTTCAGTTTATTAGCTGAAATTTTCATAAGTCTGCGGCGTTCCTCTCGAGCTCGATATTTAGCGGATATCATAGTTGGTCTGCTTCTACGAATAACCAAATCTTTTTCCAATCTCATTGTCTTTTCTGCAAAAAACAATTCATTTCAATATTAAATTTAATATTCAATAAAATATTTTAGAGAATATTTTCTATTTATTCCTTAATCAGATATTGTAAAAGTAAGATTTTAGTTCTCCTCTATAACAAAGAATAATTCAAATATTATAAACCGGATAAAATAAATTGAGTTAAACTACATTTCACATATGATTTTTCGTTTTTAAAAACGTTGCGGACTTCAGCCTCATCATATGGCTGCCTCTCTCATATTACTATATATGGTTCGGAGATCCATATTTTGTTCAAAATTTTGATACATATTGCTCTCAAGTTATTTTCACGGCATCCATTTAAAAATATTTTATTTTTTTTGTTTTTTATTTCATGTAATTTTTATTTTTTCCACAGTACCGTACGCATTGTTTCTCAACACTGAAGGATTTTAGCAAATGACAAATTTAAAAAAAAATAAAAAATGAAAATTTTTTTACAATTTTTTAAACTCCTCCATATTTTTTAAAAATTATAGACAAAATTTTAAACTTATATAGATGTCATCCTTTAAGTTTCAACTTTAATTTAACACCAAAAAAGTTAAAAAAATCTTATTCGGTTCGAGAGATATCATTATAAGCGTCGGAGCATTTTCAGTCAAAAACCGTACAAAATTAACTATTTCAACGCATTTATCCAAAACCATGCTCTGACATTTATGATGTCTTAAATTAAAGTTGAAACTTGAGGGATGACATCTATATAAGTTTAAAATTTTGCCTACAATTTTTAAAAAATGTACAGGGGTTTAAAAAATTGTAAAAATTATTTTAATTAAGGGGACATTCCAGTTCAAAATGTCAAAAAATCGATTTTTTATTTTTTTATTTTCGGATTTCTTATAGTGTCAAGAATACTCTCCTAAAATTTTATTTGCAAAATTCGAAGTAAAACAAGAGTTATTCATACTAACTTATTCTTCGCCATGTCAAAGATGTTTTTATACACGGATAAGCAGAACCCAATCGAATGATTTAAATGTTTTCTTATTTGCATTTTGTAAAAAAGAGAAACAAAAATGTATTTGGTGTTGCTAATCACAAATTAGATATCAAATTTTCAAAACTCAAAATGGCAAATCCAATATGGCGGAAGAGAACATTAAAAGTCAAGTGGATTTTTTGATTCAGAATCGTTGTTTGGGAGATTTTAGGGTAGCTGATTACGCATATGATATCAGATTTTTGAAATTCAAAATGGCGGATCCAATATGTCGGACAATTTTTTAAAAAAATCATCGGATTTGCTTGAAAATCGTTACTCGGGGGTTTTCGGGGTTACTGATTACGAATCTGACATCAGTTTTAAAAAATTCAAAATGGCGGATCCAATATGGCAATTTTTCAAAATTAATCAATTTTGAATTTCAAAAATCTAATATCATATTCGTAATCTGCGACCCCAAAAACCCCCCAGTAAAGATGTTCAAGAAAATCCGATGATTTTAAAAAAAAAATTTCCGACATATTAGATTCGTCATTTTGAATTTCAAAAATCTGATACGGTATTCGTAATTAGCGACCCCAAAAACCCCCGAGTAACGATTTTCAAGCAAATCCGATGATTTTTTAAAAAAAATTGTCCAAACTTATCAATCAAAACATTAAGCGCTTTTATCTCAAAATACAAAATGTCTTTTTTTGATCTGGTAAGAGTGATATCTCGAGTTTTTATGAAGCGATTTTGAAAAATCTAACGGCATTTGATTCATTGTCATCATGTCTATAAGTGGAACCTCAAAAACGGGAAAATTTTCAACTCCCTTTTTATTTATAAGAGAAATTCTGAATAAAAACATGTGTTTTTTTGATGTTTTGGGGAAAAAGTACTCTAAAAAAAGGAGGGGAAGAAAATTCCACTTTTTTGAGGTTCCACACCTAAAGAAATATCTAACGAAGAGAATGTCACTTCGTTTTTGGTTTGATCTGTTTTAGAAAGTTTGAAATCGATCTTACCATAAGAAATGGACATTTTTGAAAATGGCGTATATCGCCGCCATTTTGAAGTAAAAATGAAAAAAAAATTTTTTGCATTTTCTTAAATAAATTATTTGTCACATGTAAAAGAAATTTTATAAATAAATGTCAGTTATTTTAATAATATATTATATTAAAAAAGCCTTATTTTTTCCTGTTTTGAACTGGAATGTCCCCTTAATTTTTTTTTTTTTAATTTGTCGATTAATAAAATCTTTGTGTAATTTATGAAAATTTTCAAATGTATATCACTTAACGTAGAATATTATAAGCTTTCAAATGGTAAATTTGTTAATTTTCTGACATTTGTTTTTACAGAAAAAATGTGATTTAAAAATTGGTATGTTTTTGGGCCGTGCGCGTGGTGCAGAACCGATAACTTCCGACGGTAGTGCATTTAGTAATTATTAATAAAAAAAATTATTAAAATAAATAATAAATGTTAATAAAATTGAGTTACGATATATTTTTTAAAATTATAAAACTAAAAAGAAAACTCAAAAAATTGTATTAATACCTAATTATATTATTATTAACATTAAAATTAATAATATTTTTAATACTTTTTAAATGTTAATGTAATTTGGGATTAATGTGTGTAAAATGTTTAGACTTTATCAGGGTTCGATCCCACATCCGAGAGAAATAGTTTTAATTCATTGTTTAAGTGCGTTATTTTAATAAAATAATAATTATTATTTAATCTGTATAAGTGTTACATGAATCAAATTTGTAAACATGCTTTGTAAATAATATAAATGTAAATAATACAAATCTTTCCCGTATCTAGTTAATGGAGATTTGAATAATTTTTTAATAAAAGTTGTTAGAAAATAATTATAAAAATACTTCTGACATGTGCAGGTTAATTGAAATTTTAGGTTTAAAGAACAAATTTTAACCTCTTAGTGATAGTTCTTGTCACTCGTTGAAAAGGCAATTTAAAAAACGTAACAATTAACGCAAAGTGTTTTTTTACTAAAATTATTTTTCAATATTATCATTTGAAATGATATTTATTGTTAATAATAAAGGGTCGAGTGGAGTAATTAGAAACAAATTTTTTTATTTTCACCAATGACGTCATTGCGTTTTATTTTTAAACGCAATATATATTTTCGGGGATTTTTTAAAAAAATAAAATTTCCAAAATGGTCAAAAACAATTTTTTTTAAATTTTAATAGTAAACAATAAAAGTAGACCCCAAACATTAAATGTTTATTTCTTCGAAAACTAGAGCCAATTGGATATTTTCAAAAATATTTTTTTCATGAAACCGAAAAGAATAACTTAATTTTTTCTAATGTTTAAAGTTAAAAAAGTACTCTTGAAAAGTTTTTTATTTCTTAGGTGAATGAAAGAAGTGGAGTTAGTTAAAATTTTATCACAATAATAATAAGAAAAAATTGTTATCGATGCTGAGCGTCGAAGCTAATTTCAGGAACCTATTGTCATGGTTCGATTCAAGTCAAGAGGAAGTTGTCGAAATTTTGTAATGATAGAAATAAGGTCGTCAAAGCAGGATGTAATCTCTTTCCTACCCCCTCCAGCATTGTAAAAAATTAAAAAGCAGGCTGACACTAAAAAATAAGGACATGCCCTGCTAGATCAGATCACCCTAGATAGAAACATCTAAATTTAAGATGCTTTAAAGAACTTGAAGAAGTATCTTGCATTTCTAAGATGGAAGAAATATTGAATGACTGTTCAAATACCCAAAGCATTTTAAATATCAATAAGATACGATAAGATACGAAATAAATCACTCATTTTTACAGAGAATAATTTCTTATTTATTTTATTTTACTTTTCCTTCAATTAATTTTTCAAATCTTAAATTATTTAAAATGTTCAACCCATATGGCTTAGGGCTATTTAAACACTTTAACGTTTAAGTTTATTACAAATTCTGATTGTCAGATTTTTATAAACAGCTCAGTAGGATTTGCCAACCCTACGGCAAATGACGGCAAATGAAGACATTACAGAAAGTTCTTTATTTTAATTTCTAGTAAAAATAGAAAGTCGGTTAAGGTCTCATTTCAAAGCTAACATTTCCTACTTTCATAATATCAAAATAATAAATTTTAAAAAAATTCTTCATTGTTTAAATGCAATTAGGAATAATCAAAACTTTTTAATTTTTTTTTGTAAATTTTAAACAAATGTAGTTTTTTAACAACTCAACATACATAAATTTCATGTATTGCAAGTGAAAGCTTAGTTTATCACTTTTCAAATGCTTCTTTAAAAATTATTCTTTGGAAGAAAGGCATAACAGCATAACTGACATTTTTATCAAATTTGAGATAACATCAGATTTGTATATATTTAATATTGCTCTTCAAAGTTCAATAGCTGAAAAATCATTAAAATGGTTATTAATGTAGAAAATAATGGAAAACATAATCGCATAATTGCGTTTTTGACAAAAAGAGACCTGCATAATAACATAACTGCATTCAGCTTAAAAAACAATTGACATAATTAAAAATGAAAATAACCTTTATGAATAAAAACAATAAGAATTTTGTAATAAAATGTTTTTAGTAAAATACATTCTTCGTACTTTAAATTAAATATATTTATTTTAATAAAACTGGAACAAATTTTTTATAGCATAAATTGTGCATTTAATTATGTACTTATTTTTAAGGGTATTTCTATTCTAAAAAATTTTGGAAAGTATTTCAAAAAATAAATTAAAAAATTCTTTAAGTTGAACAGTAAAGTAAATTTTTTTTCTCGTTTCAATAAATTAAAAACATTTTATAAAAAAATAAATTTTATAACTAAATAAACTCTTATAATTTTTTCTAACGAATTAATAGTTTAATTTGTCTTTGTGTGAAAAATCTTTTTATTATGACAAATCAAACCAAAATAAATTGTGACATTAAAACTGTCTGAAGTTGGACTCATATACAATCTGAACTTGCATAACCGCATAAGTGCAATAAAACTCATGATTCCGATGAAAAATTATCAAAATTTATATCAAATCGTGTGTTTTATTAAATGTTATAAAAGAATTTTGAAAATATATTAAATAATAATACCAAATGCAAAAGACCGAACAAATCTGTTGATTTTCTGAATTTACAGAAGTGAGAGAACATTAAAATTAATTTATCTCGAAATCATGACAAATGCAGTTATGCTGTTATGCCTTTCTTCCACAGTATTGTACGATAATTTTTATGAAAGCTGTTATCGTCATTTGTTTTAAAGTACAGCCTATTTTTTAAATATTGTTGATCATTTAAAAACAGTTGATTTAGAAAAGAAACTTTAGACTTGATGTAAAAAAAATGTTCATTTTTATATGTAGAATAAGGAAAAAAATATTAAAAGAAACAAATGACGATAATTTTCTTAAAATACGATAATTTTTAAAAAAGCATTTGAAAAGTGATAAAAATAAGCTTTTAATTGTAATGCACGAAATTTATGAATGACTAGCGATGTTTTCCTCGCTCGCTAACGATCGCTCAGATTTAATTGTCTTTGTTGACTTATCTATTTAATTTTCTATTATAATTTTAATTATTAATATTTAAATGTATATTAAATGGAAATTTCTTTATTCATAATTATTTTATTCTATCAATAATATTCTTTTCATTATTACGAATTCATTCGATATTATAAATATTATAATGTATTTTATGTTATTAAAAAATTCAATCTAATTTTCTGAAATAATATTTTTTTTTTAATTATTTCTTTGTTATTTTAATTTACTTTTTTTTTTTGTTTTTGTAATAATTTTATTTTCAACATAAACCAATTTTCTATCTGAAAGAATAAGCAGAAGTAGTTTTTACAGAAGTGTAACAGAAGTTGTTATTCAACTGAACAATTTTTGAAAATCGATATAATTATCACATGAAGAACTAAAAATTTAAACCAATGCATGAAATTTATAAATGATGACTTGTTAAAAAAATATTTGTTTAAAAATTACAAAAAAATGAAAAATTTTGTTTATTGCTAATTGCAGTTATAAACAATGAAGAACATGTTTTTTTAATTTATTATTTTGATATTATGAAAGGAGGAAATATTAGCTTTGAAGTGAGACATTAACCAACTTTCTATTTTTACTAGAAATTAAAATAAAAAACTGTCTGTAATGTCTTTATTTGCCGTACTGGCCTTCAAAGTTCTGATTTCAAAATTTCAATAAGCGTTTTCGAAAATTTTTGAATATTAAGTTACATACAAGTCGAATAATTATGGGAAATTCTGTAATATTTGAAGCGTCAATATATTAAAGTGTAACAACAGCCTTTCTAAAAACGTACAATTCTCGTGCGATATTTTCCAGAGGATGACATATGGTTTCCCTTGTGCGGTCCTGACCTTACATTCATTTGGAAAATAAACAAATTTAAAAAGTAAAACTGAAAAATTTGAATATTAAAAACTCTCATTTATTGAAATGTGAGAAATCCAGATGCCATATACAATCCTCTGGAGAGGGGATAATGTCCTCATTTGACGACGCACAAAAAGATATAATCGCCCTATAATACTTTCACGAAATACCGCACTTTCCTCACTAGTTACATAATCCATTCACTGACGAAATAACTTTTCATCAAGTTGCACTAACTAAATAATGCAACAAGCAGCAAATCGAACATTTTCATGGCAGTTTTCTTTAAGAATAAGATACAAATTTAGGTTAGGTTTCACAAATTTCTTTCTATTTTTAGAAGTATCGAAATAATCTATACATGTAAAAGTATACTTTTAATCATTTTTAGTGTATATTTTTTTCTCGATTTTTTTCAAATAAATCCACTGTAAAAATCAAGTTAAACAAAATTCTTTATGTAGAAGTAAACTTTCCTTTGTCAAAACGTTCGTTTTTTTATATTTTTTTAACCATATTTTTTCACCAAGAGTCGAAAAAAATAATTATTCAGCATTGTATATTTAGTATGACGTCATGAAATTATTGTAGATAAAGAACAATATGCATAAAAGATTGAAGACGACTTACCTATTTATAATGTATATAAATATGACAAGAATCCAAACAATTGGTTTCAGGAGTTTTCAGTATTTTACTTGATAATGACACTGATTTTAAATGACTCAATTTGACTGTTGTCTTTATTACTCCAAATAACGGAACAACAAAGCACACACTAATGGCGTCGTTATTGTGTACCCTTTGGATCTTGCATCTTACTGAAGCATCTTTATCACTTTATACTTTCTGTGATTTTACCGTGTAGATAACTATGGAGTGTTCTAATTACACAATAAACTGTAATCCAACACTACGTTTTCACTATTCACTATGGCAAAAGATCTCTCCTCGACGACTCGACGACTCGACAACTCGACGAGTTTCACAACAACAATGAAATATAAGTGAATCACTGAACACAAGACAAATGAATGATAAGAATGCTGAAGTAGACACTCATCATGATTTGAAGGTCAAGAAGGTTATTCTAGAAAGTATGCGACGGTTCCCGCAGACCTGAATGCAGAGAGCCTGTTTGTCTTTTTCCAAATATCTTTACTAACATGAGATGGAGAATGACATTCTAGTCATTACCATTACTTTTGAGATTGAGATTTCAGATCATTATTTCAAGCTATTTCTACACTGTAAAAATACTTGTTGGAAAATAAGGGTACAATCCCATGTGGATTGTCGAATGTCGATCGTGGATGTGAGTGAACCGAACGTAGAAAATCATGAGTGCGATTGATTAATAATGCCTTCTTGCTTGCACATCTTGTTTATGCTTCTGCCCATGTGGGGCTAGGCAGAACGAATAATACGGACCAGCTCTCTGTGTCCTTTTCTCTCTAATGCCCTGTTCCGTATCCGTATCCAATTCATTCTGCTGCGTTCGATTCTTTCTCCACTAATGGCGCACTCACACCTTTGGTGGCTGCCTGCCTGGCTGCAGGTTGCCATGGTAACAAATAAGAGTAAGAGAATCAGACAATTCAAATTATAATGTTTCTATCTCTCCCTTACTTTAGTCACACCAAAGGTGTGAGTGCGCCATTAAGGCGCTTGCACACTTCTAAATTTTTAGACGAGCAGCGAATTTTCACGACCTTGAAATGCACATTACTAAATATGATTGGCTCTGACAAAAGTACATTTTCTCGCAGCTTTTTGTAGAGCCAATCATATTTAGTAATGTGAGTTTCAAGGCCATGAAAATTCGCTGCTCGCCCAAAATTTTGGAAGTGTGCAAGCGCCTTTAGTGTTATTGTTATATAAACGGTGCAATGTGACTGTACCCAAAATGCGGAATCTTCATAATGGCAGACTATTTAAACTAATTAAAACCTACTATTTACTACTTTTTTACATTATCGGGTACTTTTTTTTAGATTTCAGCCACAATTTCTGTTCGTTTTGAAAATTTTAATAAAATTCTTTGCAACTATTTAATTACTTTCATAAACAATAAAATTTATCGCAAGATTTCAATTATTGTTAATGCAATTTTACAGGATTTGTCTTAAAAAAATGTAATTATTCATAAAAATTTAATTTCAGTTCCTCGAAAAAATCAATTATGTAAAAATAATGTTTTTTTAAAATTCCTTGGAAGAATTTAATATTATTTAGAAAAATATTAGAATTTTTCACCGGAATTCAATTATTTTTAAATATTTTAATAAAATTGTTTTACTACTTTTTTAGTTTGAAATCTACTTAACGGTCACAGCTCGGATGTCTGCCTGGCGCCTGCTACGGACAGACGGGGCAAGGGGGACTCATGAGTGTGAGCGAGAAGAAAAACACCTTACTTTAAGAATGCGTTCCAATATCCAATGACAGCAGAAGAAAAATATATAAAAAACATTTTAATAAATTTAAATTATTAATTACTTAAAATTTTTAATTCAGAAACAATCGAACCTGTTTCTATAGGCCAGCGAAGGCAGAATTAGGCAGAATGAATACGGATACCAACGGATACGGAACAGGACATTCGACATTGGAAAGAAAAGGACACAGACAGCTTCTGTCTTTCTTTTGCTGTTCCCGTGTCCGTCTTCATCTCTTCATTCTGCCTTGGCCCAGAGGTGCTCAGAGGCATTTCGTCCCCGACTATTGTGCTTAGGGCTTTACGTCTGATTTCCGTATTTCGGATGTTCTACTGTAGTTTGTGTGGCAGACATTTTGTGAAGCGGCTCGAAAATGTAACCTTTTCTTAAGTAACACTATCTCTGTCTACCTCATGAAAATGTGTTATGACTTTCACAAAAGTTTCGTAGTAATAATGACAAGTTGTAAAAATGCAGTTTTTAACGCCTATTTTTTACCTACGAATAAATCAACAGCCTAATTGATTTTGTGTTGCATTACACTATGAAACGAATTTCACCGTTTGAAAATTACCCACACGTAATGATATAATTCGAACACATTAATTGGTGTCGAGCAAGTCGGTCCTCATCCTCATATAATGACTAAATGAGACAAGTGTTATTAGCATCGGTTCTGGCACTAAAGAAGCAATTTTCTAGTATTTTCACAGATCAAACATATCATTAAGTGAATAGACAATGTGAGAATTCTCTTTTCGTTCTTAGGAGAGAACATTTAAACCCCATCTCTGCAAAAAGTTCGTTAGCTGTGGATTACGCGGAATAAATATCACGAAGATTCTGCTGGTTAATATTGAAGGTAAATATGTGTGTTTTCTTTTACATTGTTTACATTTAATCTTTCGCACACGATTAAAATTAATTGAGCAGTTGCATATTACTCCAGTGTTTAAAAATAATAATAAATCTTAAATATCAGCGGACAAACAACTAAAGTGAATTCAAACCTAGAATGCAATATTGTGGTGGCTGTGGAAAGAAAGTTGCGCACAGTTTTTCTAATTAGTGACAATTTGAATCTGCATTCGGCAGCATAACCTCGAGCTTTTTCAGGGGATAATAGGATGGAACAATGTAATTTCGCACTCACCCTTCATCTGTTGATATTTTAAATTTATATTTTCTCAAAAATAGAAATTTCAAGTTTATCGGTGTTCTTATTTTGATGTTGCTTAATACGAATCTAGCATTATATAAGTTGAATAACTCGGACAAATTACGGGATTCATATTACATCTAAATTTTGTGTAGATTAATTTTCGACATTTCATACTTTTTAGTTCCAAATTTAACTATAATTATGTAAATAAACCTACAAGGCTCAATCCATTATATTCATCACAGTGTCTTGTTGGCCTATTTTTAAAAAACTTGATTATTTCTGCAAATATTTTTAAGTGTTTGTTGGGTAACATTTCTTATGACCGTTTTTTAAAAAATCTCATTTTTTTATTAAAAACGTCCGACTAGACGGACGAAATAAATTTGTCCGGATATTGATGATCCGAATAAAATATTTGGAGTCTAAAATGTCGCGATAAATTATTAAAAGAAATTTCATCCGCATAGTGAGATAAATAATTCACTTAGATGTCATATAATCAGAGTGGCCACAAAGTTTCATTATCTAAATTCCCTGTCTTATTTTTCATTTTTCCGGTAGTATTTTTATTTTCTGGCTTTAAAAAGAACATGAAATTCTGTAGAGTAACTGTATCAGGAAATGAACAGATAAATGAACCACTGAATAAACAAAGTTACACTTTTTGAAAAAAAATGGTTAGTTAGTCATGATTCAATTACTAATTACTTTTAATCATAACTATTTGATTAAAAATATGGGGCGCTCATTCAACGTTGGTGAAATTTACAACGATTATAATCAACGATTTAGAAGAAAAAGTATTTTTCTACTTATATTTTTATATAAAAAATGATTTGCATAATTATTTGTTTATTAATTTGAAAAAGAAAAATTTGTAAGTAAAACATTTTGTTATTTTTGTTAGAAAAAAATTTTTTTTTTGTTCAATCGTTGATCATAAACGTTGTGAACTTCACCGAAGTCTCATTCACTGGTGCTTCCATAAATAACTAGTATTTTTATTAATTTTTCAGTTTCTTTTTTCTTATTAATAACCAATAAAAATTTCTATTAATAAATTACAGTCTTCAGGAGTATAAATCCAACTTTTTTAATAACAATTCATCTATCTTTTAAGAATGAGAAGCAGACAAATAAAAAATTATTAAAAGTGCATCCCCTGGTGTACGAACGCACAAATAGTAATTTCCTTAATTTTGTCTGCTTTTTATTCTCAAAAAGTGGATAAATTATTATTTAAAAATTGGTTGATAATTAATATAATTTTGATTAGGGGTCTAGTGATGAAATTATATAAAACAATTGAAAATTAATAATTGGAGAAAATTGATATTATAGTTGTCAAAGTTGAGCCCTTTTCGAAATTCCTGAACAAAATTTTATCGTTTTAATCATTAAAATATATTATTTAAATGTTTTACTATATAGAGAAACAATTTACTTATTTTTTTATTTCATTTTAAAACGTATTACATTTTTTTAACTCAAATACAATTCATGCTTGTCATCTATCAAGTAAATTGTTTACATGTATGTAAAATCGAATTTCATAATTAATAAAAAAAGAACCTTTTTTCTCTAATTGAAGCTCCGGATCTTAAAAGGGCACTTTTACCATTTAAAATCAATACTGAAAGTGGCCTTTTAAAATCCGGAGCCTCAATTGCAAATATAATTAATAAAATTGTAAAACCTATAATTTAAAAAAATTTTAAATAATAAAGAATAAAAACATATCGTTATATATATTCACGATAGTAATAATATATACTAGGGGGATATACTAGATTATTGAAGTTATCATCGATACTCAGCATCGACTTCATGTGACAGGCCTTTTAATCTATAGGTCAAATTTAATTTTATTTTTGACGTAATGTAACGACCCTTATGGAGGGTTTTAATGAGGTTTTAAATTAGGCCATGGGGCCTACTTTTGACCTGTAGGTAAAAATAGATCAAAATTGGTATAAATGTTAACTTATCGTAACAGCCTTTTACGGAGCCCTTATAGGGTATCTTTTTGACCTGTAGGTCAAAAATTAGGTCAAGTTTGACATAGATTTTGACGTATTGTGAAAGCGCTTATTGGTCAAAAAATAGGTCAAATTTAACATAAATTTTGACTTTATTCGGACGTCTTTTAGCCTGTAGGTAAAAAAATAGGTTAAATTGTACATTGATTTTGACGTAATGTTAGGCCGTTATTGGGCCTCTTTTTGATCCTCTTGGGAGAGGGAGCCCTTATAGATTACACAGGCACACAAAAAAATAAAAAAGTCAAAACCCAGAGGTCACACCCCCCTATCCCCATGTTTTTGGGGTCGCTGAAACCGAATATGACCATGAAAATTTTTTTTCATCGGCCATTTTCCCGCTACCACCCCCTTACATCTGCTCCCGGGGGTTGGAATTTCAGTTTAAAAAAAAGTGGAGTAGGGTGTCTATTCCTATGTTTTTTGGGTCGCTAAAACCAAAAAAGACTACTAAAAACAAATTCTTTCCTCACTTAACCCCCTTAACACCCGAAAGGTGGGGGGTCGGAATTCGAATTTCCACGAAAAGTCGATTACGGTGTCTAAACCTACGTTTTTTGGGTCGCTTAAACCAAAAAAGACTACCAAAATCAAATCCTTTCCACCCTCGACCCCCTACAACCCCCTGAAATAATTTTTTTCAAATAAAACGAACCGATTTTTGGGAAATTGAAAAGGAAATATTAAGTATCAAAAATTATTGCAGGGGGTTGTAGGGGGTTGAGGGTGGAAAGGATTTGATTTTGGTAGTCTTTTTTGGTTTTAGCGACCCAAAAAACATAGGTTTAGACACCGCAATCGACTTTTCGCGAAAATTCGAATTTCGACCCCCCACCTTTCGGGTGTTAAGGGGGTTGTAGGGGGTTAAGGGACGGAAGAATTTGTTTTTGGTAGTCTTTTTTGGTTTTAGCGACCCAAAAAACATAGGAATAGACACCCTACTCCACTTTTTTTTAAACTGAAATTCCAACCCCAGGGAGCAGGTGTAAGGGGTTGGTAGCGGGAAAATGGCCGATGAAAAAAATTTTTCATGGTCATATTCGGTTTCAGCGACCCCAAAAACATGGGAATAGGGGGGTGTGACCTCTGGGTTTTGACTTTTTATTTTTTTGTGTGCCTGTGTTATTATTGAAACCAATTGAAACAGCGAAGGCGGCGATGTCTGTTTGTAATGTAGGTAGACAATAATAATGTTTGACCTTTTCATTAAATAATAAATATATATTAATAAATCAATTTATTATTATTTCATATCGTATTCTCTAAATATTCAAATAAAAATTTTATTATTAAATAATATGTGATTTTAACCCAAATAACCAAGGAAAAATTGCTTCTTTCAAGCAATTTTTCCGCAAAGCAATTGCTTTGCGTGCATTGCTTTTGTACTTAGACCAACATTGTCTGAATAAAGAGCACATTCTGCTTATTCTTTCAGTGCACAGGAAAAAGTAAATCTCAATTTAAGACCAGTCCTAAATTACTTAACATTGTCTTCTTCAATGTCAGATTCTCCAAAACCCATTGAATAAATTCAGCATTGGCTGTCTTAAACATGTTGCATCTTAATGTAAGGAAGGATCTGACAGACAGTCAAAACGGTTTATTATTAAATAAAAGACTGGGCCAAGAGTGTGAGAGAGATGGAGATATATCTGCACTCATGGCCTAGTTACAAAACACGGGGCAAAACGCTGTCATGGGATTCCACCCTTAGCATAACAATGCTAGTAACTTTCGTGGATAACGAAAACAAATTTAAAGACACTTTTAAGTTTTATGTACAAACAACTCCACACAGCTCTGCATATTTTCTGTTTTGAGCAACATTATACATATAAGAAAATTGAAACCTGTAGTATACCTACACCTATTATATATACAATTAATATTTTTCTGTTTCAGGAGTATTAACGTACAAACATGGTATGAGGGAAAACTCTGGCAACATAGCTGAGGTGGTATGTAAATATTATTTTCCACATTGTAATTTATTGAATAGACATAAACATAGGAAAACTTAAACTTGCAAAGCTGAGAGTAGTGTTTGCGCTGAAGAATATCGATGTCATGAAGAAAGAATTTAATTTTCCTTGACTTTGCAGAAGAATCTCGGATTTAGAGGAACATGTGTTTTAATTTCTAAAATTAAGCAGGTGCCAGTTTCAGCTTCATCATGTATCATATTTTTTTATAAAGAGCGAGAAAAAATATGTGAAAGTCCACATGAAAAGGGCCCATTCTGGAACTGTTGGACTTATCTATATGAACGAATTCCTTGCAAAATTTAGAAAATTTTTAGCGGTCTTGGAACTTTTTTGGTGAAAAATTCGATAATTAATTAATTAATAATTAATAAATAATAATATTATATTATTATTATTATTATTATTATTATTATTAATAATATTTATTAATTAATTAATTAATTTTTTTAATTCGTAAAAAATTCGATGAGTTACAGAGTTTCAAAGTTTAGAATGCCAGAAACCTCATTTTGAGAAAAACGGAACTAAAGATAAACTAAAGATTGTGAATATCTTTGGTTTTTCTGGGAAGATATTCAAAAAAGAATTCTTTCCAATTCTCAGAGCACCTTAAAGATGAAAAACCAAAAAAATATGTTTGCATTTTTAAAATTATTTTACTGTTAATAAGATTGTATTAAATTTTTTGAATTTTCTAAGAAAAAAATTACACGTTAATGCCTGTAAGTAATTCTAATTCTGTAGAAAATGACCTTTAAAATAAGCCTAAGATTATTTTAGAAGTTATTCAAATTTTTGTTAAACATTCAATTTCGACCAATATTGTAAATTTATCAATTTTTTATTATATACTTTACTGAAATAAAGATCTATTACAAATCAAAGTCATTAGATAATTTAATTTAGATATTTTTATTTTGTTTGACAATAGTTACCAGTTGGCGGGGGAGAGGCTGTGCTTCTGCTCAGCGAACTTGAAAGCATGGCATCTAGACAGCAGCGAGAAATTGTGCAGCAAAGGCGAATATTGGAACAGAGAGAGGCTCGACTAGCTGTACTTCGAGGAGCACAGGTATTACTTTCATAGCGTTCTTTTAACGTTTCCAAATAAAAATAGACTTAGAGGATTTTGGCAAAAAACTATAAATACACTGAGAAATTTATATTGAGACTTACCATTGAAATTAAATGGACTGCGTTTGATTCTTTCATCAAGACCTCCGACTATCACCCAAGAAGATCTAAATTCGTTAATCAAAAATTATATGTTACAATTTTAAACTTCATTATCTCGAAAAGTAGCCTCAGGACCAACGCGAATTCTTTTTCAGTGTGTGTAGTCATCATTTGCATATTTTCCAAGTTTTGTAGTTATTTATTTTTCTGCAAGGAAGTTATTTACATTCAAAAATCCCGAAAATCAGTAAAGTGGCAATTTTCAATTCTTGTTTCTTTACATTTATAAAGAAGTAAGAAAAAATGCTACGAATTTGGTATGGCTCTATTTAATTTAATGATTTCCCTTTCTCACAATTAATGGATAGAAATTGCAAAATTAGTTTTTTTGACAGGTGAACTTTAAAATCATTGTAACTACCAGAAAAATGGTCATCTGTGCTTAAGCGTTTGTATTTAAATGAACTTCAAGTGCCTGTACATGTTCGCTTTAAACTTAAGAAATTAAGTTATTATTAATTAAATAGTATTTCAGATTCTCGGACTGGACATAAAAATGACATTTTAATTTTAATCACCCTTGTACTTTAATAAATTTAATATAAATTAAATTTAATTACAACAAAATTGTGACTAACTTATTACAGAACAATTCTGCAATTGTGATCGAACACTATTTTGTCACAGTTACGTAACAGAGAGATCGAAAATTTATGTAGCACATTTGTAATAGTTGTTATTTTTTACTGTCTGTGGGGAAACGGAGAAGTTCATTTCTTTAAAAGTTTTATCAAATTAAATGAATTTTTTAACCATTTGGTCATTCATGTTTGAGTTCTTTGTTCTTTTTGTTTTAGGAGCCATCTCAACAAGACAGACTTGCAAGACTTCGACATCGCTTAGATCAACAGCAAACGAAATTGAATCGTTTACGTTTAATAAGATCACAAACAGATCAGTCTCGAGTTAACAATGCCACCTTAAGTAAGTTAAATATTTATAATTCCTAGCAAATTTACGGACCTCATAAGAGGTTCATTAAAATGTATTGACCCTCCGTCCGACACCTGTTCCGACCTCTATCAGATGCTATATTTCTATGATTCATAAAATATTCTAGAGACAGATTTTTTCGATTAATTTTTTTGCAAATCCTTAAGTGCCGTCCATATATTACGTAACGCTAATTTTTGAAAATTTTGATGCAGAATCTGAAGAGTTTTCGAATAATATCGTTGGAGTTATCATTACTTTATTTGTTTACATGTACTTATATTTTTACAGCCTCTGATTTGGACTGCATAAGAGCTCTTTTCAATGAAAAGGAAAAGGAATTATCACTAGCTGTAGCTAAGGTCGAAGAACTAACTCGTCAACTGGAAGAACTTCGTGGACGCCACAGTCTCAATGGAAATAGTATCGGTATTCATTTACCAACATCTGCCAGTACCGAACTGGAGAAGTTGCGGAGGGAGTTACTGGTAATAAAAGTTGCATAATAACATTATTTTTTTCAAACGAAAATTTGAAATATCAAAAGGTCCTCATTTCTGAATATTTACTATGTTTCTTAGTATCGTAACAAGATGAATGAGCAACAGAATCAAGTAGTGTCTCAACAGAGATTGGCTTTAGCTCAGAAACAAGCAGAAATGGCCTCAATTGACGCGCGAATTGCTCAGCTCCAAGGTCGACTTCAGCGTAAGAGAGCTTTAAATCAGCGATTGAGTCAACAACTAGGATCTATTAATCTGTCCACTTCGAACCAAACCTATCTCGACTCTAAAGTTGATTTCTCGAATGGCGGAAAGTCTCGCCCAATTGGCAATATTGCTGCGATTGAGCCTTACTCTCATATTCCGAACGACGATTTCGCCTTGAATAAGAACGATCCAAAGTACCAAACACTACCATACAACACCAAATTCACTGTTAATTTTAAAAATTCAGAGGATGATTGTAATATTAATAAAATTCAACACAGTGCAAGCGCTTTGCAAATTGGACAAAGGTCGACATACTATCAGTTGGGTCATCAGATTGTTCACAGTCAATCTCAATCTCACATTAAAGGTGAGTAAATTTTATAAGCAGTTGTAAATTTGTAATTGCAAGAAGAGCCTTAAATTATGTTAATAATATTTTTCTCATTTCAGACAAATTGCAACCTCTAGGCACAAATCAACAACATTTCTCCTACAATACGAATAATAAGAACAACAATAACATTTCTAACAATAATAATGAGAATTTCATTATTGAAAATCAAGCTTCCCAAGGTCTTCGAATACATAACATTCAACAAGCTCAGCAGCATGCAAACTTGCAGCAAAAATATCACAATTGTATGAATTTGTCAAACTCCAGTGCAGGCTTAAATACTCAAATAATTTGCACCAAACAAAATCTTCGAAACATCCAGTTGCACCAAAAGCCAATATCCAGTGTTGCACCGAGTTTCCCTGTAAAGTCGCCCATATACAAGACGTCGTCGACTAAAATCCATCCCGTCATGCCACAAACTTTGAATCTACTAAGCAGAGGCCACACTGGATACAACACTTTAAAGAATCAAAATCAATCAAACGAAAATGTTCAGAATGTAACGCAGGAACTGAATTGTGTAATAAAGTCTAATCCACCCAGTGTTTCAGCAGCGACAATATCGGTTTCCGAACAGTCAAATGAAAAGCCACTGTCGAAACTCGAAGTTCAAGTACGCATCGAACAAAACGGAGTCAAGTATGAAAATAGTGCAGCGCAAAACAAGTACGAAATGCAACAAACAAAGGTGTTCGACAGCAGTGGAAAGCACGAATTGAGTGGCAAGGAAGACGGTAAACGCGAACCGCCTGCCAAGTGTGAAACAGTAAAGGGAGACTCAAATGCCAAGTTTGATTTGAAATCGGACCAAGTTCTCCTAAAGAACGACTCAGTAGGAAGGCACGATTCCTCAGTGGAGCTACAAGGAAAATTGGATGCAATAAAGTACGATAAAAGTCAAAACGCATTCGACAATTCTGCCTTGTACGATCACAATGTCGAGCTTATACATGCAGACGCTAACGCTAAATTCGAATTATCAAGTAAATTGTCAGAAATGGTTGCGGATCAAGAAAAATTCAAACCTGACGTTGAACGAAAGATATTTCTTTATAATGAGATGAAAAACGAGGACAAACCTAAGCCGACACTGCCGCCGAAGCCAACTAAATCTAATGCTCCTCCCAGACTAATTACTCACGAGAAGCTTGACTTCGCCACTGATGTTGACGAGTATGCAGCAAACATTGACAGGTATTTGTTATGATTTTTATTTACTTCTGTATATACATTAAGGTTGTTCGAAACCTAACTCCTTAATAAAGGAGTCAACAATATGAATTTTAATAATGTCATAAATTGAGCTACCGGATCAAAGAAGGGCACATAAATTCTCCGCGATGAAAAACTTTGGCCCCCGGACACTTGAAATTCAACTACATAATAATTTTAGATATTTGTTATGCATTTATAGAAAATTTTAATTACGCATCTTTTTTTCTAAAGAAATTTTTTTCCATCTATTACCGCTTTCGAAATAGATATTCAAGAAGACCCATTTTTTTTAAAACATAAAATTGTTAGTAATTTTTTTCTGAACAGTTGCAAAAATCGTACAATTGAACAATTAGTAACAAATTGGTGAATGTTTTAAGTTGCGCGCGCGGCTAAACCTTTGAATGCGTCAAAATGGGATTGAAAATAAAAAACCATCCTTTTTGAAAAATTACAGCTTGGGATATACCTTTTTTTAATTAAAAATTTTTATAAGACAATATAGCGTTATAGATAAATAAATGCTAACAAACAAAATGAATAGATTGTTTCAAAATTTTCAAATTTGATCGAATTCGCTTAAAACTTGTTACTCGGGATTTTTTGGGGTCGCTGATTACAAATCTGAAGTAATTTTAAAAAATTTTAAATGGTGGAAAAAATTTTCAAATTTGTTCCGATTTCCTTAAAACGTATTACTAGGGGGTTTTCAGGGTCTTTGATTACGAATATAAAGACACTTTTTAGATTACGGTTATTATCGGTTTTTGAAAACTTGCTGATATTCATTCGTTTACTGGAGTAGAAAATAAAATACTTTTCATTGATTGATTAAATTTAACATGTTTAAAAATTTGTTTATTGTAGAGAGGAAAAGAAAGAAGAAATTCCACCTATGCCAACATCAGAACCTCCGGAATCCCCAACTGACGGTCAATGTCTAAATAAGCAAGCTATCACATCTCGCCCTTTAACACTGAAAAAAGTACCATTCTTAGAAACTCCAAAACTTAGATATTCTAAATCCAATATTCACGTGTCAATAAATCGGCGAATCGAAATGCCACCTGCTTTCCTGTTTCCTGAAACAGAGATTCCAGCAGATCTTATGCAAACCGATGTGAATCAGTATCAACACGCTCAACAGCAATCTCAACAAGCTATTGAAGCACTAGATTCTAATATGAAGAAAATATTGCCAAATGTTCTAACAAATAAGGAATTAAATCAAAAAGAGAAAGTAGAGCAAGTTGATATTGTAGATGCTATAAGCGTTATTAATATTGAAGAAAAATCAAAGTTGAAAAGTGACAAGGACAGAAAGTGTGAAGCGGAGTTGGAGTGCAAATCCATAGAGGTTACTAAAAGGAAAAAAGGCAATTTGAAAATTTCTACGGGAAAAGCAAATCTTTCGAGGCGTGTTTCATTTGATCCTTTGGCTCTTCTATTGGATGCCAGTCTCGAAGGTGAATTAGAATTAGTAAAAAAGACTGCAAAGGAAGTGTCCAATCCTAGTTCCGCTAATGACGAGGGCATAACAGCTCTTCACAACGCCATTTGTGCGGGACATCTTGAAATCGTCAAGTTTCTTGTGGAATTCGGTTGTGACGTCAATGCACAAGACAGTGATGGATGGTAATATTTTCTTATCATTTCAAGTAGAATATATTTTCAGCAATTGTACTGCATTATCAGATCAATATTAAGAGGCAGAAAAAGTACAATTTCAAAATTACGTATGTAAAGATTGATCTAATTTTAAATTTAAAAAACAATTCTCAACTAATCCGGTTGATAAAGAAATTCAATACTTTCCAACTCGTAATTTAGCGAACTTTTCAAGACTCTGGTGAAATGTCCTACCTTCTTTCAGTAACGTACACATAAATTTACCAAAAGTCCATATAAAATCTTTAACATAATTTTTTAGGACACCACTACACTGTGCTGCCAGTTGCAATAATTTAGCGATGGTTAAATTTTTGGTCGAACATGGAGCGTGCATATTCGCTACTACCTTATCGGATCACGAAACAGCTGCAGAAAAATGCGAAGAAGATGAAGAAGGTTTCGATGGCTGCTCTGAATATCTATACAGTAAGTACTGACTCTTGAATGTACATATACACAATTTTAACGGATATTGTTAATACCTATGCATTTCCTTGTTTAGGTGTCCAAGAAAAGTTAGGCATCATTAACAATGGACAAGTGTTTGCAGTATTTGATTATGTGGCACAACATAATGATGAACTTTCCTTAAAGAATAGCGATTCTCTGGTTATAATCAGGAAAGGCGACGATGATGAAAGGGAATGGTGGTGGAGTAAACTGGGACATAAAGAGGGATATGTACCACGAAATTTACTTGGCGTAAGATAAATCTTTTAAAAAAAATTTTAAATAAAAAAAGTAAATTTTTTCTAAGTAATGAATTTTATTTTTCAGCTCTACCCCAGAGTTAAATTACCTAAAACGGACTGAAGTCTTTGCAGATCTACAAAACATAATTTTCATTCAACACGTACTAGAAGCAGTATTGAGTTTGCAATTTAATTTTATTGTATAGTGTGTAAGTTATTCAAACATTTATAATTTAATATTTCTGGGCGTCAGCATATTGTAGATAACATTCGTCATATATTGTTTCATATGATTATGTAGAATTTTCTAATAATTTAAAAAGTCGATTTGAATAAAGCTTTAAATATAGTTTTTCATAAATACGTTTCATATGCAAAATGCTTTTCAGGTGAATGACAGTTAAACTTTCTGCAGTTTTTCTATAAAATTTAGATGATATTAATTTATTTAACATCCTTAACTTACTACATACTTGACGGCTGTCACACAAATTTTTACAAAGATGTAAGAGTTGCACGTAATCAAATGGAATAACTTAAATGGAATATTAAATTATCAATAAATATGAGAAGTATTGTACAATACAAATACAAATATTTTTGTATTGAAAGTAGTTGTAAAGATTATTATTATCTTTTAGTGCAATATTTCTTATTATAAAATTGTATTAATTATCAAATGATAAATATTGTATTACAAAATATATATTATGTTTTTAACCTTGTTATGACGTTTTTCATTTAAGTTTTAAAAGCATTTTTCACAATATTCTCAAGGTATAGTAATCTTTTTCCATTCTACACTGTTTCGCGATTGCGAGCGGTGATAAAGAAATTTAAAAAATTCATAATTTCTTTTAATACTTCATAATAAAGTTTATTACAATGTAAAATATTCGTTCATAATTGCTTTTATAGATGTACAGTGGAACTTATGAATACATATATGCAGTACGGTCGCGCTAATCCTAATCCGAGTTAGAGGGAGAGAGGGTATAGAGTTAAATATTTAATTAATTAAAGGTGCTAAACTTGCTAGTATTCATTGACACTTGAATTTTAATCTAACGTTCTGTTTTGATTTAGTTAAAAAAAAACTAGTGAATATGTATTTGAATTATTAAAATTATATTATCATGTCGCAAAAGAATGGCAAAAGAAATCAATTAGTTTTATATTAGTCCGAACTGGAGGAGTTCGTATAAGTTTTCAGTAATCAGTAATGATGCTTCAAAAAGATGACATATTAGACTAATTATAGCTCATACTCAATACTTCACAACACTATGTTTGGCTAGTAGCTTTCACCAAGTTCCAATAAAAGATATAGCTAAAACCCTTCGATCTGAAAGATGCCCTTGCCTTTCAAAGACTCATGAATTTGATTCTTTTTGGTTAGAATAAAAATCAGTGTTTTGTGGAATCCATCCAGTGATGCTCTTTCGATGATTTTAATATGACTTTATAATATAACAATAATAAACAAGTTGGTAACGATAATTTTAAAGTTACTTCTACATTTCTCAACAAAATTTTCAAAAAAGTCTTATTTTCCAAAATTTTTTATATTTAAAACTTTAATATCTCCGGTAAATATGGACAGAAAATGTTCAATAAGCGCTCAAAAAATATGTCTAAAAAGACTCTACAAAATTAGAGAAAAACATTTATAGGTGTCCTAACATTTTTTTTAAGTTATGGCCAAAAAACGATTCTTTGAAAAATTAAAAATCCAAAAAAATATAGTTAAACTTTATGAATCGGTCAGAAAATACTCTTATATTATGTCCTCACGTGAGACCTACAATTTAAAAAAAATTCGTCCCTAAAGCTCTTCATAATCTTGAGATATTTATGAAAATGTAATGTTTACATACACATACGGAATGACATTTTTTAAAAATGTCATTTTTGAACGCCTGAGGTCAAATAACTAAGTTTTGACTTCAGCTTCTGAAAGTACTTATCAAAACTAGCAAAAACCTATTTCAGTTTTGCTAGATTAACTCGGATTTGAATTTTATCGACATTTGAATTTTTTTTTGAATTTTCACATTTTTCAGTTTTCTGATACGGGCGAATGGGAACACTGGCTATTAAAAGTTTATTAAAAAAATTCGCAATGGTCACAATTTGAAAAGCTACACTGAAAAAAAAAAAGTATTGAACCAAGAAAATTTTTCTTGGTTGAAGCAAATCGTGGGATTGAATACGGCCAAGACTATTAAAGTATTGATTCAAGAAAACGATTTTCTTGACATAGTATATTTGGGAGAAGAACATATATTCTTGATCCAAAAAAAAGGAATTCGACCAAGAAGTTAATCTTCTTATACGAAGTATGAAATGTATTAAATGAATAAAATATTTTCTTGTTCTAAGAATATATATAGATAATTGAATTATTTTATTTGATTCATTCAATTTTTTGTAACATTCGTTCAAGTAATTCAAGATTTAAATGAAGAAAAAATTTATTTTGTGAGAGAACGCAGATATTCTTGATCCAAGAAAATATGGAATTCGATCAAGAAGTTAAGTAGCATGTAAGAAATGCAGAATATATTAATTCAAAATCATTTATGTATCAAATCAAGAAAGTATGTTCTCTGTCCAAGAAAATATTTTCTTGATTTGAGAAAATTTATAGATTTCAATCAAAAAAATACTTTCTCAATACAAGTAAATTATTTACTTAAATTACCCCCCCCCCTTACCCCATCCCATCTTTTCTAATACTTAGGTCAAACATTTTTATTATTTAATTAATTAACATTTATATTTTTTATTTAAATAATTAAATAATTGTTATTTTACATATATATTTACATTTAATTATTACTTAACACAAATACAACAAATATACCTTGAAAGAAAATTTTCCACGGTCGGAGGAATTGAACTCGGGTTGCACGCACCAGAAGCCGTCACGCTACCACTATGCCATCCTAGCCTCAATGGACAGTTTTCAAAAACTGATATTTAAGTTGCATATACATTTGAAGAAAAATATTTTCTTGGATCAAGAACACCGGCATTGTGTTAAGTAAAAAAAAGTTTCAAAGCAAATAAATAAAATGATTCGATTCAAGAAACATGAATTCTCCACACAATACTTTATTATTTCGCTTAAGAACATGATATTCTAGATTCAATACTTTTTGGTACTTCGGAAAAGTAAAATATTTGGTTGAAATAATTACATATTGAGTTCTGACAAATACTAAATTGTTAATTCAAGAATTCTGTTCAATGCTAATAATTACTTGACACAAGAAAATGAATTTCTTTCTTCAAATAAATATGGGATTAATTGAATGTAATTTTTAATCAACTTGAAACAAATATTTACTTATATTAACCTTCGTATTTTCTTGAATCAGGATTATATGAGCGTTGAATTAAGTAAAAACTTTTTTAAAGGAAACAAAAGAATGATTTAATTCAAGATCTTACACTTAATTGAATTGAATAAATAAAATATTTCATTCCAGAAAATATAACATTCTCGCAAGAAATTAATGTATTTGAAACATGAGAATATAGAGATGCTTCAAGTAAAAGAAATGCTTAGATTAATTAATATTTCTTTGAAACAAAATAATTTTTAATTGAGTTGAAACAATTATTAACTTGTATTAATCTTCCCATTTTCTTGGCTCAAGACTATGGGTGTTGGATGAAATAAATAGTTGCTTTAAAGGAAATAAAAAAATTATTTGACTCAAGATACCAAATGACTCAAGGAAAATTACTTGACGTGAGAACATGATATTCTTGATTCAATACTTTTTCGAGACTTGGCGCATGTAAAACAGTTCGTTTGAAACAGTAAGATATATACTTATGTCAAACCCACATTTTCTTATTTCAATAACTTTGATCAATGCTCAAAATTACTTGACACAAGAAAATAAATTTCTTCCAATAAGAAAATATGGGTTTGTTTCAAATAAATCAGGTCAAGAAAATGCATTTACTTGATTCAATGAACTTTTTTTTTCAGTGTATAATCCCTCTTTAATTACAGAGAAAGAAAAAAAATTTGGTCGAAAATTGTTCCAGTTACGAATTTTTTTTTGGCTTTTTTACATTTTTTGGTTTTATGAAAAGGGCGGGTGAGAAAGCTGGCTATTAAAAGATTATTAAAAAAAATTTCGCAGTGGTCACCATTTGAAGAGCAATAATTCCTCTTTAATTTCTGACATTGAAAAAAAATTTGGTCGAAAATTATTTGAGTTATGAATTTTTTTTTGTAATTTTTCAAATTTTTCGGTTTTTCTAACTCTCTAAATTTGAATCAGCGAAAAGTCGCTGATTCACCAGCCCAGAGTATGCAGCTGATGAAATAGCGTATATACACTGATGAAACAGCGTATATGCACTGATTTTCCAGCGTATATACGCTGTTTCATCAGCTGCATACTCTGGGCTGGTGAATCAGCGACTTTTCGCTGATTCAAATTTAGAGAGAATACGAGAGGGTGGGAACGCTATCTATTAAAAGTTTATTACACAAAATTCCCAATTGTCATAATTTGAAAAGCAATAATCGCTCTTTAAATTCTGATAAAGAAAAAAAAAATTTGGTCAAAAATTGTTCGAGTTATGAATTTTCTTTTGACTTTTTCACATTTTTCGGTTTTTTGATAAAGCGGGTGGAAACGCTGGCTATTAGAAGTTTATAAAAAAAATTCGCAATGGTCACCATTTGAAGAGCAGTAATTCCAACCTAATTTCTGACATTGAAAAAAAAATTTGGTCGAAAATTGTTCGAGTTATGAATTTTTTTCGTACTTTTGCAAATTTTTTTTGTTTTTGATCCAGGCGGGTGAGAACGCTGGTTATTAAATTTTTCTTTTTTAAAAACGCAATGGTCACATTTAGGAGAGCAATACTTCCTCTTTGATTTCTGACAAAAAAACAAAATTTGGTCAAAAATTGTTCCGCTTATTAATTTTTTTTTGACTTTTTCACATTTTTCAATTTTTTGATCAGGCGGGTGGGAATGCAGGCTATTAAAAATTTATAAATAATTTCGAATGATCACAATTTAAAGAGCATTAATCCGTCTTTAATTTCTGCCCAAGAAAAAAAATTTGGTCAAAAATTGTTCAAGTTATTAATTTTTTACTTTTTTTTAATTTTCGGTTTTCTGATAACGGAAGTGGGAATACTGAATATTATAAATTTATAAAAAGAATTCGTAATGGGCACAATTTAAAGAGCAATAATCCCTATTTAATTTCTGCCCAAGATAAAATATTTGATTCGAAATATTTGGTTTCGAAAAAATTAAAAAAAAATCAAAACCCTCGGTTGCACAGGACCGCGGGTATACAAATGTACAGAAATAAATAAATAACACGAATAATTTTCTACCAATTTTTTTTCATTTATCAGAAATTAAAGAAGGATTATTGCATTTTAAAATTTGACCGTTGTGAATTTTTTTAAATTCATTTTTAATAGCCAGCGTTCCCACCCGCCCGTATCAAAAACCGAAAAATGTGAAAAAGTAAAAAAAAAGCATAATTAGAACAATTTTTGACCAAATTTTTTTTCTTTGACAGAAATTAAAGAAGAATTATTGCTCTGCAAAATGTGACCATT